GGGGTATTTTCAACGAAGTTTAGCGAAAAAAGTACAGAAAATTTAACCTTGCTGATGGAAAAAATTGAAAATTTTCAATTATTGCGGGGTTTACACTTCCCCGCTCCTGCGGCCCCTGCTTGTAACAAAACAGTTATTATTTCTTTACAAAAAGTATATAATTAACTTGACTAAACTTTGACAAATATTACTTGATATATATATATATATATATAAGATACTTCTGGCTAACCAGATCGAGTTTTGCCGAGTTCATATGCAGTCGTAAACGGCCGTATATGTTCCACTTGTTTCTGTATATGATCGTATTTGCAGGTAATACATGACTCAGTATTACGATCGAATATCACCGTGTCGACTGCGAAGAAATACGACCATATACGGTAAACGACGGAGACTCCACGTACAAGAATCTTAAACGACCGTACTCGTTCGACTTCGGTGGATGAAGCTCATAAGTTGTGAAGCAAAAACATCAATCGACAAAAAATATCGATGCTAGAAACGCACACATAATCCATCAACAGGCAATGTTTCACACTCGATATCATACAACGAAATCTAAAATATTCAAGAGAACGATTTTCTAATTTCTAATGATCACAAATAGTGGTCGAAAAGTTTGTGCATTGTTAACTTTATTAAATGAGTAAAATATTGAATATAATATCAATGCCGGTTGTGTTTCTTACCAACTGATGGAAGATTGAATAATGTGCTAAATCGAACGACATATCTGTACAATCCCAGGTCGAACAAGTACAGTCGTAAACAATTGTATACACGGAGATAAATTACACCCGTGTTCATATTTAGTACGTTCTTGACGTGCACTGTACAATTCTACATAGAAAATTGTATTAGATTCTCTAGATATCAAAGCTATGCATGAACAAGTATGTTGAACATTTGAAGATAATCCTACAATACGTGTCATTTTTTATCTCCAGAAATGACCTGGATCTTCAAACCAGACGACCACTGTAGCAACTAGATGTTAGACACGAACAGGACTCTTTCAACAAACATCGTAGGAAAAGCTGTTGGCACAATTCCTGTGAGATTAAAATGTGAAACGCGATGAAACTTCTTTTCTGGAGTTCGCCTATCACTATCACTAATGGTCTGTATTATGATGTATGGGGTCTCTAGAAGCCATCACAGCCGTGACAGAGAAATTAATTAATTAATTAATCTCAGTCCCGGTCTGTGGGGGGGGGGGGGGGGCCCTCCAAATTTCTACCCTATATACTTCAACACTCCTTTCACATCGTGTTTCACAAAACTGCTAATTTACACTAAGTCAACTCAAACCTCTCATCGTGCTCTAGATACTGAAGTTCAAGATATCTGGACTTCATTTTCGATAACTAATTTTCTCTCAGAAACGATTGAATTTCGCCTCCAACAATCATTCGATCCTATACTGTAGAAAAATTCACTGTTTTCCACATCATGTCTCTTTATTGAGAATTTTTATAGCTGTTAGTTGGCTTTTCGTCGGAGAAGAATCTGTCTTTCAGAATACCCTAATGGAACTTTTCAAAGATAGTCATGCAACTTGGATCTACCACTCTACCGCGATTTCAATAATCTTATGCAACCTGTTTAACAATTTAACTAAATAGTTTCATTTCAAAACTTTGTCTGTGTTATTATGTAGTACCTGTTTGCACAAGTGCATGGCGTCCTCTGTACTTGTTTCCTGTGTATGTAAAGGTTGTTACTATTGCAACATTTCCTGGAATGATTTTCTCCAATGGTTGACGTTGTCTATGATTTAAATGTAAATCGATGCTTTCAGTTTACTAAGAATACACGTGCATTGTTTTTTTTTGCACATAAAGTATGAACAGATAACAGTAAATGGAGTAATGGAATATCTGCTTTAACAATAGTCTAAAAAAAATGGGAAACTAGTACTTCACTTAACGTTGCTGAATATTTATTCGATGAGCTTTGTAGTCAAAATCGATTTCAATTTCAGATGAGCTGTTGTAGTGTATCCATTGCACTCGAAAAACTTAAAGGACGATCATCTCAACCGACATGGATAGATCTAGTGAAGGCAGCGGCAGCGATTGATGCGAACGATACGAACAAGATTAAGGGGAAGACTTGTAAAATCTACAATAGAGAATCAAGAACAAACAATTCAAATGATGTTTGCACGTGCAATCGTTTGGCTAAACGGCACAGCTACGATGGCAAATGCATGAAAGCCGATGTTGCACTTACTGCGTTGGAACTAGCTAATGGGGCCATATTCACTAGTCAGACTGCATTGGATTGCTGTGGAGTCTTGCCGAGTGGATGCAAATTTATAAGATGTTCCGAGCAGACACCACCAAAATTGCTTTATCCTTTGATACTCGCGGATTGCGGAAACAAGAAGCCGTCACTAATTATCAGTGTATATGGCGGTGCAAAATACTTCATGCTAACCGAAAAACTTGAAAAGGAATTCATGCGAGGCATAGTCGACGTGGCTACTATTGCAGGTATTTTTATGAGTTCTTTACGCAATGTTCGGTCAACTCCATTTTTATTTTATAATCAGATGCGTGGATTCTAACTGCTGGTCTCAACAATGGTGTATCAAAGCTTGTCGGCGAAGGGATATCTCAATATCGCTTATTGAAACAATATCCCAAAGAAGTTGTCTGTATTGGTTTGACACTGTGGGGTAGTGTTAGTGAGAATACTCGTATCGAATTAAAGAAAGCCAATCAGGTATATGATATATATAGCCGACTATAAAATAAATTTTTTCATTCAAGACCAATTCATTCAATAAAGAATATGAGCGACAGCTTCCAGAGAATGCAAAAGACAATAGAGAAACAGTCGACCGACATCATACACATTGTGTGCTATTCGATAGTGGCAAACTCAATGAATATCTCGGTGACGGCCAACGTAGTAGCTTTGTCAAGCATATCTGTGATGATAAAAATGGTGATGCATGTAAATAAATCTTTTTGATCTAATCAATTTTTCATGACAATTAATTGAACCTGAATAGGCTATGCTGTAACGATCATCGTTGAGGGTGGAAGCAATACACCTCAGATAATACAATTCGATATTGATAACGATCGACCAGTTGTTGTTATTCGTGTAAGTCGGAAAATCATCAAATTTCAATGTGATTTCAATTTGATATTCTCCTATCTACAGGGTAGTGGACGTATGGCTGATGTTCTATCGAATCTGATAGAATTAACGACTAGTTCTAATAAAGATGAACAACGGTTCGTATTTAGAGAATGATAAGTATAGCATCCTGCAGAATATTGAGTGGAATGTTACTTACTTATAGATTTGTTTCAATTACTGTATTAGAAAGAAAATCTAGATTGATCGTTGTGAAAGAATTTTTTTATGATTCTCAGATAGCCTATGATAGTTTTGCATTTCAGTTCTAGTTCTTCCCTAAATCGAAAATAGATTACAGCGGCCAATAGTATTTTAAAAGAGAAATTAAAGTATAGTATCTTGAATTGACGCATTAGATCAAAGTACATCGGCATGATCAGCTCATTAATATTTTTGGGCTAAACGTTAGCTCATAGAAGCAGGACGATAATTAGGTTTCTTGATGTTTTTTTTCATAGATCATCGTGATATTTTCTCAGTAGGGCTCACCGCTGTAAAAAGAAATCTTCTATTCGGTTCTTTTAGAAAGCTTAGAGATGATGAAATTGAAAAGACGCTCAAAGCTAGCTTTCCAGAATTAGTTGATGATGCATTATCAACATGTATTGGTGAACTTAAGCGCATATTTAATTCGGGAAAGCGTCATCTCTTACACGTATTTCGTCTGGACCGCGATGTTAATGTTGCAGAAACTATTTTCAAAGCGATATTTTCAGGTTTGGTTGCCCTTTTGTTTATTTATTCATTCATTTGAGCAGTAAAATAAATGTTAAAAGCTAATCGTCAAAAACGAGAGCTGCAAGAAAAACCGCGAAGAGAAAGGCGGGCATCGATTTCTGCTACACCGTCAAACAGTGAGCTAGAACAGGAACGCAAAGTTCGTAAACTGATTGGTTTGGCACTTAGATGGAATTATTTGGACGGTGTGAAACAACTTGTTGATTTTCAAAAGTTGGTATGTAATAAAAATCTTTCATTAGATTTTAGAAAAAACTTTAACGTGTGAATTTACTCGCATGAAAAAGAAACGGTAGAATCCACAGAGATCAGCTATCAGCAGAACTTTCTTTTCAAGCTGTATATTAGATAAATGTGAGAATATAATTTAGCCTACTGCCGATGTGAAATCCTTGTTCGACAATGCTCTCCAACAAAATCGACCAGCATTTATTGATTACTTCCTTCGTGCCGGCTTCGATGTACGAAGCGCATGCAAACTGCACGATCGAAATAAATATATTTTAAATCTATATAACTCAAGGTTAAAACCAGAGAATCAAGTATTACCTTTCAGTCTAACTCTTTTTTTCATTTCTTTAAACAATATCTTGTTATTTAATTTAAATCTCCAGTCGCGAACGAGCCGTGTCTGTTCATTGTTTAATTCCGATAATCTCAAATCAATCAGTCAACTCGATGATAAAATAACGGAGTTTGTTGGTTCATTCGTTTATCCGATATATTCAAATGATGATGCACAGAGAGAGTACGTAAAAATTGACATTTTTGAAGAACACTATATTTGTGTTGTGATCAAGATACACGATAAATTCATATCTTCATCTAAAATCTAGAGTTGAATACTCCGATCAAGAAATGCTACGTGATATTTTCTTCTGGGCTGTGTTCATGAATCGAATTGAAATAGCGCAAGTTTTGCTCGTTCATCTTCGGCTACGAATATGTGCTTCGCTGTTGGCATCAGCAATATTGAAGAGTTATGCAAAAAGAGCACCCAATGTAGATTTGAGCAATAAACTGAGGATGAATGCAAACAATTTTGAACATTATGCAGCAATATGCATTGACAAGTGCTTCGAACACAATGAATTGACAGCATGTGACTTGCTCTTAAGGCAAATCCCACTGTTTGGCAATATAAGCTGTATGCAGGTGAGTTGTTGTTGAAACGATTATTCAAACAGCAGCTTTTAGAATAGGATTCATATAGTAGTCATCGATTGTTTTTATATTAGAAATAGACGATTCAATTTTTCTTTTTCAACTATTCAGCAAAATTCTCAATAGTTGGCCAAAAACTACTGATTTTTTTTCTGTTTTCGATTTTTAGCAACTTTGTACCACAGAAAATCCCAGCTGTCATGAAGTCGTATTTGCATCTATATCTACATCCAATTAGTAATCGACTATTTCCAATTGGGAAAAATCCTAGACCACCTAATTCACGAAAAAACAACGAAACAGTAGAAAACCATAAAAAACATGAAGATTGAACGACAGATAGTGATGTCAATCATACCATTTTAATTATCCTTGATTCATGCGATAAATCTGAGAGCAATGTTTAATTGATTTTGACAGTGTTGACTTGTTAGAAAACAAAGCTCTATCGAAGATAAATAAATTGGACTATGGCGACTGAAACTCGTACTTATCATATCCTTTTTTGATATAATCAGTCAAGCATACAAGTTAAGAAATAAGTAAACTAAATTAATCGAACGCTTTGACACTCAAAATGGATTGCTGTTTTCTTTCACACTTCTCCGGAGTATCTTATCAATATGTAATAGGTTGCGATCTCAAGTGAAAGTATGCATGTCCTAAAAACAGCATGTTTTCATGAAGCTCTCAATCATGTTTGGTATGACAGACTAGCTGCATCGAACAATCATGCTTCAGCAAAGCCATTTTTACTGTTATCAATTTTACTAGCAGGTTTACCTGCTCCGTTCGTCATCCAATATCGCCAAAAGGACGATCGAGTCTTGCCGGTTCGTTTACAATTTTGAACATAATTACTGATCTTACAGTTCTTCTTTTTAGGAAACCAATACTGAATACAGGTTTGTAACTGAATGTCTGTATAGTCATGATCGTTTTACCATAAGGTTTTAGGCTATCGAGAAAAGGTGTCAACTATTATTTAGACAAAGATCTACCAACGGAACGATGTTCAATCGAGGGTTTTAGTGATCGATTCATCTATTTTCATAGGAGTCCATTGGTGAAAATGTGCTACTATTTTGTAAGCTTTTCATTCATATATGCGTGTGTTTTCGTTCTATGTGTAGTACAATACTATGTATTCATTCTAGCTTTTTTATATTTGGTTTTTATTGGTATTCAGCTACATGATGCTCTACGAATTTGAACCTGCGACAGTGAGATCGCCACATTGGACAGAAATCTACATCATTATTACAGTGTCAACGATGCTTTGCGAGGATGTTCGTCAGGTAGTCGCTAAAGCATAAAAAGTCTTTTAATTTGTTTTGTATGTATTGTTCAGTTCAAACATAATAAATTATGTAAAATGACGGAACGCCACAGTTTTACTGGTTTAAACATTCTTAGTTCTCTAACGGCTCTATTCAATGTTTTGCCCTACGGATTATTTTATATGGGCATAGGATTTCGTTATGGCTCTGCAAACAATGAGCTACTGTTTACTGTAGCCAGGTCTGTTAGATCCTATGCATGATATTTGTTCTAAGCAGTTTTTTTTCTTTTTGAAAGGATTCTTCTGGCACTTGACCTTGAAGTTTGGTATCTACAATCATTGAAATTCGTCATTGCATTAAAATCACTTGGTCCTAAGCTGTTCATGCTAAAAAATATGGTTAGTTTTCCTCCTATGAGAAAATTTAAAATCTTTCGCGAATCATTTCATTCCTAGTTACCAAATCTTTTCGAGTTTTTGTACATTGCATCTGTGGCCATTGCTGCCTATGGGGTTGTATCTCGATCTCTCTTCAAGTATAACCAAGTCGCTTTTGATGGGAAAGGCATCTTTAGAGAGATTTTCTATCGACCCTATTGGTTTTTGTACGGACAGGTTTCTGACACGGCTGATCTTGAAAGTAAGTTGTGGCTTAATTTCTCACAGTGAAAGAAACTTTCGTCTTCTAAATATAGCGTTAATCGAGAGTGCCAATAGCACAGTTGTAGCTGAGGCAACAGCTACTCAAGTTCTTCTCGCCTTTCATATGCTATTCATTAATATTATTCTTCTAACTTTATTAATTGCCGTTTTCACGTAAGGAACCACTAAATACTGGGAAAAAATGATTTTCTTATCATTTTCTCAGTGATACAATTGGTAAGGTTCAACATAATACTGAATTCTATTGGGATTACCAACGCTACTCATTTGTTCGGGAATACTTTGATCGACCTGCGTTGGCCTATCCACCATTGATAGTTTTTCCGCATTTCTTTCGGGTAGGTCATTTTACATGGCAAATGTGCCGAAAGTTCTGTTGCAAAAAACAACAAGTGGGAAGAAGAGATGATCAACCAAAATATGATCACTCTGGAAGTTATTCACCTGTGTTGAGTGAGTTATTAGTGAACTTTGCTTTCGATCACAAATGACAATTATACTTGTTTTTAACAGAAATAATTGCTGCGGAAGGTAGCATGCTGGATGAGCATTGGAATATGTTTGAGAGTGCTGCTACGTACAGTTATGCACGATCAAGTATTGAACAAAAGAATAAATCAACTGATGACAAGAATTATTTTGGTAACAAAACTAGTTTAAGGTATAGTTACTCTATAGAAAGCACAGCATTACGATCTACCGCAAGCACTTTATTTAGCAAGGAATATGTACAGTCAATGAATGAAAACATGAACCCAACTGGGATTGAGAGACAACAAGAAGCAAATATTGATTTGAAGGAAGAAATCAAATCTTTGCGGTCGACTATGATAGAAATGCAAATTCAGCTAAACAAGGTAATTAGTTAGCCTCTGCGAAATTTAGAAACGAAAGTATTTGTATCTAGAGTTCAATTCATTTTGAAAAGAGTTAACTAACGTAAGAGAAAATCTATGGGAATTTTGAAATAGGTTGTAGAAACGAAGAAAAAAAAGAGTTACATGTCGTATGAGAAATTCTAGTCTTCTCTAATGTTGATTTCGTTTTTTAGGTTTTTTCAATTTCACAGTAGATTACAGTGTGAAAAATATAATATCGGACGAAAATGAATAGGGGAAACTCAGCATTCTTTGTCGTTATACAGCAGAAGGTTGAAAATTATTCAACTCCGATTTACCATAAATTTGAGGAATATGCCCACGAGTATCATATTTCACATTTCATAGTAATTGATTCGTAGAATTAGGTATTTGAAACAAATTATATGTCAATTGAGAAGCTGTGCAAGAATCAGGAATAAAGATTGTACGCAGGAGACATAGGAAGTTGATTGAACATAATTCTTGTCTATTTAGTTTTGTTTTAATGTGATATAAGGAAGAGAGAACAACTTTGACGAGGTTCTTTCAGAAAAAGCAAACCTCTTGTATTGAAAATTTAGTATGTGATCGCTTATGCAAAGCATCAGAACGCTGATTTGGAAACTTTTACCGAGTCTTTTACTAGTCCTAGAAATTGAATTTCGATAGTGATGCTCGACGTTTCATGCAAACAAAAACCTGATCGATTCGAGTAAACTATGAGAGTGATTTAATCAGCACTGTGTAGAAAATATCATGACATGAGAACGTAACTAAAATAAACTTATTCTTCTCTCTTCATGAACATGAACGACTTTTATTTCAGAAAAATACCACAATTGAGCATCCTCGTACAAATACAAATGATCAATTCGCACAAGTTGGTAGCAGTTAAAACTTTTTCTATACTTATTTTTCTCTAATTTAATTAACAGATTAATCAATCTCTTCGCTGGATTATGGATGCGATTGAAAGAGTCAAGATGAATAGTAAAACAAAATCGAGACCAGACGAAAATATTTCCAGTAAATTGTCTGACGTTCCAACGTTAAATGCACAAGCTCAAGAATGATTTTTGATTGTTACAGTTTTCTGTGATACTATGTGCGATAGTTCAATATACATGAAATTTTCTAAAGTTAATTTGAACGCTTTCTTCACAGACGTTTACAGTATCGACCGTTCGACGACTACTAATAATAGATGCACGCTGCAAGAAGATCATTGAACTGATAAGAAAATACATCAAACGGAAAATTTCTTTCCATGAAGATCTGTTAGATTTCTTGCATTTTGAATGGTGAGAGCTGGATAGCATGTCTGGAGAGTTCGAAAACGCCACCTTATAAGTTAAAATCACTATTTTCATGGAAGATCTCTGTGAGTTCCACGTAATTTTCTTAAGTTGTGCAGTGCATGCTTTAAGAAGTACAAAAATAAATTGATGATTTTGAATTTCATCGCCTACCGCCATGGCCCATATACAATGAGTATCTTTCGAATACTCGTATAGGCAAGAATAAGAATTAAAATAGTCATTGTTAAAAGTTCTTAGAGTATATTCTTTCAAGTTCAATGTATTTTACATCCGATGCAGTGAATCATCTTGAAAATCATACTGTGATTCGTAATTTTAAACTTATTCATCAACTGGGATGTACCGAAAATAAATGCAGAAGGAATTTCAAATTATTCGTTGCTGAGTTTACATGGCTGTTTTCAAGCGCTCTTATTAGTCGTTAACACTTGAAACACAATCAATATTATCCGGAAAGTAAATTGTGTTCTAATCGGTAATATATATTCCTCTTTTTGACTAGATGTCGCTCATAGACAATCAGCAATAATCAACGTATTTGAGTGGATCATCGAACAAAATCCATAAAATACAATTCGAAAATTATTCCGAAATCTTTCATTCTATGAATCAATTGAACTGCCGACTAATATGACTCTTCAATTTGATGGTTGTGCTTTTTTACGTCAACGTCTTGCTTTATCAACACTAAGTTACACACCAATTAAGATAAAAAATATTCGATCACAAGAAAATGAACCTGGACTACGAGGTAATCGAATTTGTTTGAATATTTCAGTGTAAATCATTGATTTTACCTTTGAATTTCAAATAGATTTTGAAATAAATCTACTACATTTATTAGAAAAAATCACAAATGGAAGTAAAGTAGAAATTAATTCTACTGGTAATTAATTAAATAGTCTGTTCTGTTGAATATACAATAGTATGTTTCTTTCGTACATAGGTACTTCACTCTATTACGTACCCGGTACATTAACTGGAGGAGTTGTTGAACATGAGTGTTCATTGCAGCGTGGCATCGGTTATTTTCTTGAGCTTGTTCTCTATATGGCACCGTTTATGAAAACATCTCTTGAACTGCGTCTCAAAGGCGTGACAAATGATCGTGATGATCCTTCAGTAAGTGATTATTCTTGTTTTGCCGAGTTTCGTTCTAGGATAACTAACATAATTTATTCAGGTTGATCTTATTAAATATTCAGCAATATCAATTATGAAACGATTCCTCGGATCAGATGATGGCCTCGAACTTAAGGTAACTAAGATCGAATTCAGGACGAAAAAAAATATCATTCAATCTATTGTTTAGATAACAAAACGAGGCGTTAAACCGAATGGTGGTGGTGAAATTCTATTTCGATGTCCAACGAAAATGAAATTAAGACCTTGTCAATGGACAGATACTGGAAAAATTAAAAGAATACGTGGTGTTGCGTAAGATTACTCTATTCTAACGTTTAATTTCTATACGAATGGAGTTTAGATATGCTCTGCGTGTATCGCCAAGTTTAGCCAATCGCTTGATTGATACAGCTAAAGGATTATTATTAAAGTTTTTACCAGATGTTTACATTTATATTGATCATCAAAAAGGGCAAAATGCTGGATTGTAAGAAATGTGATTTAATAGAAATTCAAAACTAAAATTTCTACTATTAGATCACCGGGCTATGGTTTAACTTTAGCAGCTGAAACAAAAAATGGCTCTGTGATTTCAGCAGAAAGTTGTTCCATTCCACGAGCTGCCGAGGGTGATACAACAGCAATAACAATACCAGAAGAACTAGCAAAAGAAGCAGTCTTTAAGCTTCTCGATGAAATCTATAAAGTAAAAGAAAATTGTTCGACATTTCGAATAGAACTAACGAGCGTGTTTTAGGCCGGTGTTATTGATTCGTTTGGTCAAACACTAACAATGAATTATATGGCACTTAATCAAGCAGATGTTTCTAAAGTAATTACGGGCCCGCTGAACGCTTATTCGTATGTATTCAGACTGTTTTTTTTTCTTCGTATCATTAGTAACCTTGCCTCTTTTTTGAAATATTATTAAGAATGCAATATCTTCGATATTTAAAACAATTCTTTCAAATAATGTTTAAAATCGAAAATTCAGCAGAAATACCAAAACATGTCAGCGACAAGATGGACGATGACATGAGTGATTCCGATGAGGAAAGAAATGACGATGACGATGATGATGATGAATTAAAAACTGGAAGTCCAAAAATCCTTCTAACTGCTGTTGGTATTGGTTATCATAATTTAACGAAAACATTGATCTAAAATCGTTTTGTTGTTAAAATTTCTGTTTTTGTTATAATAAAAACGGTGGTGTATCCGAAATGAAATAGTAACAAAGGCAAGGGGAAAATTATTCGAAATTTGTGCTTATCATCATTATTGGTATTGAGAAGAAGTACGGAAAGTGTTTTATTTTGGTTAAAAAAGCAACTTTTTCCTTTTATGCAATTAAAAACGCAAGCATGTGGAAGACTCATATGTATCTTGATCATTAGCTCTATTAAAAGAAAGATTCATCCTACGAAGAATCTATGAGCATAACAACCGGTCGAATAATACGGAGAGGGTTTCCATTTTCGATTGTTAAAAACCATATCAGATTACGAAAGACGTTATTGTTACCAGATAGTATTAATCCGAATAATATAATAAGGTTATTCAAAACGGAACTGTATCAATTTTGTTTTTGAGTAATAAAGATATTCCGTGTTATTATTTTGGAATAATATATTATTTGGAATAGAATGCGTAAGCTCTATCATGACGTATTTGTGAGGTGCCATTCAATTATGTGAAATTCCTTTCGAAATTAATAGTCAGCTTTATGAGAATCTAAAAGAGTTTTCATTTAATGGTACGACCATTTTGATTTGCGAATTACGCAAATGAGTTTGTATGTAACTCTATGCATGTTAATAAATATTTGCATCGCCCTATTGAACACGGCGATAATGCGTTTTTTTAATACTTAGGTGTCATCGTGAGGTTTCGATGAATTTAAATTTATTCATCTTCAGCAACAATTCTATTTTCATGCTGAACTCATTATCTATGCTAGACAGGTTGAGATAATTTTGAGACGCAGTACAAAAGAATGTTATCTTCAGTCTGTTAGACATCATATTTTAGGGCACCTTATCTTGTTTACTTAAAGTATTTAATTACTGGAGGTATTCTCTTTCAGTTAATATTCCAAAAAAAAGAGGCTTCATATTTTGTATTGGTATTCAGCATTAAGAATGCATTCACATGAATTCAATGGCATCAGTCACTCATCTACCAACGGGATTTGAAACAGAAGGTGTATTGGTTGAAATTTTCTGAATTGGCGGTGCTTCTTATCAAAGTGTTCCTTTTCAGTTTATATAATATATCAGTAGGCCAAAGACGCAAGCAAGTAATAGGATCATAAGTAAAAGAAGTTGTTTCTGGTCATTTGAATCAGGGTTTTAATCATTCGTTCATTTCGTTTTATAACTTCTTAAAGGTATTAATACCGCGTTTTTTTTTATTTTCAATTATGCGAATCATAATCTGACGATAATGAGTGCGCTGAGAACGATCTACTTTCAAATTTGCTTTCGGTAGATGCATAACTGACGTCATTGAATCTCCCGAGAGCGTTTATGAGAGGTTCACCCGAATGAAATCCTAATGTTGAACAGTTACTTTTCTGTAAATAATAACTCAAAGAAATCGGACGAATGACACTTCGTCTCACCTCTTTTTTACGAACTCCGGTAAAATGATTTGTTTACGATCTCCTGACATGAAGAAACAGACATGGTGTTCGTAACGGCAAACACAGAAAGGCCGTAATAAAAAACGACACGATTTTTGTATGTTCAGGTTGGCTCAACTATAAGAGAATATGAAGTGGTACGCTACAGTCGCAACCTAAAATCATGCATAAAGCGACCGTTCCGATGAACTCAAGCAATTGCGATTGCACTTCTGTTTACTATTATAACTCTAGGTTTAGTTATTATTCTCCTTATTCCTTCAATACATTCTCTATTACAAATACCAGTTTTACTGAAAGAATAGAAATACATATTTATTCGTGACTCTAGTGTTAATATACATCATCATTCTATTTATCCTTCGATGAATGTACACGCTTTTTGGACCTAATTAAGTTTTTACTTTCCCATGTTGTGGCAACAAGATCAGGCTGAATTGATGATGTGCAAGATGAAGACGAAGCAGCAGTGGCACGATCGTTGGGTCTAACCCTAAGACGATTCAATATTGGAGTTAAACGCAAATAAGATGCAGGAGCAGTTTGCTCAGCTGTTGCTGTTGTTTTTTAATCAATTTATTATCTTTAACTTTATGTTTCTTTAATGATGGAGATTGAGAACGTTCATCAGATAATGATTGTGAACAAGAAGTACTCTTCTTAACAGTTGATGAGGATGATACAACCTATTATATTATTGCTTATAAGAACAGAAAGTCTTTATATCAATTGCCAAATCTTTATAAATTCTTTTACGAACTTCAAGTTAAAGTACCCTTAGAACTGCCTTCCGAACAACCGACTTTGTTCATTATGATATCCAGGTGTTACGGAAATATAGCAGGAAATATACTATTCCGAATATCCGGTCAACACGTTATGATCTTCCTGTTATCTATTACGAACTCCTGTCATAAATTTTTACGAATAAAATTCATTTCCAAACGCCCGGTCACATTTACCGATGTTCGTAAGAGGTGAGGCGAAGTGCCATTTTCTCAAGAAATCATCTTCGACAAATAAATGCTTTAAGCACAGTAAACGCAGTGACGTAGAAAATCTTAGCTTATACATAAAATTTGACTAATCTTCAAGATTATCTAGACTTGTTCTGCATAGATAATAAGCAAGTGAAAAGAAAGAAAGTCATGTTTAAGATTTTTCGATAAATATAAATAATGATTAAGTGCGACAAAAACTATCTTGACCTGCAACATGATGGTCGATGTACTCTCTAAATTGTTCTCCTTGAGACGAGAAAAAAAATAATCTGATTTAGCATTGATGAAAAATTGATTTCGAAGGTTTTTGCGTCGCTGATTGATTACAAGAATGAGGAGAAACATCTGTCAACACAAGTTTCTTCATTTATAATTTAATGATGAAAACTCTTATTTTGCGTTGCCGTTATCATGTTCGACAGAATTATTATACAGATTATCGCAAAATACAGTTTAAGGATTTCTTTCAAACTGCTAATTTTCAAAGGAAACAAAATATTTCATCTGTAAAACTAGATTAAATGGTCAGAATCCAGATTAACAGCAAACAAAACGTGTGAGATGCGAAACTGTTTTGATGGTTCGGTAGTATTGTACGAAACAAATACTAAAAATGAATTTTTTATCTGAAAATTTATTTAATCCAAGAGAACAACATCGGATGAAGCGCTTATATATTGTGTAGCGTGTTTCTATTTTCATTTTTTTCCCTAGTTTTCATGGCAAGGTGAATGTGAACCAAAGAAAGGAAATGAATCGAAGACGTATTGACAGTATAAATGAATTACACAACAGCGCATTTCGATTTAACCTACTGGCAATCTGCTGCATTCACTGACCTAGAAGTTTATCCGGGAAACTATTTATCTAATAACGGATCGCATAAATCGTGCGCATTGATAGTTTTATTTCCAGTGTAAAAATTTAAAAATATGTAATTAAAATTCTGAAAGCATTACCGGTATGAGAATATTGTGATGACCTCTTTCGACAGATGATATAAATAGTTCTATCATACTTTTTGATGTAAACAATTCAACCGGATATAGATATAGAACACTCTTTAGAACTATACACATACATATGTTTACTAAGCCGGGAAATGTTTTGAGTTATGGTAAAATAATAGTGTCATCCGACGAAGCCTTTTATTATGCATTATTTTCAAAGAAACACAACATTACTGTAATAAAATAAGAATATAGTGGGAAATACCACAATTAATTCCATAGGTATGCTTTATTAACAAAAAAAAAACTTAATTTTGTTTTGGTTTTACAAACGCGTTGACGTATACAAACCTAATGTATATCTGCGTCTTTGACTTGGGTCATTATTTACAATGCCTAACAATTGTCTTAATGTTAATCGAAATTGGGGTGATGCTACACCATAAAGAATAAAGTTCAATGCATGATTAGAATATGATAGTGATAAAGTTATAGAATTAAATAGACGGTAACGATATTCTTGATTAAGATCTTCAAATATTTGTCCTAGAGCAATCGGCGCAAGTAATAGAATAAAAACGATATTTAATATAAATAACATGTAAGAAATTTGTTTTGCACGACGTGTTCCTCGACGCGTTTTACCATTAGCTAGTATTTTTATGGTAGCGTTATTTAATGAAAAAAATAGACGATAACTTATGATGCCAGCACAAATCGACATAATTAAAAATGGAATAAGTACATAAGAGAAAAGGTCAATTATATTGTAAGGTTTTTCGAAAAATTGAAAATAGGCTGTTGATGTATTATGTGTACAAACAATAATATCTTTGTATGATGAAACGTTGCTATTTGATGAGAGAATTTCCCTCTCTTTAAAGCCCATAAAAAATAGGATATGACTGTTTACTAATGAGATTATTAGACACATGGCGATAAATATTCGATCAGCTGATTTCGGACTACTGAAACGTTTCCTTAAGTGAACAATTGTACACGCAATAGCGCGATCTATTGAAACCATGGTTAATATCCATGATGATAAATGCGTTGTTACATAAGTTAAAAATGTGTGAAACTTACAAAAAAATAAATTGTGTTCGCGTATATCAAATAGGAAATAATCGTGTAGTATGAGATGTCCTAAACCTAAATAAAGTACCAATAAATCAACGATTGATAAATACGCTAAATAACGAAATGTGGAATAGGCGCGTAACTGCTTTTGTGAAAATACGATAAACGATAATGAATTACCAATGCTACCAATAAATAAACATATTAGAGCAAATGGTCGTGTTATACGAGGATCATATATATCAGTTGATAATAAATCTGTCGTTGTTAATGATGTTGTTGTCGATATACTTATTGGCATCGTTGTTGCTGTTTTTAAAATTGAATCCATGCGATTATGCTTTAGATAAGATGAAATTGTGCAATTTAACGTCTATTCAGAATGATAAAGAAGAAAAACTAGATCAATAATTATTTACCATAAGGCATTTATTTTTCTTCTCATCAGATAAGGGTAAAAATTTGTGCATGAAGATATCCATTAGACAAAAAGTAAATTAATTAGTGCCATTTGATAAACTTATGATATATTTATATATGCGTAAAAAATGCTACATGGATCAGAAGAAAAAGAAGAAAATGCTTTTTTCTTGTCTCTCTACATTATAAACATGTTTTTTGTTTTCAAGACTCTTTAAGCTATTTTTTTCTCTTCGGCACTCATTGTCAAAATAAATCTGTCTACTTGTCAACATAAACTTATTGATACAAATTAAGTATGAATGAGGTTTTTCTTTAAACAAAATATAAAAAAAATATATTTGTATGACAGTGTGATATTTTCCTCAATAGTTCTATTTGTGTCATGGCAGATCTAGAAAAAAAGAAATACGATTAGTCAAAGAAGTGATAAATAATTGAAGCAGATCATACATAACAACAGTAATAATACCAGCAAATTTCTCATGGGAAACATATCTAATGAAGTAGTCAATAGATCAGACGTAAGTTTTGTTGTCTCTGTGTTTTATAATAAAACAAAAATATGCCTGTCTTTATTTATACATCAATATACAAATATGCTTTTAATGTTTCCAGGAAAACCTATTATTGAGAGTCATATTTATTTTATTGCTAATAGATTACAATTTATCAAAAGGGCATTTGACATTCTACTTTGTTTTACACGATTGGCCTATTACAAACGCAGACACGTTTACTACATAAGACGAATTTTCTTTTTTCTTTCATCGCCACATGTATCATGCCAATGTAAACGTGCGAGGGCTGTGAAAAATATGTTGTATTTCGTCTTTTTAAGATCGAGCTTTTACTGATTGTATTTGTTGTCAATCCGACAGATATTTGCACTGATAATCTTGATATGTTCAGAAAGAGGAAAAGCAACAATGCGGAATAAGATAATTGATTTATAATAAACTCATGTTTTTAGTGTTTCGACTTACTCAGATGTTGAGCGATAGTAATGGAATTAACAGGCACATCTTCCGACAAAAAAGAGAGAATGCGGAAAATCCGATATATTGATAAGAACATATCCACTTATCTTTTCAGCATCAAAGAAGTAACCTGTGATTACTTTATAGATATCACTAGTTGATGTTTAAGCGGGCGGATGAGGTAAAAGCGTTCTATTTTTATTGGTTACTAACGTAAAGCAATTGCCGGTTAACTGTTGCGTTTTCATAGTGATGAACTGATTTTAACAGATACGAAAAGGAGAATGTTGCTGGAGCCAAACCATATCAATATTCTTTTATCATTTGTACGTTCAATAGCAAGATCAAATGATCCTTATCAATTATTGTTACATAATAAAGTATGGAATTAAAAAAAAAGAACATATTTTTCTTTCCTTGAACTATATATTTATTTTATTTTCATCTTACATATAGCGTTCTTCATTGTTACTTGATTCATTATTAAAGCAAATTATCGATCGTACTAATTCTAACCATCCACTTATAATCGATCAACGTTTAGAAAATATTGTTATTGCTTTAGCTTATTTAGCTGTTGAACTACAAGATAAATGTCAAGTATAAGATTTCTACTGTTAATATTTATTCTCGTATTTATTTCTATTTATTCAAAAGATTCGTCAGGATATTCTTAAGGTTTTACTCGAAATTTATCCGAGAATACCAACAGCAAAGTACTATGAAGTGGCTTCATGTAATTACAAACATGGTAGTAAAATAATCTATTAGATAAATTCAACAAGATTTACTTTCTCTACTCCCGTAGGATTACCTCCAGCAGAGGTATTTAGCTTTTGTTTGCATACAGCTCTAACTGAAATTGCATCAACATCACACGATGCAAAGACAAGAGACAATGTAAGATACATGAAATATATTAAGAACAAAAAAAATATACGTGAATTAGTTTTTAATAGATTATGTCTAATATGGCGGATAGCGTTCGGAAGATTGTTGAACGTTTACGTAAAGATGCTCATAGTCATGCGACAGGTAATTCGGCTTAATTAATAGAAATAAATTGTAATTTCAATTGTAGAGAGATATCAAGTAATCTATCGATTTGAAGTACCATATCTATTTGGAGCATTAAGATCCATTGGAAGGTAAATAATGTTTTTTTTAATATTTTGACAGTTTAAAAGAGTTAGGCTCATTCTGGAAGACCAAGAATCCTATCGTTGTTTGTCGTAGAAGCAATAAAATTTATATTGAATCACATTAGTAATTTTCAGAGATAACCATTGGTCAAAATCATCGTAGAGGGGAGGGCTGTGCTCCCTCTGGATACGACACTATTTCTGACTGACGCTCATATAAAAAGAAATGTTTAGATACGGACTCGATCGAGTATAGCAATAAGATGATGATGATGAACCCTAAGTCTGATATTCCTTCACTTGGACTAAATTCAATATTTTCCATCAACTAACAAGTAGTCGTTCCTTTTGATATTCGAGAAAATCTATTGATATTGTTATTTAGAATATCTGGATCCGATCAAAGTCTAATGTCACAACTATTTCCAATAAGTTTTAATTCCATAACACAATCGATTCATATTGAAAAACAAGAATTAACGAATAATAATTTAGCGAATGTAACAAATAGCCCAATTGCATTTCGTCCGATTATTTCGAAAGTTTTATCAAGAAGTGTTCTCTCAGCAACTAATGATAGTATATCACAGTTAGCGCATTCAAATCCTTTACTATTAAATGACGATCAACGTGATTATTCAGCAACATATCAATCCCTTTCGTAAGTTTAATTCCGTTTGTTTGTCTTTCCCAAGGCTTGAAATTTCTACCATAGATATTTTTCACATCGATCAAAGTATGTATATCAATTGTCAGTAAAAAACATATATTAACCCTTTTTTTTGCCGTTTGCTAATTCATTAGATTCAATAAGTTTTGTCTCTCGCAGTTTTATGAAAATTTCTCATTAGATGTTCTTTTTAATCTTCTCAATCATCGTTATTCTTACTCTCGAAATATGATTAAATTTCGCTGTCACTATTTTGTGAGAAGAGCAATTTCAGTCACAAAACGAGAAAATAATTCACTAAAATATTGCTTATTACTCTTACAGAACTTCACTTACAGTAGAAGCATTGCTTGATAATAAGTAATAAAACTAATGTGTGAAATTCTTTTCCTAACAATTCGCTTTTCTAACTGTCAGAATACTCTTGTTCTTTGTAATACTACTTTGTCTCGTTAAATAGTCACTTTGTTTTTACGTGCAAGGCTTTCATAACTGAATGGCTATTTGATCAGGCAGCATCTAGAGATTGTTGTGCGGAAATCTTAACACTTCTGTCGAATTACTCTATAAATAGCGTGCTGATGACATTATGACAGATACAAATTATTGCTGTCTTAGACTGGCATTCTTTTGAGTCTTAGCGCTGTCTCTCAGGAACATTCGACAAGAACAACATGACCGAGACTGAGGGTTGCTCGAAAATAGTGAGAGTGAATTAACCATCGGTATTCTCTATTAAACAAACCTAAAATATCAAGTTATTTTACAGTATAACGCCAGAATCGTTTCGTGATTAGTGCTAACGAATTCATTGCAATGCTTGTTTTCAGCTAAATTCATTAGCAAATAGCTTTAACTATGATTTTCAATTTGAATGTTCTGCTTTCTAGGTTGGCAGAGAACAGTGAACTGTACATATGGAAGGATGATCTTCCAATCGATACTCTATTTTTTTCCGTCTCTGGTTCAACATATCTTAATCGTCAAATAGCGTTATCAAATGTTACTTCTACTCGTTTTCGCGTTTGCCTTACTGTTCCTGTATTGGAACATATACACGAAGTAAATTTCATCTTTTTTTTTCTTCTTCGATAATGATGAAATACAAAATCACATTTTAGACATTGCAATTGATCGACAGTCGTGTTGTTAAATTTCTGGATAAAGCAGCAATTACTGAATATGATTCCATTCATCGATCTCAGGTCTTTAAAGTAAACGTAAGTTTTCTACTAAACTATCACACTGATAAAATCAATATTTTTCTACTAATTTAGTCCAAACATAATTTTCCATATACATATTTTGGTGACATTCTTATCTTATGCGTTATTAAATTCTTTCGTGATAATCTTGATTTGATAAATAAATCTACTGGTATGTTTGAATATAGTTGTTCACGCGAGCAAAAAAATAATATTATGACGATTTTATTTAGAAAGACAAAAGAAACATGAATTAAGTAGGTTTAAAATTCAAGAAAATGAGTAATACTACTAACCGGAATAAATGAAATGCTCACTATTCTATGTCTTAAATCAGTACATAGTTAAAATGTTCAGTTCCTTCTAAGTTATGCGCTCACTAAACTAACACTTTATGCACTGTTGACAGCTAAAGATCAAATGAGTAGTTGATTCTATTATTCGCTATTTTTACTTTCTTTTTGGTGGATCGATGAGAACTTGAGTGTATATCGTCCTTCAATTAGTTTTGCTTTAAGAATAATTTTAATGATTGCTTTTAGAACGATACATATCAATGACAAAAGCTACTTATTTGTTTGTTCAACAATTGATAACAATTAAATTATTAGACTTGGACAATGATGGTTATAGAAATGATATACATCGTTATCGAACACGTGTGGATGCGAATGCAGCAGCATTAGAATTGCTTTGTTTATCCTGCGATGGTGAAATAGGTACGTTAGTGTAGATATATATATATATATGTAAAGAGAGAGAAAAATGTGCAATATTAGAGTAAATACTGAGATCCGAGCTCACGAAAATATTTCAGCATCAATGCTATCGAAATATAATTTCGCGAATATTAGGATACCGATGTATTGATGGTGGGAAAACAAAAAGTGCACACGATGAGATTTATATTCATCATAGATTTCATTGGAGATCATTTTGTTTTTACTACTAAAAATATTACCTACTAATGACTACTATTAGGTCTACCGATGCAAAATGATGGATTTCTGAGTATGTATATTGTAAAGTGTACTTCTTCACTAATTGTTCTCTTCTTCCACTCGTCTAATTATGCATTCTTTTATCACAGGTTTTTTTAAGAAATCAGCAAATAGATGACTGATGAATCACGAGAGCTTCACATTTTTAGTGCTTCAATCTTATCAGAACCGTGTCCTATGTATATTACAATCCTTACAATAGTTTCATGCATGATTCTAGAGTAAATACAGTAATCACTCCTATTTGTTTCACTGCTTTGAATAGCCTGAAGATATTTTTCTTTCATAAACGCATGAATTGTAGTTGACTGTATCGATTTTTCAGTAATCGAAATTGTCGGTGAAATGTTTTCCGGATTTCATGATCAGTTCGAGCGGCTAATACAATCGAATACGTCTGACGAAACTTCATGCAAAATAAACATCTATGAAATTATACGAATCTTCTTCATTCCAATTTTAAATGCAATCATGCATAAATACAAAATGAATTTCGGAGAAAACGATTCGCGTAGAATTTGTCTCTACAAGAAAAGCGCGATATACTTGTCCTAAACAACCAATCGTGTGACAAATATATAGGACCAGTACTTTCACCGTGGATGCTTGTTTAAGAGAATAAAAACTGTGCATAGACTTTTATTTGAACTCTTCTCGGTTTCCTTCATGACAGATTCAGTCAAGTTCAATGATTCTCTGTTAAGTCTTCGTTTATTCGAAAAAACTTATTCGTCTATTTGATGTTTTTAATTCTTGGTTCGTTAATTAAAACTATTGTAATGATTCTTGTTTAATTGATCGAAATCTTCACTGGTTATTTTCGGTTGTGATTTTTTTAGAAGCTGAAAAATTATGTACGAAATGTGCCGAAAAATTCACTCAAGATACCATAAGTATGAAATTATTGGCTTGTCAAATGCCATTGTTAATTACATCGTTAGAAGTAAAACAAGACACTAAAATTCAAATGTTGTGCTTATTTTTCTAAACAAAATTTCATTTAAGATACTAAGCCGATTAGCAGAAAAATATAAATCATTGGCAACATATTCCATTCGAGTTCTCTGTGATTTTCTAACTGAACCATCACCGTTACTCTCGAAATTATACCGGCATACGCATCAAAAGATTAATGAAGAACAACAAAATTCGCTGTCGAATGATAACCGTCAAAGTTCAAGAGAATATCGAGCGTTTCAAATATTTGAAAGATTACGAGACATAGCAATTGAAGGTTTATGCAAGTAAGCTGATTCTTTGCTTCAATCTAAAAACTTACAAACTGATACTCATATAGATTATTATTTATTTGTCTGGATTCGGATCCGAAATGTGTGGAAGTCTTGCTTACGCAACTTTCTGCAAGACTCGCCTCAGGACATATCAATAATAAGTAAGTAACCAAAACTTACAGGTCCCTTTTTTTGTCACAGCACAAGTTTTCTATGTAACATTTGTTTTCACAAATAATACCATACTAAATGTTTACAGTGCACATTGGGTGTTTAATATTATACTGCTTGATGCAGCACTTTTCAAACGCCGCTCGTCAATACATCCCGATATTGAGAAAGAAAAATATGACGATCTATTGTAAGTGAGTAGACTAGTAGAATATATCTATTTACTAGTTTGCTCAGCTTGCTTTTTCCCTTGAGGGTGTTAATATGTTGAGCTCATGTCGATTATTATTCATGCACTTTCACTTAGCTTTGCATCTCTGCTGATTCGATTGCTTTGCAGAAAATTGCGTTTAGAGTGTAGACTTGGGAAGTTCATGTTTGAATTCAGCAAACCTATGATGCTAGTAGTTTGAAAGCGACTTCTTTCGCAGACAACTCAATTGACGCATCAGTTAAAATTTTGAACTGCAAACAGCTTGTATATACTTTGAAAAAGAGCGAATCGTTCTTGGGCTGTGGATGACTTTAGTTCACCTGAATGTATATCTAGTCTTATCAATTAAAATCTCGTTCGAAAGTTTCGACTGTTTTCTACGAATTGATATACATATATCATGATCTAGAGAAAATCAGAAATTCCCATATGGAAAGCAACTTAGCTGGTACTCGATGAAGTCTACCAAAAGTATTTGTTGGTATTTCTGTGTGATTCAAATTCAACGAAATATTATTGGACAGATATTTTTATATGATTTGACAAATTCAACAAGATCGTGCACGAAATAGTTTGTTTAACTGTTAATAGAATGAAGCTTTTTTCTATTATTCTTACGGAGAAACTATTGCATAACTTGATTAAAGTTTGGCTATTGCTCGATTTTTTTTCTCCAAAGCTTAAAATCTCGCTTCTAGTCTATCTTCAAGCTGAACCGCTTGAAAATCTTGTAATTATTATTTTGTTTAGACAAACATCATTGGTAGCTCACAATGCTATTCTTACCTTGGGCCATATGGCCATAGCCTTAAAAGATGTTCAGCACACACAACAATCCATTTTAGCTCGTTTTCAACAACGTCTTGGTGATCCGCCATCCCCACTCGATATTCTAATTATTAACCAAATCGGTTGTATGCTTATTTCGAGCCTTGTAAGTAAAATTCTATTGCGTGAGAAAATGTTCGAAAGTTAACAATTCAGAATAGAGCATTGTTTAGAAAAGGAAAACAGAAGATATTTTCAGGTCATTTAGTTTCATTGCTTTTTGTCTTGTTCTTTTTTTTGCATTTGATTTTTATTAATAAACAACCATATGTTGATTCGTCATTCTTGTTTTTAGCCACAAGCAACTTACGAAGAAATTATCAGATTATTTACCGAAATAATTGTCAATTCAACCTATCCATCAAATGATTCTACACACGAATTAACCATTACAGGTCGACATCCAATAAAATATAAGTATGTCAATTGTACAAATAATTAATTTTCTGATTATAAAATTTCCTTTTTCTTAGGCAAGCATCGAATGCCGTCATTAATGCATTGGCTAATGTTGCTGCTAATATTCAAGGAACAGTAGAACTAATGAATCTTCTAACCAGTATTCTAGAATTGTTTGTTCAATTGGGCTTACGAGCAAAAGATGCAAGCGAAAAATCGACTAAGAATGCTTTGAAGGTAAAGTTTTCGGTGAAACAAAAGTTTCTATTATATATTGTTTCTATTTAAAGGTTTCAAATACAGCTGGCAGTCTTGGCGTATTGATTCCTGTTATTGCTGTTGTTATGCAACGCATTACTGTTATAAGTGAACCGTCCGAACGAGTTTTTCGTTTATTTCAACGGTTTTGGTTTTATTGTGTTCTATATGGATTTGCTGATCCAGATGGAGGCTTATGGCCATCAGAATGGCATGATTGTGTACGATTGATTGCAACTAAATCGCCAACACTAGTTTCTCAACATGTATCATATGTGCCGTTGAAGGCTGCCATGCCATTGAAAGCAGAGCAAATCACAAAAGTAAACAATAAATAACACGAGCAAAAATACAACTGACAATATAATCCTTTTTTTTTCTATATATAGGAAGACAATAACGCATTAAAATATAAATTGAACAGTATATTTTCTTCTTACCCAAGTGCTAAACCATATATTGATCGGTTTGGTTTCGAACAAAGTGCTTATACACTTTCCGTGTATTATCTTGAAACGTATCGGTAATTATTTGAGCATGAGATTTTTCTCGAAGTTGAAAATATGTTTATAATAAACTATTTATTGTTTTTTTTTCAGAGTTCGATATTCACTTGTACCATTGGCATTTCAATCTATATTTTCTTATCTTGAAGATCCAGGCTTGATCAGAGATAAATTCGGTGATTATGATTATAAATAGATCCGTTTTCTGTACGGCATTCGTTTTGATTTCTCTAGGTCTATGGACACTGATGATAGCAGTAGGAAGAAAAGGCTTTGATATATATGTCGAAGAAATGAAAAAATTGGTAAGTTTAATCATCGAAATTAATATTCAAAAAAAATTAGTTTTGTTTAAAGCCAAAAAGTCCTGAACGAAATAAAAATCTTGAAACTCAATGTCAATTTTTTATGATTAAACGAACACATGTTCGACCAGAAGTACGAGAAGAAGCAAAAATCTATCTTCATTCGTTGCTATCGAAAAATGCGTAAATTTATTTTTAAATTAATTTATAAAAATATCTTTCCTTTTGCTTTTTTCGTAGTTTTCCACATTTATTCTGCAACGTAGTTGTGATTGAAACTCTGATGAATATTATTAATATTCTTTCGTATTCATTAAATGAAGATAATCTACATAAAGTTATCGCTCATCATCGTGTACCAGATACAGGTTATACTATTCAATTTGTTGATACTCACGAAAAACGATTGGTTTGTTCAGTGAAAAAAGTCCTTTCAAAATAAAACTATTCTTCCTTTAATTACATAGGAACTTTTCAATGCATTTGTCGATTTCGGTCGCATGTTCACCGAACAATCTCTGATGATATCACCGACATTACTTAAATCATGTATACAAGTAAGAATACAAAGTTTATTCACACACGCTCAACTAGAGATTTCGATTCCGATCCTGTCGAACCGCATTTGAATACTGATAGCAACATGTTCTAATCGGAATTCAAGGATAAGAAAAGCTTCTTCTCCAATTTCGTCTTGGATGAGGATCACACGCACAATTTTCCAGGATTACCTTGACTGTTATCGCCCATCAAATCAAATAGGTTGGGCCCGAGTCCTATCCGACGAGCTCTAGTCTGCAGTAGCTTAACTTTTAACTAAAATCTAAAAGAATACTTTTATTATTATTATTATTCTCATTTAGCAATACATGCTCAAACTTGAACAAGGCCGACGAAATTCCGATATTGTTCGTCAACACCGAGGTCTACATGTAAGTCCCATGGACTATGCCAAATACTTATTTCTATTCAATCTACATAGGTTATGTGGGAATATTTAAGTACATCTTCAAAAGCCGTTGATACTAGTGTAAGTTTATCATTTTTCTAAATACAATTCAATTGTGTTTTCGATAAAACTTGATAGTCATCATCTACTGGAACTAAAATGTACTATCGAACAGATTTCGCTGACTATATGATATCATTAAGTGAAAGAAATGCAGCCGTTGGCTTTGTACGTAGTTTTTACAATCGTAATAAAAAATAAATAAACTAAAAATTGTAGGTTGAAGGACTCGATCGTAATGATTATCGAACAGCATTGGAAAACATTAGAAAAGAAATGGAAAACGCTGTTCATAATCGATTGTATTCACTTGAAAAATTTAAATCATTACAACAGCGTCGTCGGCGAATGTCAATTGCTGCACCAATTAATGATAAAGGAATTGAATTGGATTTCGAAGAAAGAATTGCTATTTGTAAGTTCATTGGTTCAGTACAACTTTTATTATATATTGTTTTTATTTATTTGTCTAGTTGATAGCAATTTTCGGAATGGTCTTTTTAAGTTAACAGCAATGTTAATTCATAATATAGATAATTCGGGTAAGAACAGAGTTTCAAAACTAAAGAATCGAGTAACGCATCGTTTGAATTTAGATGATAACGAAAATGAAATGAGTTTCACAACGATTGGTAATCAAACTTATAGAAATGATAAACCGAAAGGTATTTGATCAAGTTCATCAAATGATTATCATGTTTTTTGTTTTTGTTCAAGTGACTGCCCTTGACCGGGATATGGTTCATGCATTAATATGGCTTCCGGTCAAAATGTTTACGACATCTGTGATGGAAGCTGCTGTTGATTGTTGGTCTTGGGCGATTGTGGGTCGACCGGAACTTGAACTATTAGTAAATATATAGTTTATTTATTTTGTTTTTGAATCCTAAATCTTCAATTCGAATGTGCATAGATTGTTGAAGAGATCTATAAAGTATGGGAGAAAGTAATCAGCGATTGCCACGGGTTATATTCCATTGATAAACCAGAACCGTCTCCACTTGCACCATCCGAAAAAGAAGAATTAAAACCCAAACCACCGTCTGTTAATCCGCATCTAATATTGTTTAAAGTAATGCGCTTGTCGACGTGACTTATGATTTGACTATTTTGTTTTTCGTTTGAAATCGTATTTAGTTCATTGAAGAACGTGTCTATTTATGCATGCATAAAGCAGATATTGAAATGGAAATGCTTAATGATTTATTACATAAATCTCTTTCATTAATATTAGAAAATCCTCGAGCACCAATGACAAAACATGTTAGTGCTGTTGGCCTGAGATTTCGACTGTTATATCTTGCACTCTATCTGGTACAAAGTGATTATTTAGCTAATGGCGTGTGTAAATATTTACTACGAGAAAAAGTTTATCATACAGCATTTGATTATTTTACGTAAATAATAAAAATAGAAGTTTATTGTTTTGTTTTTGCTGATTTCAAAGTTTTCTTTTATTCCTCTAGTGTTCGTCATCATTATCCGACTCAATCACAAAATGAATTAAGAAATGATATTCGTAAATTAATCCGATTTTTTTCGTTAGTTCATGGTGAAAAGAAGTTTTGTAATGATACAACACTGACAGGTTTGACTTTATTTGTTTTTAGACTTCATCGTTTTTCTTTGTTTAGTTGAGTTAGATCGTGTTTTAATGAATGGACACCATAATAATGATGTCAGTGATTCGTCATCAAAAGCTGGAGCACCATCAGGATGGATTAATTCATTAGCCGGCGGTGGAGGCGCCGCCGCAGGAGCTGTCGGGCAGTCAACACTAAGTCGAAAATCTGGTAAGGATATAGTTTGGGGTTTTCCGGACTTTGTCTCGAATAGAATTCTTATTATCGAGAAAAACGCATGTAGTTCTCTATTCTTCCTGTGAAGATAATTCAGAGACAATGAATTAATGCTTAAGTTTTCAACTTTTCCGCCATTTGAAGTCTATGAAATATCTAGAGAGTACCAAGAAGCATGCATAAAGCAAAAATAAATATGAAGCGATATATTCGTGATTATAACATTTAGAAAATTCTTCAAATTATAGTCATCTGCGATCGTTTTTCTCAACGATAAATGTCTTAGGAAGTGAGATACATTATATGTTCGATTAGTTTTCAAATTAAGAGCGAGTACTGGATGTCCAATTATCAACAAAAGGATCTGACTGTTGTTACCACGTTACCATCCCGCGGCGGTATATTTACAAAAAAATCCCAATAAACGAATTTAATGTTAAAATCGACACTCTAAAAGACCATCTCGGGATGTTAAGAGGCTTCTAAAACGGATTCAATCTAACACAACCGCGTATAGCTGAGCTGTTTGATTCGTACTCTGAAGTTATTGTGCTTAAATTTCAGTAGCACCTGTTTTATCACATGAGTCTAAATCGCTAACTCTCTACTAAAAACTAAACGTTACACACCATCTACTCGTTTAATTCGTTAGTGTGTATGTAGAGAGTCTATCTGATATTAGCTCTGGGACGCCATCGAATGAATGAATCTACCGATCACTAGCCAGAAAAAGCCTTTTTGGGTATCCTCTAATCTCGTAGTATCCTACTCACCAACAAAGCATGGACTGCAAACTACTAATCAGTTGGTACGATGTCTTCATCTGTAGATTTGATGAAGTAATTAATCGAAAAATATTTCTATAAAGAAATTATTTGCGTTTCAAATAACTTTATTGATGTATTTTTATTTTCTTGTTAACAAAGTTATCTTTCGTGAATCATTCTTACGAGGTAGGTAGCTATGCTAAAACATTAATTAACCTTGATTACTAATTTTGAATTTAAAAAATTAGCTTCTGGTTGATTTTTTTTTGGAATAATTGAAATTTTTTCAAAAATAAAATCTGTTGACTTTTGTCTTCTTATCAGGATCAGCAAAGCATACTGAGAAAAGTCACGATGGACGAATCTTATCTCGAGATTTACTCAAAAAACGTAATCTTCTTCTTACGTTACTTGTAAGTTAAAATGAAGTCTCGACTAAATTCACAGAATCAATTTTTTCAGGCATCTGAAATTGAACGTTTGGAAACGTTTCATAATCCATTGGGTCGCGCAGACCTTCAAATTGATCACAATACGCAGTCAACATACACAAATTGGAAAGTCTATGATATGAATGGAATTTCAAATAAAGCTTGGCGAGAATATGGACGTGTCGCTTGGCTTATTTCGCCTGATTTAGCCATTACTCTTTATTATACGTAATTGAAATCGAGACGATTATTTGAAAAGAATATTTCTAGAGTTCTTTCTTTTTTTCCCTATTATCAGAATTCCAAAAGAATCGTTACGTAATGAAATTCAATATCTTGTTAAATCGTATCCACTACTAGTTCGACACATTCCAGAGGCTCTATGCATTTTTACAGCTACAGCAGAAAACGATCGTCAATGCGAAGTAAATAGAATATTTTAATAGGTGAGAGCAGGAAAATATGCTTCAATAATTATCAATTTTAGACATCGATTATTCTTACTTGGGCTCCTATTGATCCTGTTACTGCACTATCGTATTTTGCTAGTGCAAGACTTAATCAGGTGGCAAATTCATATACAATTCAATTTGCTTCTCGTATGCTTTATACAACAAAAGCTGAAGCACTTATTCTATACATTCCTCAGTTGGTACAAGCCATTCGTTATGATGAAGTAAACGTTAAAAACTTTATCATTCATTTATTGATCGGTTTTTTGTGTTTTTTAGATGGGTTTTGTACGCCGTTTAATATTAGCATTATCAGGAAAATCAAATTTATTAGCACATCAACTTATTTGGAATATACGAACGAATACATTTAAAACTGAAACTACACCTGATCATGAAATGCAAAAGAAATTAGAGCCCATAGCTCAAGAAATTGAATTGAATTTCACGCCGGATGCAAAGAAATTTTACGAGCGTGTTTTTCAATTTTCGGATAAATTAACTAAAGTATCAGATATAATTAAAGTTTTTCCAAAAGGAAATGATCGTAAAGAAGGTATGTTCGATATTTTTCAAATGACGTATTGATACAATGTACACCGTATGGATAGATTGAGTTTAGTCAGTGCGTGAGATCTTTTTGTGGTGCACAAGTCAACTTCTTCAAACTTTCATAAAACTTAATTTACGTACTAAGTCAACATAACAGGTGTTGACAATCGCACATATCTCAATTGATTCATGTTCTTTGAAAGTGTCGAACTGCAATCAGAAAGTCATAGTCGAGTCGATTATCATCAATATTTCTTTAAGATATCTCCTATTGAATTATTTTTCGTGATTGATTTCACAATGTAGAAAGACGGCGGTTTCGGATGCTCGAGAGTCCAATGCATCCGGTGGATAATTTCAAACTTCCTACTAAGTTTCCTAGGGTCACTTATCGATTTCATTTTTTCTTTTATTTAGCTTGTCTCCAAGCGCTACGTGAAATTGGTGCTGAAGTGCCACCAGGTGTTTATCTTCCATCGAATCCAGAAGCTATCGTGGTTTCATTACTACTAGAAAGTGGAGCACCAATGCAAAGGTAGATAGAATTAATGAATGAAAATGTTTCAAATCAATTTCCTTTCGCATACTAGTGCGGCTAAAGCTCCCTATCGAGCAACATTCCGTGTTCAAAGTGTTGGTATCGAACAAGTTGAACGCTGTGCTGATCCCGGTTACGAATTTATGCAAGACATTAGTAATCAATATTCTCAAATGGCTATTTTTAAAGTTGGAGATGATGTTCGACAGGTAGAATCAAGATTTTTGAATTTACATTCAAAACAAATTCTAATTATCAAAGGACATTTTGGCTTTACAATTGATGCGATTGTTTCATAATATATTTGAACAAGAAGGATTAGAACTATATTTATATACATATCGAGTTATTGCCACAAGTCCTGGTGTAAGTGTAGATCCTATTGATTATTTAATTGTGTAGCCAGATATTTTCTAGTGTGGTGTTATTGAATGCGTACCGAATTCTCGTTCACGTGAAGATATCGGTAGAAATACAGAAGTAGGCTTGTTTGATTATTTTCGACATGTTTACGGAAAAGATGATTCAATAAAATTTCAAAAAGTAAAATTTTCTTATTGTTAATCATCCGGCTTTTAATTAACGATTATTATTTAGGCACGTCGAAATTTTGTCATTAGTATGGCTGCTTATTCAGTAGCACTTTTCATGTTGCAAATAAAAGATCGCCACAACGGAAATATCATGTCTGTAGTTAGAAATTGCTCTGATTTGTTTATAGCAACAAGGTTTTTGTTTCGTATTTTAGGATTGACGACGAAGGACATATTATTCATATTGGTATGTAATCAGATGTTTATTTCAATATGTCGATCACGCTTATTTGTTTTTGTAGATTTTGGTTTTATGTTTGAATCATCACCTGGTGGAAATATGAGATTTGAACCAGATATTAAGTTAACCGCTGAAATGATTCTTATTATGGGCGATCTAACCGCTCCGGCATTCCTGTGGTTCAAAGAATTATGCATCAGAGGTTATTTAGCGTTAAGGTAATAAAATATTGTATTGTTTAAATAACGAAGAAGATAGATCACTGATCATAAAGTAGATTTTATGAAACTCTCAATTGTTGCTTTGATTTATTTCTCTGATAATATGTATTCAATACAATGAAAACACGTGTGAATTTCAATTTTTAGCCCAAAAATGATGATCTTTGTTTTAACAGTCTTCGAAATGTGAAAATATATTTAATTGATTTTGTTTTTGTACTCTAGACGTTATCGTACTCATTTTGTAACACTTATTGCATTAATGTTGGACACTGAATTACCATGTTTTCGTGGCCATACATTAGAACAATTAAATGCTCGTCTTAAACCCGAGGCAAGTGAAGCCGAAGCAGCTCGTTATATGCATGAAGTAATTAATCGTTGTGCACACAGTTTAAGAACGCGTATTTATGATTACATTCAATTTCAACAAAATAAAATTCCTTATTAAAAAAAAAACATTTCCTTATGTATTTCTCAAGTTATTTTTGATTTTCTCGCTTATTTCAATGTATTACTTGTGGCTTTTTTGAGATGAAGTGATCTTTCTTATACTTTTATGCATGTATACCTGTGGTTCTTGTTTTTTCTTTTTGTAAGCAACAAATTTATTTATTTTTTATTCAGCAAAAGAATCACGTCTTCCTTGATTGTTTATTATGCTCAATCATTGTGTTTTTTTGTATGACTAGAATTTATTTTGTGCATTTTTGGAAAAATAAAGGAAATTTATGTTTGATTAATAAAATATGCAGTCAATCAGCTATAACTCATAACTTAACGTAGTAGCTAGACTCAATAAATATATGCTGCTTTGCTTTTATCTTGCACAAAGGATGTTTCAATGCGTCCTTGAGCATTATCTCCCCGTGCGTGATAAAGTCAGATCCCCTATCTTCACTTTTACAATTGTTCGATGGTTGGTATTTGGTCTTCTACTTTCAAAGTAAACGATACTTTGCATCTAAATTTTGACTTAGAACTTCTAGAGAAACTATGAAACGTTTACGTATTCAGTTTTTTTAGCGTATCAATTACTATCCAAAACAGCTGTTAACATTGATTCATTCATCATAGTGTTTGTTATGCTTCTAGTGAAAACAAGCAAAACAATCCTATGCATACGAATTCTAATTTTAATTATTTACAGGTAGACAAACTGATTAGTAATTACTTCATTGTCTTTATATAATTAACTTAATATGCGTATAAGGTTCTTGAGGGTATATCGAACTGTAACATCTATGATGTTCTCCTCACATATTATGTTTAATTTAAATAAACACAGCAGTCATTTTTTAAAAGATACTTTAAAAACAAAACAGAACTGTTTATGAAAACAATTTCAAGTCAGTTTTGACCGTGAGGCTTATACGTATGAAGAAAAGGTTAAAAAATGTTGTTTAGAAAAGTAAAAAAAACTCTACGAGCACGGTAGACACGAACGTAACGATGATTGTTGCAATACTTTAACCTCTAGAACTTTGGTAGAATAAACAAAGACAAATTGAGATTTTTAATTTTTACCATCTTCCAAATATTTATACATCGGAAAAATTCTTACTTCTAACGCACTCGAAAGGAATAGAAACTGGCACATTCTTCTCAGAAAAACTTAAAACAAGCATCTATGAATCAGAACAAATCCACTGTCGGCTTATGGAAGAAGTGTAATTATAATTCAAGACTTTTTCTTTATGTTTAACCATTGAAATAGCTCTGTAAACGATTTTCTCGTTAGAAACGTTGATCTAAACATACAACTCTTCATTGCATATATTATCATTCATTTCGATTTCTTTCGCGTGAAACTCAGCTTATTTCATTGGCAACATTTCTTTAATATAAAAAACAAAACAAAAAAGAAAAAGAAAATGATAAATTCATTCCTAAACATGTTTTTGTTAAAGAAAATCAGCTCACACATAAAAAGCCACAACATAATATTTCATTCATATTTAGCACGTTGAATATGTCCACACACTCGGTAACAATAAAGACAAAGAGAAAAGGAATTCACAAATAAAACATGCATAAGTCCATTTAAAGTAGAACGCTCTTGTTCAACTATGCATTTATAATATGTAGCTTAGTAGAATATTGTTGTTGTTGCTGTTCCTTTCTTTTCTTTTTAAACGAGTAATAGAAGCAAATAAATAATGATATACACACACACAATGAAAACGAAAAGAATAATTTGATTTATTTTTTATTTTTAGCAACTGTTTTTGATATCCATTCAAGTCCTTCCTAAAGTGAAATAAATAAACGAGCATAAAGCTGAAATTAAAAACAAACACCAAATTTAGTTTTTTTACTTTAACACCTTCCTTTGTATAAGCTGAGCAGCCTTGGATTTGCCAAGGTCGATCTCGAATTTGATGCAATGATAAACCATCAGTTATATCTGATGCTTTAGCTGCATTGAGTAGATCTTGTTTATTAGCAAATACGAGTAAGGGTACACCGTGTAGTTTTTCTTCTTCTAATAATTCGGATAATTCCTGTAGAAATAAAAATATTTTTAAGGGTGATAATATAAATCTTCAACAAGTCGTCCTATTTCTAATATCTTGCAAATTTTATGTCACTCAGAACAAAGAACCTTTCCTTTTGTTTCATTAAAATTTCACGTGTCCTATCAAATTTTTACATGAACGTTTGAGTGCATCGTAAGTTTTTAAAACGAAGCAAGATATACCTGATTGGTTTCATCGAACCGCTTTCGATCAGAACTATCGATAACATAAATCTAAATACAATAAAAATGGTATAAACAACTAAAACAATATGTTCATACCAAAACATCGGTATTTTCAAAGTAATTACGCCAATATGGACGTATTTTTCGTTGACCACCTGTTAAATAAAATCATTGAATGAGAAACAAAGAAGGTTATAACATGCTTACCAATATCCCAAACATTAAGTTTAAATCCAGTTGATTGCACGCTTTTTATATTGAAACCTTGTGTTGGTGTTATATGTGAGATATCTTCCGAAGCGAGAACTTTGAGCAATGTTGTCTAAAACATTCCGTTGAGAAGTTTTGTGTATAGATAAATTTGAAATTCATACTTTGCCAGCATTATCTAGGCCGAGAAGTAGTATCCGAAGTTCATTTTGTTTTGCAGGACGAAGATTTCGAATTATATCAAGCAAGCCCTATGAGAAATGTATTGGTCATTTATTATTTGATTTCACAAATTTCTTACCATGATGAGCACAAAAATCAGTTAAATTCAGATTTAAATATGAAGATCTGAAGGAATGAACTAGGATGTTATTATTATTACTACGAGAAGAAAATAGAGAAAACAAAAAAAAATTTTCAAATCGTGAAAGAACAGTAGAGATTTTTACGAACAGAAAAGAAACAATGATGACATTATGGCGTCACACAATATTCATAGTAGATATCGTAGTGACGAAGCCTCTTGTGTTGTCAAGCGTCCGAGAAAAACAATCTACTTTCTTTTAAATCGAATAAAATACAAATTATGAATTTTTAAATTATTTTATCGAACTTAATTGTGAATGATTCACGTGAATAGACATCTACTACTGCCATCTATTGAAATCGCCTATTAACCAAAGACCACGTAAAAATTACAAAACTTTTCTCAAATAAGCTAGCTTGGCAATTAATGCATTGTATTTTTTTTTAAATCTTTCCTTCATAAGAAAAATCATTTTATTCAACATCGGGTTTCGGAGCAAAAGGAAACTACACGAATAAATAATATCTCAATTCCATTTAAAATAGGATAAAAAAAATCGCAATATTGAAAAGACCTTAAAATTACCGGTACGGAACAAAAAGAAAAAAATTACTGATTGAATTAGATTGAATCAATATTTTTTTATGAATGGCAATAATCTGACGAAAACGTCATACTTAATTATAGATCCGCTGAGTAAAAAACGAGAGACTTAAGGTATCATTAAAAAAGCGAAAAAGAAAAGTATGAAAAGAAAATGGCATTGGATATTACTAATACGAAAAATTGTTGTGCAAGAACTGTGCATGCCATAGATTAAAACCGGTCGCCAAAATACTAGACCGACTCCTGTTATACTACATGCTAGCACACATTTCGCATTCGATTCTCTACCAATAATTACTCTTTGAAAAAAAACCGATTTTTTGAAACATTATTAGTTACACTGATTTGCCCATTAAAAAGATATTTATCTTGAATCATTTTCTGTGATATTTTGCATTATAGCTTTTAAGCAAAAGGAAATGAGTCAGTCGTAGCATCTAAAAATTCGTTTTTTGATACTTACTTTCTTGTGTAGTGAAACTATTATTGGTTGGTGTTTAGCATTATTTTTCTTTGCATAATCATTAAGACGCACTATTTTAGGTGCATTAAACGTAGATGAATCATTTCCATGTCAAGTTTATTCAAAGTACATAATGCTAATTGTCTGTTAAATACCGTAATATGCGACGAAATAGTGCGTTCCGCCTGAGTCACTTTCGGCCAATGAGAAATATTTTCGCTTCTTTTTTTATCGTTATTACACTCGCACAACCATTAATAAAAATAATATCTAGAGGTATACTTCAAAATTCTGAAAAAATCGTCGTAGTTCCTACTCAGTAATAATCCAATAAGGTAGGTAGCTGTTTATCGAACTTATAAATTCATACGTACTGATTAGTTCATTATGATATCGAATCTTCAAGAAAAATAAACGAAAAATCTTTTTCCAAAGAGTTCAAGTCTCCATAACGAATCGTTGGTGTGATTTCAATGAAGTACTAAGAGAATAATTTATTCGAGAACATTCATTACAAAATCTGGGAGTAAACTATATGTTTTGATTTTACTACTTTCTGTTTAGAGATAAAAATGAATTGTATGATGATAATCATTTTTTCTGTCTTGGTCTCTATCAACGGAGTTTATCCTCAGACTTCGACCGATGGTATTGGTGCCGTTTATACAATGTCGAATGGAGCTATTATGAATCAAATTATTGTCAGTAGTCTAAATTCAAATGGTCAATTGACTTTGATTCAGACGGTTAGCACAAATGGCACCGGCGTAAATACATCTATGGGAGATCCGTTATTTTCGCAAGGTTCATTACAAATCTATTCGAGTTGTTTATTTGCTGTGAATCCAGGTTCGAATTCATTGTCGATGTTTTCGATCGATCCATTGAATGCTACAAATTTGACATTAGTTTCTGTGCAACAAGTAAAAGGCTGGTTTCCTGTTTCAGTAACAGTCAATTCAATGTATGCTTGTGTCTTAACTGGTGGTAATTCAACTGGAATTCGTTGTTTCATGTATAATATGTCAGGCTTATATGTTGTGCCATCGATGGATCGTGACCTAACATCGTATATTTCACAAAGTGTTCCACCAAGTGGCCCGAGAGGAACAATGAGCGAAATTCTATTCTCGGCTGACAATCGGTCTTTGATTGTTGCTGTCAAAGGCTACAATAGTACAATGCCTGGCTATCTCTTATTCTATCTCTTCAGTGATTTATACACGTTAGCAATGAATCCAATACAACAAATACCAACCAATGGTATATTACCATTTTCAATGACACTAGTCAGTAGCAACGGCTTATTAGTCACTGATCCCGGGCCAAACGGTGTTCTAACCATGAACTACACGCCAACGAATGGGTCCATTTCGAATAGTATGCTGACACCGATTAATTCTACACTAGCAGGCGCTCTCTGTTGGTCCACATATTCATCAATGACTGGAAGCTATTATGTCATTGGTGCCAATCCAGCAGCTATTGTGGAATTACGTCTTAATTTAAGTTCCATGTCAACACCGGTTAAAATTTTGCAATACTATTCACTGCCGAATAATATAGGCGCACTTGAAACGACCGTTGTCAATGTCTCTGGCACTGATTATTTGTTTGTCATCGGTACAACAGCGCATGCCATTAGTAGTTATCGCTTGAATGGACCTGGTAGTGCAACATTTATTGGTGTTTTTACCGTACAACAAGGAAATGTAACCACTATACCTAAACTTGCTGGTGTTGCAGCATTTATTCAGAAAACTTCTTCAACAGCTACATTAATTTTACCATCGATCACCATTACTATGCTTTGCTTTCTGTGTCTTTCAATGGTTAAAACTATATTTTCCTTTTAACTATTTGACTTAATTGAAGAAAAATCATGGCAAATCAATTATAAACTAAAACATTATCGGCATAGAAATGTTGACTTATATAACAAACTGATTTCATTGTTTTTAGAGATCGATAGTGAGAAACGTTATACTAAGCGATTCATAGACTTTTTAATTTGAAATTTGCTATTGAATTCTAATCAATCTATCAGAAGACTACTTTTTTTGCTTTATTTAAAATTAGAAGTATTTACAGATCAGAAATTACATTTTTTCAATTCAAAATCTTTTAAAATCTCTTGGTATATTTTTATTCAATATATTTTCCCTTTATCACGTGCATCTTATATTACAACATATACGACTCGCAGCAAAGCTACCTTTATTACTCTTTCTGATTAGAAATTATTACAGGTGAATAAAAAAAATCCATAGTTCAAGGCAAAACACAGTACTTGTATCGATCGATCGATCGATCGATCGAAAGATAAAATCTTAATCAAGAAATGACATCAAGAGTATAAAATGAAAATAATTTTTATCGTTGAGAACAAAAGTCAAATACATCATATGATTCTGCTTTTGGATTGCCAGCTAAAATAGTAGAAAATAAAATTTCCAATTAAAACTATTTTTATTCATCAACAACAATAAAATTATGAAATTAATCTCAAGGCTAGGTGTAGATTATGTTATCCATTCATTCATCCGTATACTCACACTCAAACGAGAGCCACGTGTGACAATATTATATTGATTACGATATTTTAATCTTGAGCCTTGAATCATTTTTTATAAATTTGAAAGAGTTCAGTGATTTATTGTTTGATAATAATTCTATTCTATTTTGTTCCATCGCCACTATCCATACTTTCTTCGTGATAAGTAGATTTCCTTTTTGATCACGTTTCCGATGGATGCCCAAGATGAATGGAATTTGAACGAGCAAATTTGCAAATATATCTTCAACTTCTAGATCAATTTTGAAACAATAATGAACATGAACATAATCTGTTGCTTGAGTAGTATTATGAAATTCATAGGTGGATAGCAATCGATCTTCGGGAATATTGAAAGAGTATGTTTCAATCAAGTTTTCTTCATGTGTATTGACGATTTTTGCCAATGTTACACGACACATGGAAAAATGTCGTCTACTACGTCCAACTTGGCAAAGTTAGAACATCGAGATATTAACTTATTGTATTAAAATTCGCTTCGGATTTTCAATTTCTGCCTTCAATATTGCAGTTTCGCCAGGTGAATAATTCGCTTTGTTTAGAGTTCCTTTGAAAGTGATAGCTTTTCGATTTCTATTTTCGGATATAGTTGAGTTTGGACACTGTACATTTTGTAGAATGCCAACCATTGGAAATACTTTGAAATGAAGATTCTCTGTTAAATCTGATCTATACTAAGATTTTTCGACTACAAACTGTAAATATTACCGAATATGAGGATAAGTAGCCGGTTGATTAAAGAATGGTGGAAGATGAACAAGAAATACTATTTGAAATGGCCACGAGTTTTGACCAAAATCAATTGCCAATTCTTTCTGTTCAGCTTTTAAACCTTTAAAAGGAATTTTCAACGAATAAAATAAAATATGATAATATTCACTCCATCTTTTTCAAAGGCCTCTTGACTCTATAACCGCTCTTTTTCTTCACGTACAATCACATCAACTCATCCAGATATTGTTCCGTTCGTAAAATAAAGTAAATCCGTTCGATCACGATACATAACCCTATTCGTACTTGGTGCACCGTCCATGATTTATTAAGTGTATAACTGTCTACGTAAACCATAAAAATGATTAATTTCGAAAACGGAAGTGATTTTTTTGTTTCATATGATAACTATTATCCATCCTTGTTTTGTTAAGAAGGTTAATATATTAGACATGATTTAATTCTCTTCTTTTATTTTTATCGTGTTGCTTTTATGTAAAGTGGTAAGTGTAAAACAAACGATGGAAAGTTTGGTAGTGATAGGATATTAATAGCTAAATGCATCAAACTAAACAAAGCTTCACCATGGCGCACTACCTATGCTTTATTTTCATGCATATAGCTAACTGATAATGACAATAGGATGACATGCGAGTACTCGAGCGTACTAACCCATTTCACAAAGGTTAATCAACAGAAAAGTGGTTGGAAAAGGAAAAATAATAATAACGGACTGATGAGTCTGTTCATCAAAGCACTGATGACATGCTCATATCTATAGAGAAAAAAGTAATAAGAACCAAAGCTGCTGAATTGACCATCATTTATATGAGAACTCTGTAAAAGTGAACATAAAAATGCTTTCCGACTCGTTTTTCATCATCATCTTCTCCATTTTAATTATTATTTCTACGATCGGTTTACTTTTTGATATTCTCACCATTGTTATAATCACTTGCCATCGACCATATCGTACGCTTACTAATCTTCTCACATTTAATACTAGTGTAATTTCTGTTGCCTACTTTATCATGAATACTATTTCATCAATCTATGGTTTGCGTGAAGAGTGGGCTTTCCATCAGCCGGCATGTGCATTTCGAGGATATTGCTGTGTTATGCTGTGTATATATATGACTTATTCATATTTTCAATTCAAGCTGTTAGTCACTTCTTCTTTGTTGTCTTGTATAAGCATAAATATTTTCTTACACAGGTCGAACAGTCCGATCTGGAGACGGCCGGTTCCGGATAGTTCCGCTGATTTTGTTGAAGTAATATTCCGGTTGGAAATTTTCCGGTGATTTCCGATCAATTCCTGCCGGAAAGTACCGGAAAAGTCCGACCGTATTTTTTGCCGGAATACTGCTTCCATGTTCCAGCGGTTTCCCGTGCTTTCTGCAGGATATGATGACTTTCGCATATTACCTGGAGTATCCTACGGGATCCGGTGGTCGGAATGTTCGACCTGGGATACTTATCGTGTTCATTGCAAGGGGGAAGTACTGACACCTGGCACCCTGGCCCCTCAGCGCCTGCCCAGCACTTTTCGGTGCGACGGAACGCCTTGTTTGATTCTCACAGTATGGAATGAAATTCAATCGACATATTCACCGCCAGAAGCACTTTATTCATTGAAAGACACTGCAATATCGCTTAGTATTGCTGTTGTGCTTTTTGTACTACTTAAAATGAAGAAACAAGTGAAAGACATGACTCTTCGACATCTACATTGTTGGCGTCACCATATTCCACCCGAGCATGCACATCTACAACAGTCTTTAGATTATAGACGGAAATATTGGGCAAATTAATTAATTCATTACGGAGTACTGTACTAAACGAGATGCTCGTCAAGATTATATTGAGCTTGTCCGGGTAACTCTGCTACCGAGTAGTGAATGCGTTACTATTTTTATGTATTTTACTTTTCTCATTACTTTTGAAGAGTTTACCAGAGAAACACGGGCAACATCTTATTTTGTTCACTAAAATGTGCTCTACATAGTGTACTATTCATTTTCCTGTCTAAAATATCCTTTCACTTGTCTTACGAAAAATACAACTGAACAAAAAATAGTTTAAACACATTAAGTACACTTTGTATTTTTCATAAGACAGGTGAAAAAATATTTTAGACAAGAAAAATGAACAGTGCACTTTGTAGAGCGCATTTTAGTGAACAAAATAAGATGCTGCCCATGTTTCCCTGGTAAACTCTTCAAAAGTAATGAGAAAAGTAAAATACATAAAAATAGTAACGCACACACTCTCCTGTAGCAGAGTTAGCCGGACAAGCTCTATTACAAGAGCCTACTCTGCTATTCGTCGATCGTATGAAACCTTCGTTAAACAATTTTGTTTTAGCTTAAAACAATATTCATCTAGTAGATCTGAAAGTAAAGTCGAAAGTCTGCGTGGGCTTACTTCAGAAAATGGTAATGTCGTAAAGGGCGTAGTTGTTAGTAAAAAGGAAGATACATTCACCTGAACACTCGCGCACTCAAGATATTCATGTGCCTTTTGCGATCGAACTTTTGGAATATTTCGAGCTTACTTTATCCGTATATTTCATGTAAAATTTTTAATTACCAATCTAAAATTACAAAATGAAATAGAATAAAGAACATGTGTATGTAAGATGGATCATTGGATCATCATATTTTATAAATTTATGCTGTCTGCAGCATTATCCGATATTTAAATGTTAATCATGAATAACATTTACTGTTTATGATTTCTATCTTTCTCTTTGGCTAATATTGCGCCTTGATGATCAGAAACGGTGGAAGAAAAGAAAAGAAAAGCAATATTATTAAGTTTTTTTCTTTTTGTCATCGAATAGTTCTTTGTTTTCATTTTGGTGGTGAACGATTTTATTCAATTATGAGTGGCTCCAAAAGTCAATATAGATATTTAACACCAAAACTGCGGATCGAAATTCTTATTGGGTTTGTTTTTGGTACCAGTGAAAAACACCTCGACAATTAACTAAATTACTCGTAACCGGACGGCAAAACAACTTATGAGGATAAATATTTTCAGGATTTTTGTTAGTCTCACTTGATGAATTCTTAGCTCTTACAGCCATCTTCATTTCGGATTATATTATAATATAAAATGTTTCGTTTGATCTATTTTTGTCTATGATATAATTCAGTTCATCCATATTATGGTTTTATTTTTAGTACATTTTGTTTTTCTCCGACACTCGTTTCAGTCTTCTTATCTATCATATAAACAACTATCGATGTTGCTATTTTGGAACATTCGATGGGATTTCGTATGCATTTTATGCGTACAATTACATGTAATATATTATGTTAGAGCAATTTGGCCATCGCCAAACTCTTCGAACGTTAAACTGCTTGGAATTTTTGAAAACGTTTCAAGTTCATCTGAATCTGCTGAATTATATATTCATAGTCAAGCTATGTTTAAATCAGCTGTAATACTTTCTCAAGAATACAATATAACAATAGAAGATAAGTACATCGAATGGCATTCAATAGAAACTGTTGGTCATGGAATCGAAACGCTTCGTGATACATGTAAAGTACTATCTATTTCAAATGTTGCTGGTATTGTTGGTCCAGGATTATCAAGTGAAGCTCATGTAATAGCTTCATTCGCAAAAATCATAGGTATCCCGGCTATATCATATAGTGCAACTGATCCTGATTTATCTGATCGGAGCGATTATCCAAATTTTTATCGTACAATTCCCTCAGATAAAATGGCGGCTAAAGCTATTGTAAAGTTATTTGAAAGATTTCATTGGAAATCATGCATTCTTATTTATCAAAACGACGCATTTGGAATGGGAAGCAACAAAATAATAACAGACGAGTTCAATAAAAATAATTTGACAGTTAGAGGTTCAATCATATTTTCTATATCAACACATCATATGCAAGAAGATTTTCACAAATATTTACTAGAAAGTGAAAGTCGAATTGTTATTTTATGGATTCAATCAAATTATATACCTGTAGTATTAAAAGAGGCTCTTAAATATGATGTAGTCGGCCCTGAATTCATATGGATATTGAGTTCAAGTATTTCATTAGATTCATTTGATAGAAGCTATGGAAAATTAATTGGATTATTAACTGTTGAGCCAGTGGCGGGTATTTCAGTTAGTGCTTCAATAAATGCGACATTATTGGATGCAGCATATAAAGTATGGCAAAAATATGAATCGGAAACATTTCCTGTGTCATCGAAGGTTCACTCTTATGCGTTATTTGCATTTGATACGACATGGCTATTAGCTCAATCATTGCAAAAACTGTGTTCAACAATCAAAACTAATTCTTCTTCCTCCTCCTCCTCCTCCTCCTCCTCCCCATCATCGTCTTCGTGTTTGTCGTTTAATGAGCTTTCGTTTTGTTTTGATCGTCGTTTTAGTCAATCTGATTTATTACTAAATACAATAAATCAAATAGAATTTCTTGGTGTATCTGGTCCTGTAAAATTTGATTCCAACGATCTTACCGATCGGGTCAATGGTTCATATTACTACGTGCAAAATCTGCAATCTTTTACCAACGGTTTACATTTTGTTCCAGTATTAAAATACGGTAGCTCTAACGATTGGACTCCAATTGAACAAACAAATACTATTCTCTGGCCAGGCAATTCATCAAAAATTCCAAATGATCACCCAATGATTACAGGTAAAATATTGCATATTACTGTTTTCGAATCCATGCCATTTACAATGATAACGGATTACATTAACGAATATGGGTACAATGAACAAAAGATAATTGGCTTTATACCTGATCTAATTGAGCTTTTAGAAAAAAGAATGGGATTTCATGCGTGTATCCATAAAGCACCATCAAATCAAACTTATTCTGGATTAATTGAAGCTGTAGCGAGAGGTGACTATGATACTGTTTTTGGTGATGTAAGAGTTACCGCGGCAAGAAAAGAATCAACCGCTTTTTCTCATGCAATATTTTATAATTCTTTACGAGTCATAACCCGAAGAACACCTGATATTGATATGGACTTTTTTTACTGCTAAAACCATTCTCACGTAAACTCTGGCTTTTAATCTTTGGCGCGTTTATCTATGCTGCTGTTTTATTTTTTCTTATTGAAAGACAAGATAATGAAGCATTACGAAATCGACCTCTATTATCTCAATTTGCGTTGAGTGTTTGGTATTCTTTTGGTAACATGGCTGGATACGGTGTTGATTTTAATGTTAATACAGTTGCTGGACGCTTTTTGACTGCTAGTTATATATGTTAAGTATAGTATTACTAGCGACATATACTGCAGATTTAGCATCTGATTTAACAATAGCAAAATCAAAATATATTATTTCGGGGATCGATGATATCAAAAATGGAAAAATTCCATTTCATCGTATTGGCATTCCTATTAATACAGCCGTTGAAGATTATTATTTAACATCAATATCTAGAGGAGTTCGGAATTTTTATCCATTAACATCTCCACAAGAATTGTATGATAGTCTATTAGCAGGCTTCATCGATGTTTCCTTCATAGATGCTAGCACAGGTGAATATGTTACGAATAATATCTATTGTAATTTAACATTGATGGGAGATGAGTTTGATCAGGGAGATTTTAGTATTGTTACTAGAAAAGAATGGTTATATATGAATGAGTTAGATGTTACTATTTTGTCCTTGCAAGAATCAGTTGAACTCGATGAGTTAAAGCGTAAATGGTTTCAAAAGAAGACTTGTCCTGATTTATCGGAAGCATCTTCTGAGCTGCAAATTCTACCAGTGAGCGGATTATTTGTGGTTTTTGGATTTATTACTATTCTATCATTTTTATTATTTATATGGCCGAAACGATCGGCTTTTAAAAGATATTTTTTTATTTTACTATTTTGAAAGATGTATTTTGATAAATAAAATCATTCAACAAAAACTCTTGAATGTTTACAAAACTAATCATTAGCAATATTTGACTTGCAATACATTTTTAGGCGGAAACTTTTTCTATTTGGAAAAGAAACTTTGGTTGCACTATTAATCAGGATGAATTCAAATAGTGATTTATTGAGGTCTTGAAAAATAATATTTGGTTTTAAGAACGCAGATTTTCTTGTGATTATTCACAAGCGCTCTCTGTGCATCTTTCCATTTATAGCTGATAATGGGCAAATTACACATTATTTTTCATTATTTCGATTAATGTACGAAACAATTAATGGTAATGCGTTATTTTTTATATTCTCAATGAACTTCAATAGATTTTTTAAAAATTAATGTTCTAATGACTGATAGTACATTGAAAAAGCAATTGTTTTCCTACAAGATGCTTTCTGTTATCATAAACTATCGTGAGGGTGTGGGTGTGGTTCTTTGCTTCACCCACTCATCAACACTCTCTATTCGAGATACTATCGTATGAGTTTAGAGAATGAAAAACGTTTTATTTTTACTTGAAAATACATTTCTTTGACTTGAACAATTAAAATCGCCTATAATAGTTTATTTTTTATTATTGCGAAAAGAAAGCGAGGCGCCTCAAGAATCATAGAGTACGTGTTCGAAAATCTTCAATACAACTGAAGTAATAAGATGCAGAAGCAATTCAAATCTATCGAATTTTGATCATAAGTTTATTTGAAGGAACAGCATCTGTAACGTATTCACCAGCTGTACTCTTTTCAAGAAACGACGGTAGTGTGCGAGATAACAAAGTCCTTTGGCAAAGCAATCATATTTACATCATTAGCTTAAAATTTATATGTTTAACGAATACAATCATTCTTCGAATTATCATGACATATGGCTTGCTCGAAATAAGCATTTTGATGGCAAAAGACGAGGCAGAATACTTGAAGCAATAGAAGTGTGGACGCATCTTATGCACGCATTATTTTTTCGTTCTATCTTTCTGTTTTGCTTTTTTTTATTAGAGTGATAAGAAGAACCAATCTTTTTTGCGTTTGATGTGACAACAAAACTGCTTTTCTCTTTACAACACGCATACTGCTAAAATTAACAGTAGTAAAATTATTTCGTAGTATTTTTAGAGACAAGATACATTGAATGGCTTCTGCAACAACGAACGATAAGTTAAGCGCATGTTGTCTCATGGAGTATCGTCCGTTGCCTGGAACTCCAAGAGGACAAATAATTAAGATCGCTGGAATCGATACGTATCATAGCGTGGGGAAAGACGAAACATTGAAAGGAAAAACAATTGTAATATTAACTGATATATTCGGTACGTTTTTATCATATGTATGCGTATGCCATTACTATACGTGAAATACTAGAACAGGTCTGACAAAGAATCCGCGGATTACTGCCGATGAATTGTCGGAAAAAAGTGGTTTCGATGTTTACGTACCGGATCTATTTGACGGAGACGCAGTTGCCACTTCCTTACTCAAGGATATGCCAGAAGTACCTGGAGAAAAGCAATCCATAGGAACTAAGGTGAATCACAATTATTCAGTTATTTAACGACTTACAAGATTCTGTCTCTTGTTCTATAGCTTAGTATAGCTGGCAAGTTATTGACATCGTTAGGTCCTTGGTTGTTTCGCCATCGTCAAGCAATTACACTTCCTATTATCGAAAAGTTTTTCAAAGTATGTAACTTAGCTTTTTTAATTTTCTTTTATCTGCAAAAGAGGTATTTGTAACAGACTCTTCGTTTGGAAAAAGGAATTACTCGGATACAAGCTGTTGGCTACTGTTTTGGTGGTCTGTATACGCTGTTAGCCGGTAGTGGTCAGCTTCATCTTGTTGATGCCATTGTCGGTTGCCATGTATCATTAACTACTAAATATCACTTTGAACAACTAGAAGTGCCTTCGGCTTTTGCTTGTGCTCAAGAAGACGAACGATTTTCGGATGCTCTTCGAGAAGAAGCAGAACGAATTCTTGCACGCAAGACAGATATACCAAGCAAGTTTCTAGTTACTGAAGGAACAGTTCACGGATTTGCGGCTAGACCCAATCCAGATAACCCTGTCATCATGAAAGCGTACCATCAGGCAAATGATTTAATCGTCGAATGGGCTAAAACTCATCTTTGATTGCTCTATTCACTTTCTGTAGCAGAGTCTGCCTTCGGATAACAAATACCATACATGTTTTAGGGAGCATACTGGAAAAATAAATTCATAAATTTTATGCATTTCCAACTTTTTTCTTTCTCAGTCTCGATGCTTGCTTTTCAGTAGTCGATTTCATACCGAGGACCGTAAATAAATGCTCATGCACTACAACATCACTATTATCTTCTATGAATTTAGTTAAATAAACTGTGCGATTATGATGGGTAGGCCAGAATAAATAGCCCTCTTAGTATTTTGGTGGTCTTTTTTTCAATTTTCATTGTCTGAACTTCAATTCTTCCCCAAAGCATCAGCCATTCGATTCTTTACAGAACCTGCAGCACAAGATCCAATTCTACCTACAAAGAGTGTGAGATGAAAATATTTTGGATTACTTTGAAGTGTGTTATTCTTCACTAAGTAGCTCAAAATTCGTTGTAGTCAAGTTAAAGATCGAAGAAAGAAATCAAATGTCAATTTTCGGCCCTGAATCTGATACAACATTCATTTCTCATTAGAGTGAAAAATAATTCAACCTAAAAGATGTTATTTCGGCTTAACTGTGCCGCAAGGATCAACGAGAAACTTTTCCAATTATGACTGGTCGAAAGAGCTTTTCGAGAGCTACACTATACCTGTTCTGTTTAATTTTTGCTGTCGCTAGCCAACGAAAAAAATTTGAAGAAGCGATTCTTGATCTTTGACAGCTGGCGCTTTTGAACGTGTCGAAGTTTCTGTCTAAAACATTTTCATTTAACTTTCAATCGAAAATTTTTTCGTACCAGTCTTTTAAAGAATTAAATGGTAGATTTTTTGGGGGAAGAATTGAATTTCAGAGAATGATAATTGAAAAATATACCATCAAAATAGTGAGGGTCATTTATTCTAGCCCTCCTGTTAAAATTAGACATTAACCGTTTCCTATTTACATTAGCAATATTTTGTAAACCAGTGTCATGTTTCCTTCATCTCAAGATCTTTTTCTACGAGCTCCGATCGGCGGCTAATTAGCTCAGCGATTTTTGCATTGCTCATGCGTAGTCCATTGACAGGAAAATCACTTTCGACAAGGCCGAGACGGTTCATGTCATAATCGCCGAGTTTGACAAGAAGTAATTGTGTGTAATCTCGATTCTCTCCGTCGAAAAGAAAGCGCTGGATAATTGTTCTCCATTCACTATTGCAGTAATTTGACTTATGATAAGAAGGTGACAAAAATACAACGACTAAGTGAGCATTCCGATAAATGCTTTGCAAGTGATTGACACCATTCAATCGACAAACTTCATGCTGAAAATCCATGTCGAAGAAGACAGGATGAGGACAATTGGGCGAAGTGGCATGGCTCTTCAGAATACGAGCAATATTGAGCACTCTTTTGCGTTTCTCGCTCGAATAGGACAAGGCTATTTTCATTACATTTTCTGTTACAAACGGCGAGTTCTGTTTGATCAGATTAGTCGTAGTAGTATTGGCTGTTGTCACTGGCGTTGTCTCACCTAGAATGAGAAAATGAAATTTCGATAGAACATATGGAGATTACCAATATTAACATTAAACAATTACCTATCTCTGGCACGCTAGAATTTGACGATGATAGACTGTTGTCGTCATCGTCATCTGTGGATTCAGCATAGACTGAAGCTGTGTCGTCTAAAAATATAAAACATACATATCGTTCTTGAACAATATGTCTCTCATAAGATTCACTCACCTTTTAATATTATGTCATTGATCTGGTTAGCCGTATCGTGCTCTAATTGTAACAGTGCACTGGTTCGACCGACTTGAGGGTAGCCATTTTCAACTGTAGATTCATCTGTACTACTTTGTTCGACCGAAATATCACAATTTGATACTTCCAATGCTAAACACACACACATATATATATCCGTATTAATGTCTGTAAATTCCATTTATATTTTCTACTTTTGACCATTTTCTGCTTTTATTTTTACATCTATTTGCTTAGCAAGAATATATCAAACATGAAACCCGACAAAATTCTTCATACTTCACCACGAGTTAATTTGGTAGACTAGCGTAGAAATAGCTTTAATGATTGAGAGAAGCATCGTTGACACTTATAACGCCCCGGAAATAACAGAATCAATTTTTCCAGATTGATTTACTCAACTAAACCAATTTCATTATTCCTATAGAGATATTAAGCGATGAATAAATTCACTGCTTTGCAACTTGAATACTTTGAGAAATTTGTTCGGCTTCTATTTTCTTCTATTGACTTGAACTAACCTCCTTGGTTGGTGGAAAGCGGTTGATAAACAATTTGCGACGGCACTCCTGTGTCAGTTTGAATGTTGGCGTCTGTTGTATCAGTAGCTGTTGTCGGATTGGCAATTTTGAGCATAAGACAGATTACAGTTGCACAAATGAATGTAGTGAAATTACTCAGAATCCAGATTATGACGAGTAAAAATATAATAATCGAATTTTGATTGCCCATACTGCCGTTGCTGTAATTTTCCGAAGACAAATTTGAGTGCGTTTGTGATTTAAGCAATGACTTGACGTATCTATCAGCTGAGAAAAAACAAACAGTTTATGGAACTCGTAGCTATCACACAGAAATAAAATTTGATCTATAAAATCCACATGTGCAATTCTTACATGTTTATATTATGTTTGTCTCTTCTGGCCAGAAAAAAATGAATATCGTATCACATAAACAGACAGCCTATTTGAGATGCTATGGATTTGATAGCTCGTATGGTTTTTCAGTAAGCATAAATTACCCCTTTGACAATAATTTTAGCTGAATCAAACGAAAATGGTTTTCTTTTCTATACTTTCAATAGGAGAAAAAAAGAATTTTAAAACTGGTCAGACTTGATTTAAGTAATCGACTTCTGTGTCTGTCGCACTGTCACAGTTATTAATAAAATCAGATAGGCAAAAACACTATATTCAGTATAAAATTATTTGCTTTGAGTTATTTTTTCATTATTTAAGTAAATAGAAACTATCAAATAAAGAACGATGAAAGGTGGTGCTGTATGAGAATATGTTTGAATTTTGCAAGAGCGACAGCATTAGTCGAAAGTGAACATATTCTATTTTATACAGTGATATCAACATGATATAATTATTTTTATTTTAGGGCTCATATTTCGTTTACCTCTATTCTAAAATATCAATGTAAAACTTTGAAAATAAATTGCTCTCGAACTGAAGATACAATGTCTCAGAATTAAGGGCTTGGCAAAGCAAACTGCTCTAAATTTTGTCGTCAGACATAGCGTCGTACTCATCGAATGAATTTAGTCCTGAGTGAAAGGTAATCAAGCTAAAATTAATGTCGCTTGCTGTTTAAAGAATAAACAGATCATATTTTATTTTTAATTCAATCATGCAAATACATCAGTCTTTGAGTGTATCTGAAGTCATACGGTCATAGAAGATTTTTTTATTGTTTTATTCCCGGTGCTAGTTCAAGGTAAGAAACCTATAAAAAATTTGAAACTCTTCCATCGTAGATACAATCCTGGATACAACGTTGGAGTTGTTCGATTTTCTAAAGAAGGATGTGGGCTTTTTATCGATATAAAATTGAATTTCTATCATGTTTCAAAATAATGGTATGGAAAAATCGAAAGTAATGCAGAACTTTTTCTTCTCTCGTGGTATTATTCATTAGTTATGACGAAGCTTATTCTAACGATCATGCGTTTCAGTATCTATGAATCAGAAAAAAGTGCAATGAACTTATCAATAAGATAGACGTTCTGGTTCTTATCACTTTTACACACAGAGCTGCATATTTCACTTACCTTAGTTTTTTGTTTATGACTCGACCCTCTCAACAAACTGCTATTCTCTTTCTAAGCACACAAGTCGTTTGAAACGAAATTTATTGTTGAAGAAAAAAACCATTTAGAAGAACAGAACGAAATGCACATGTATAAATAAATGCAAAAAATAAAAGCATATTTGGGATGTCTGGATGTTTCCTGGCAACGGAAAAAACATGATGAAAAGTAAATATCATTTTTTGTTCGACAGTTCGGCGGTCGATCATAAATGAAATCTGAAAGATAGATGTGCGCATATTGATCCCTAGGTTTTTTTTGTCATACGTTGAATCATTGGCAATAGTTTGATACAAAACTACTAGAGTAGCGAAGAAGCATAGAAAATCACTATTATACTGATACTTTAATGCACTTCGAAGAGAAAAGAAGAATGACTCATATTATGAAGATTATACTTTAATTAGATAATGAAAACAATGATGTATTTCCGGAAAGCTAATCCAATACTAGGCAAACAATCATGTATATTCATGTTATATCGAATGGTACGCACAATATGCTTGTCCGCAATCTTCCAATTCAATTAATATGTTTATTGAATTTACTTTTTTGTTATTCCGCAAGCCATTTTCTTTTTAAGAACTACTATAGATTAGTAATTTCACAATATACTAGACATCAGACGAAATGTTCTGTTTTCTCTTCTTATATGTTGGTTAGAAGGAATAATTTGAATAACTATGATATTCAAATATTTTCATGAGATCTGAAAGACTTTATAAAAAAAAACGTTGTTTCCGGTTACTATCATGCTCTCATCGTTTTCAAGAAAATGAATTCCAATCATTTTGGTAAAGAAATTTCTGCCAGAAGAGATGTCATTCAAAATACTGAAAGCAAGCCAATGATATTTTAGAACGCTGACTTCATTTTATTGTATAATACGTTAATTTGACATGACTTTTAAATAAAATTCTGACATCCCATTGATACCAGACTTTACACGTACAAATCATGACCTATCATCAAGTATCTGAAAAGACGTTCAAATATTGAGACTAACTTTTCTCGAACATTATGTCGCTTGATATAAAAGATTCGCAAGGTTAATAGAGCAATCATTAATCATCCATTTTTCTTATCTGGCAACTTGCGAATGAAGAATATTATGTTGAATACAATCTATAAATCCAGATGATGGCCGAATTATTTTTATTCACAGTCATTTTAATATGTCATAACGTCAACGAGGTTGTGCAGTCATGTGATTAGAATAGACGCCGTACCACGGGAACGGCTGCAATCATCAATTGTAGTTGGTATAGTAGGTCGGAATCTGAAATAAAGAAAAAGAAAATAGAAGAATTGTGAAATTCTCCGGTATACTTCAAAAGTAATTTCTTTTTTGAAATACAATTTACGGATGGAAAGCTAGAAGCAATCTGTCGCTCAATGCACATCTGTAAAGAGGAAAGTTTTAAGGCTTATTCGACTGTCTATACAACGTGTTATATTTTGAGAATAGTGTTTTCTGACTTGGTTACATATTTTTGCAATTAGCATATCGGAAATGTCGTATACGATTAAAACAAATTCATCTCCAGAGTATAGATAATAAATAATTTCTTTGCTTTATTGCAGTAGTTTAGAGAGACTGTTATTCTTATATAATAACAAATTGCAACCTTCCACGCAGAAATAATTATGAAAAATATTTTATATGTAAAAAATAAATCTCATTTACACAATCACGCTAGAGAGACACAACATATTTATTGCGATTTCTTGAATTGAAAGTAAGCATACGTTTGCATATTCTGTATAATTTTATGCATACCTACCGTTAGGGGCATGACTTTAACTTTAACTTTACCTATAAGCTTCAATGTTATAGTGCTATCCCTATTCATAACAATGTTTTCCTATGGTATGCTGCTCATTGCGACATGGTGAAATACACAATTTCTGATAGAAGAATCATATATAATTGCTCACACGAAAAGCATATTCTTCTAGAATTTAATAATACTGCACAGTTTAACAAGATAATTTTGCAATACATTTCTAATTTCAGAATATTCAAATGCTCTCTAAAAAAAGGAGTCATACTGAATCTTTTCTGGGTACTATTTTCAAAAAACTTTTCAATTTCTAGCTAAAATTTCTAGAATTTGAAAACGTTTTAGATTTCGTGGATCGAGCCTTAAAAAAGGGCTCTGAAAATGATACCCTAATCTAAGATCTTAAAAAGTTATAGGCCTTCACTAAAACCCTAAATGGCCCAGTGTGAAACCTTTTTTAAATGCATCGTGCACTGTATGATATGAATCGTTTTTAGGATCTAGAATTGCATTCTCGGCATGCCGATATTCATTAAATCTAAACTCAGATTTGAGTTTTTCAATCTCTCCATATTTCAAATTTGACAAGATTTTTCAACCACAATATTTCTATGACTATATTCGTTTTCTCCAGAAAATATCATTTATGCTGTCATTCTAATACAGTTCTTCTTTGAGGTGTTCAGAAAGTCACGAAACAGAAAAAAATTGATTCAGTATCTTTGTTATATTTTGACTGAATTGACTGATATTGTTATCACTAATAGAGGACTGTTCATAGTTTGTATTCATACGAGGGGCATTAACAAAAACCGTTTGAAAGTATCAGAACTGACATCAACAAAGGATTAGAACCATACATCTGCTATAAAAGAACAATATATATATTCCCTAACACTCGGAAAACGATGCACCTAATTTTTCCAATAACGTCTCTATACTAGTGTCTTTTGGTCTCATACTTTATAGTATAGGCATGTGGCTTGTTACTCTGTATGCGCTCAGAATTTCAGTAACAAACAGCATGAGTTTGTTACGAAGAGTGCCCTCTCCGCACACAGACCGTGACAGACAGGGTTTCAGGCCATCACAGACCTTGAAAGACGCCTTCAAGAGACGCTGCTGCACTTAACCTATTTTTTTATGCAGGATCAGTAAATTTATGTCGTTAATGTCTAATGACGCAGTACATTAGCTTTTCTTTATGACAGCTCTAGTAGTTAGGTAAGAAATAGTGAGTCACGGGGTACCAACGTTGATGGAAAAAGTAAGGATTTACGCGATTCTTGAGTGTGTGTGTGTATGTATCTTTCCACACCAATACCTTTTCAGGAAGAACTATTTAGCACAAGGGGATTCAGGATCCCCAAAATCTCATGGGTTCTTGGAATTTTAATAATAACAAATCACGTTCCCGAAACGAGTATCTAGCCTTTATGATCCCCACTCTAGTCCTGAAAATCTCATAGAACTCAGTGTCAAGGCTTTACTGCTTTCTCACATAGCTATAAAAGCTGCATTAAACTATGGAGGGAAACCGTTTCCTACACAAACTTTTTTGCGCATGCTCCAAGATAGTTCACTAATACTCAAAATACAATTCTCAAGCTTAAACATAAAAATACTACGTAACAGTTCAAATACAGTTTGAAAAATATGAAAGGTTCAAAATATCGATTTTATATTCAGAAAATCCTATTTCTAATATTCTTGTGAGCCATAAGAAAAAAGTCGGCATCATGTGCCTGTTCATATAGAATGAACTAACTCATGCAGTATCTGAAAAAATTTATCTACCAAGTAGCTACAACTGCTGGATGAAATAATGAATACACAACACTGCCGATTGACTTATATGCATGGCTGAATAATGACTCTATAGCTGTCATTGTTTAAATGATTTTTTAAAAATCAGTAACTGATTTCTGAGTTTTCATAGAATCTAAAATCGTTTTCTAGAAAATCCGATTGAAATGCTAAATTTTGTAAAATGAAACATTCTCTGAAAGTTCAAACTTCGACGAATGAATCATAAAATTTTGTAAAATGCTTTAGCTTATTTAAGGTCTAATTTCTACAAAATAGAATTTATGAATGTGCACTGAATTGACTATGAAAAGTGACAATCTAGTTATTTTATATTTTACATGAGTACAGACAAAGGATATGATATTTGTACTGTTGATCCCTAGACGAGAAAAGGTCTATTCAGTATTTTGACTGAATCGCTACGTTGGTTTTTGGAAATTAGTTTTGCTGATTTTTCAACCAGATCTAAAAGTGAATATTCTTTATTGAGTCATTTACTAAAGGTGACGTTGAAGCATTTTTTTCTTAAAAAGCATAAAAACGATGTACACAAAAAACGAACTGGTTATAGTTTTGTACGAAGTGTATGGAGCCTAAAAATGCTTTAAGAAAAGATGTAAAGTTATTTTAAGCAAATTGCAAAACCAGTAGAAAGTTTACAAAACTACAAATCGTTTTGCGAAGTTTGTGCAAAACCGTCAATCACCCTATGAAGCTGAAATTTTTCATGGAACAATATACGAAACCATAAGATCAATAATATGAAGGTGAAATGTTCAGCACAAACAATTCAAAACTTTCTAATATTGTATGAAACCTATCATTGCTCAGAATAAGAAGGACGAAATCTTCTGTTAAAAATTGGAACCATCAGTCATTTAATCGCTATACTACGAAACTTTGTTTAATTTTGAGAAACTAACAATGGATTAGCGTTTCAAGTGCGAAACCATAGGCCAGTTTACGGAACTAACAGAAAGTTTGGTTGAAAAATTGCGAAACCCTGCCTTTTCTTCTGAACTTATGAAAGTTTTGAATAATTACTACAAAACAATTTTCACTTTACAAAACTAGGAAACGTTTAGAAAAAGCGAACTGAACCATTGAAGTTTCGGAAAAAAACAATTTTTTTAGAGTTTAGCTCACAGTTTAATACAGCGGCTGATGTTTTTTACATTGAGAAAATCATATTCATATGAAGAACAGTATTAAGCATTATTTGGCAGTATCATTTTTTTAGTTCAATAAAAGTGTTACTTTTCAATGATTAACTATGAAAGAAGCACATTAGAATTTTCTCAACTAAATCACATTTTTCCATGGTTAAAAATTATAGGATATCATATATTGCGTTTTAATGATTCATATGAAACTCTATAAGATTTCATCGAAGTCAAAAATTATTATACAAAAAGAGTATCCGCCAATATTTCTCTTGAGAGTTGGTGTGTATGTGAATGTGAATCTGGGAGGGAGTGAGGATGCAATAAAGGGGTTCAGACACATTTTCATGCGCTCGCTCATACTCTCGTTAGAAAAAAAATGTTTTCAAATGTTTAACTAGCCATCCTCAAGGAAACAAGATACAACGAGGACTACCAGCAATGTCAATTTCAACCGATAAGTTGTATTTAACGAAAACAACCAGCAACTACTTACTAAGTCGCACTCTTCCAGTCCATCAGTCGTCCATGTCTACAGGAATCTGAATGCATTCAGAAACAATGACTATCAAAGAGAAAAATAATAACTATCTCTATGACTAGAATGCGAATAATGTCCTCAAATACCAAGGATGCACATCAGTCCCCAAAAAACGATTTTTAGTCAAAGTTAAACGACAAATTGCAATCTTTCTTTGCAGGCGTATTTAACCGATGGCCCCATAGTCATAGAAATGGCGTGGAACTTTAGCTTTTGACGTTGCTTATAAAACATTCATTAGACGGATTTCATATCGTATCACAATGTGAAAACTTATATAAATACTTTTTAAGTCTATGTTATTGAATATTGCATCAATGGAAAACAATGAAACCTTTATTTAATGATTTCGAACACATTACCATAACTTTCTTTTTGTCATCAGAATGAACACAGTATTAATTCTTGATCAATGGTGTTAGTAAAAAGTCAATTACAATTGAAAAATGAATTGAAAAGTGAAACGCTCTATGTTCACATGTCAGCTATATATAAGACAACAATAAAAATAATAGACTGCTTGAGATTTCTAGAGATCTTCCATGAAAGAACGAAAATTCAAAAAAACACGAGGGTCAAGTGATTTTGTATTCAATCTTCTACTGATTTTAGTCCATATATACCATCTATAAATTCAAAATATTACGGCCAACAGCTTTACTACTGGAGGAGTTGGAAATGGTGAAGATTTTTCAATCCTTCAAACCTCGCCTGTTCGCCAATTCTATATATCTAGTACCCAGGTCGTGGAGGTACGGTGGGAAACGGCAGAAAAGCATGGGAAAGCGCTGAAAAGTGGAAGCAGTATTCATTCTTAGAATTCAGCTCTATATAGTCAACTTTTCGTCAAAACGTCTAGGAATGGATAAAGATTTGAAGTTATAGACTGTGACTCATGATATCAAAGCTAACCAATCAAAAGTATTTTGGTTTAGTGTAAGTTTAGGAATGAATCATAGACAAAGAAGGACTCGAGAAATGGAAGACGAGATAAAATAACTTTTTTGCTATTAGATAGAAGAAACAACGTGCGAATGGAAAACTATTCGGAGAAAACCTCTGTGAATAAATGTGAATAGAATAATGTTTGTACATTTATATAATTTAGTATGATGTCATGTCAATCATTTATGGATTGGCCAAACCAACGACTTCTGCCACTGTAAGTTCACGTGCATAGACACGAAACTCGTCTAATGACCCATAAAACTGACCCATCTGTATTGTACCTGTATTACAAACACCAAGTCCAAGCAATGAGCTTCCGAGTGTAATCGTCATAGGAACACCACCGGCGGCAAAACTATAGGCTCCTGATGAGCCTGATAGAACACCGTTAACGTATAATCGTAGACCATTGATTGATGAGTAGGTTCCCACAACATGTGTCCATGTATTCAACGGAACGCTAGATCCTGTGACGGGCATATTGCCACCGTTCCAACTATTAATAGCAATACGTCCGGCTGAAGTAAGGCCCATGATTGGTAAACACCATCCATTGGGTTGAGCTCCATTCGTTAGGCTACTTAAATGCATGATTGTTCCACCAGCTACAGATGTCGGTTTGATCCAGATTGCAACTGAATATGGCCACGCATTTAAACCCAAACGTCTCAGGCCTGTGATTTGAACATAAGATGGGTTAACAGAAAGAGTAACAGCGCCATTAACTCGACCTGATGTTGTATAAGAATAGCTGGTTCCTGTGCCGTTAATCAACAATGGACCACGATCCACAAGACTATTACCATCGAAGGTTAAGTCAGAAACAAGTGTCGCATCGTCCAACACTTGTGATGCATTTCTTGCTGAACCAAAGTAAGCAATCGAATCAAGGTAACCATCGAAGAAGTTATTTGGTGTATTGACACCATTAGTGCCGATAGTTAACGATCTGAAAATCGAAAATATAAATGATTGGTCCGGTAACAGATTCACTATTGTGATTGTATCGATCTCTTTAGAGTTTTCTGAGCTTTTTTTAAATATTTTTTAGCCCAAAAATATATAGAAAAAGAATCTTGATTTTCTCAAATGTTATTCCTATCTATTGATGATGAAGAATATTGCTGTAAGATTGCATGCATAGACGTATCTTAGTAAAAACTTGTTGTAATTCACTGAATAATGTTCATCAACTCTGATAGATATTGAGCGATGTTATCGAAACAAAATCGAATGCATATTTAAAACTACGATTATTATTATTATTAAGTCCCTTATTTTGTGCTTAGACTAGAATGTTTACTGACCCTGTTGTGCCTTGATAGGGTCCAGCCGATGTACGTGAAGCATCTAAGTAGCCGTTGACATAGACATACTGTGTACGTACCGAATAATCATAGATATATGCCTATAGTTCATGATAACGCAGAACGTTGAAACTAAAAATAGTTTGTAGTCAAAACTTACCATATGATACCACTGACCCGCGCTCAACAGCTGCATAAAATCGAAAAAAAATATAAGATTTATTATGCACAATATTAAATTGCAGAACGAAGCTTATACAGCATTTAGAAATGAACTACTTCAAGTAATATCCCAGGGAAAATAATATACTTCAAACACTTCAAACACTTCAAGCCTTCAAAAGTCGTAGGATACCCTAAGATTTCAGAAAACTTCATAATTCTTCAGGAGACTCTACTAGACGTCAAAAGATTTCATGAATTCATGCGATTTTTACAACGAAACAATTGTTTGCTTCTCCTTTTAAACTAGTCGCTTATTGCTTATTGCTTATTGGGCGATAGAATTAGTGTTTAATAGACTGATAGATTACCATGGATGGTAGAAAGAAATAAGAAGGATTAAAATTCTTCGGATCATTAATGTTGAGTTAAGGGGGCATTTCTTATCGAAATAAGCAACATTATTAAAGAGAAATCAATGATTTTGGCATTATCTTATACAGAGTCATGATATTGGTCAGTGAAGATTCATTCTTTTTTCTTCTATAATCTCTCAACATCAAGGAATTGTTTTTTAATGAAATATTCAATTATTCTCTTTCGTCGATTTATACGACTGAGCAGGTTGATATTGACAAAAAAATGAGTCAATTTTTGTATATTTATTGCTTGTAGTGGTCTGCTCGGTCATAAATATCTAGACGAGAAAAAATGAATATTTCATCCTAAAAGGCTGATGCAATTTCGTGGATTCTTGTAGAGGAAAGAATAAAGTTTTCGTAAATAGCATTCCCCCTCAATACGTGCTTAGCTTTCTCAACAAGAATTTCACATGATTAACTCACTTGAGTTCCTACAACATCATCAGAGAAGAAACCAAGATATATTCGTTGATTACGAATAATAATATGAAGAGATTTGTCCAATACATTTTGATCAAACTGGCCGAAAACAGCATTGTCTGTATACGGATTGCTATTATAGAGTGTATTTGCATAGATCCACACTTCGAGTGTGAACGATGTACCGGCGAAATTGAGAAATGGCGAGGCGATTGTCACTGATTGCCTCGACGATTGAGTCAGCAAAATACACGCACCAGCTCCGTTGTAGCCCGGTGAAGAATATGTTGGTCCGTTATTACCAACTCCATTGAAATTGTTGTACAAATCTTGTAGCGTGTTGTCGAAACTCCAAAAGATACGATTAGCTAAAAGAAATTTAATTAAAATAAATCGCTTTGATTTACATAGATTGATACGAACGTGTTTGACAAATGGGACCTCCCCACATGGCCGTGTTGCCTAGAAAAGCAGTCTCGATTAAAATAGAAATAGATAAAAAACACACAAAAACTCACAAGTGCATGCATTGGTTGCCGTACAATTTCCACCATTCATGCATGCAGGGCTGCAGATAACTAAAGAAAAAATTAATAACTAAAAAGAATTATTCACTAATGTGTTGCTTTTGAAATTGTTCATTTTCAATTTTTACAGGAGCAATCCTCATCGGCTCTCTCAATGTGAAAGATATTTAACTATTTCATAAAATACTAAACAACAGGCAAATGCGTATTGATACATTGGTAATGGCTCAATTTTACTTTTGAGAAGCCAACATTCAGTATATGGTAATAGGGATTAAGAAGAAAAAAGTTTTTCTACTGAATGATTAAAAAAACGAAGATTTATCCTTAATTAATTCATCGAGTACAAATATGACACATCGACTTGTTGTGTCTAATGCAGAAAGTTTTAGAGTAATTTCATGCTCGAAAGAAATATTGAATAGTTCCACAGAACCTCGAAACTATACATCGCTCAAAGCAATATCTTCAGTAAGTGAGATACCTAAAGATCGGGCCTATCTTCTACAACGTAACTATGAAAAAAAGGTAACACATCATTTTTCCCTAGCAAAGAAACTGTTAAGGTTTTTCAAATATTTTGTCGAAGAACATAAAGCAAAATAGGAAATGTATCACCTTATTCAGAATTCAACAAACTATATTTTTGCACTCATATTTCTGAAAACGGTGTGAGATGTGAATCTCAAGGTTTCGAAGTGACTGTTCTCTATAGTATCCCATCCATGATCATTCTCAAAGATTATCTGAATTTCTGAAAGACTTCATTCAGAAATTTTACTCAATGATGATTTTGACCTAATCGGAACTTATTTTAGACAAAAATCTTTTGCCTTTATCATAAAAAATAATTTTCTATTATTGAATATTCACAAACATGGGGTTGTTGTTGTTGTTGTTGTGGTGCTAGTTGTCGTTGTTGTGGTGGTACTAGTTGTCGATGTTGTGGTGGTAGTTGTTGTTGTTGTCGTTGTAGTGGTAGTTGTCGCCGTCGTTGATGTAGTAGTCGTCGTTGTTGTTGTTGTTGCTGATGCCCCGGCCTGTACTAATACTATCACCGCTGCAACAGCTGCAGCACCTATGATGAAAGCCACCAGAATGAAAGTCAAAATCTTGGGAAGAAAACCTAGTCGCCTACAAAGAGATTGTGATATGTTTGGGATAGGCTTACTAGACGCATTATATTATATATATATATATATACAAACCTTCGATTGGCCACATTCCGAATACTATTCACATCGACACTGATTTGTCGTGTAGTGAGTTGTTTCGTCGAAATTGTTGAATCCGCTATTCCACTTGGTGCACTATTTGATTGTCCGAACTGTTCATGAGAGAATTGTTGCACCATGGAATTCGACGGTACATTCTGACCCTACAATCACATGTTTTATGAAACTGTTCTACACTCTAAAAAATAAGTACTATAAAAACCCTTGAAGCTTTGTAAAAAGCCTTTTAAGGCATTCCCCCCGAATATACACGAAGAACCCTTTTTTTAGAGTGTCCTTGCAATTAAAGTCGTCGAACACCACCAACGTTTACTTATTTTTATGTTATGTGGATAGTTTATGTCTCTCAGATCTCTTATTATTTCGATATTGTAGATTTGCTTTTAATATAAGAACGAAGTTCTTATATATATATATTTATTTCACATTTTGAAATAACAACAAGAACAAACAAACTACTAAAACAATTCCTAACGATAGAATTGTATACAGTCACTGATAACAACTTATCTATCTGTATTTTATATATCTTTGACATATAAAAATGAAGGACAAGAACAATGTTCAATCATATAAAGAACAAATGTAGAGAGAAAGAACAAGAAGAAAATAACATGCTACACGAAAGGAAGAAGAAGAAGAAGAATACCCCGCCTTTTGGCTACCTTTCGGTGTAGGGTGCTGCCCGAGGACAGTTTCGGGAACCCCGATATTTTTCCTACATCTATTACTAAATGTAGCTCTGGACAGAAGGTCGGCCTGACTCAGAGTTCTTCTGGCTTAATTTCTTAAGCTCCCCATACATACTGACTAACCACATACGCATACTAGTCACAAGAACTATTTAGTGCACGTCAACTATGTAGTCAATTTGTTATCAGATGGGTGGTCCGAGACAAAACAGCCGTTTGTGATTTGTCCAAGGTCATTCTATGACTGATGGAGTCGAGGTTCGAACACGATATCTTGTGGATATGTGCCAAACATCTTAACCATTCAGCCATAGCGGCTACACGAATGGAAACATCACCAACAGATATGCAGTTAATTCATTTTATATTTTTTTTTACTATTAAGGACTATTCTTTTCTCTTTTTTTAATGAAATGTGACGTTTGGATAATCATTAGCTTGGATCATGTAATTTTGGGCGGAAAATTTCTCCATCTCTATCTGAACAGATATCTAAGCGTTGTTAAAATAGTTTTTTCGAATATGTTGCTTATATTAATTCGGCACACATTGCGATGGTTTATCTTAACTGATTCAAAAAAATGGGAGTATCAATATAAACGCAAAAACTTTTTCAATCTATGTTTTTAAATAACAACTGATATAATGGTAACGGTCTGTAATTGTTCGCCATATTTCCTCTTATTTGGTTGAAGGGTTTTTTAGAATAAGCAGCATGTGAAGAAAGTTCGACTTTATTTATTTTTTAATATCTACTATTTTTTATTTTCAGTTGTTCATAAAAAAATGTGACTTGAATTGAATCAGTTATATGAACAGGTGCACAGTTGCCACACAAAAGATTAAATATTTGAAGCTGCGCAGCACTACAAAAAAATAATTTTGCATTTTTCTAATTCAATGACTTTTTCATTCTTGAATTATTATAGTTTTATTTGTAATAGTATAATCAATTGCTACTGTGCAATATATACATTGATCAGAACTAACACCATTAGAATTTGTCATAAAATAAAATTTTGATAGTTTACTTTATAAAAAAATCATTCATATGGTATTATTCGGCAAATTATTTTAGTGTTTCATAGAATAGTTGTCAAGTTTGGCTCTAATTATGTTACCAAGCTATTAGTATTGTTTTATTAGTGTGCCTCGAACACTATTAGAAAGTACTTTTCATAATATTAGAAGATTACATTTGCTACTAATCAGATACTACAATCGCATAGTCACTAGTTTACTTTCTCTTCATATCCTCCCTACCCTGTACTTTCTAATTGTATAATTTTACTATAAAAATATATCTATATCTTGTATCTCGTCCATATTCCGTAAACCAACTAACATGAACTATCTATATATCCAGAACTCTTCTATCACCGATATATCAATGCTTACACTCTATCAAAATTTCTGCAAGCTCAGAAAACTCGTTATATTAAACATTATCAATTTAAGGAGAATAATAATGCTTTTAGCGCCTGTATTTGTAGCATAGCTTATGCGTTTGTGTTGATATTTCTAGCTTTGACTATAGCATTACTAAATCGATAACATCAAATTATCGAAATAGGTGGAGACTGTAATATTACATCTCTCAAAAAGGCTCCATTTTCCCTTTGTTTTGTTTTTGTACATCCACATATAATATCGAGTTTATTATAGAGTGAAGATATGCGTTTCATAAAAGTAGTTCCCTCTCTCTTGCATCATTTGCTGATCGAAACAACGCAATTGTATGAAACGAATACGGATCTGTAAAACATGGATGCATACTACAATCTCCCTCCCCTTTTTTCTTGTTCGCAACCATAAACTATGCGTCTGTCTTTATCATAACGCTATGAAACTGTGCTCCCCAAACGTCATCGAATGAGTCCTCATATATCAAACAAGGCCATATCGAAACACTTAAATTGTAACGTGTTCACAAAAGGGGCTGTAGGATATTAGGGTGTGTAGGTGTGGATGTGGGTATTGGTATGAGTTTTTCCTTCACACCCCATAGCGGCGTGGCCAATGTGGGCACGATCGTAATCGCTGACACTGTAGCTGTAGCCTTAACTCTCGACGCTCAATCCGACTTTTGATCGTGGCAAATGTTTTCCTATTATATCTACCATGCTGCGTGACAGTTTTGCTATTCCTGCATCAAAGACTATCATACAGAAACTGCATTTCATTTCTAAAAATCTTAAAACAGATAAACGAACAATATAAGATATGCAAAAGATTGACAAAGTAATGTTTTTGAGAAAAAAATCTTAATATACTGAAAATTTTCTTGATCAAAATCAGAATCGAAGTGAATCAAATCAAGAGAAACAGAAAAATGATCAATTATTAGATGAGTCACCTGATAAAAGCGTGAAAACAGCCAAAATTTGATGAGAATGGAATTATGTTAAAGTAGTACATTTTGTTTTTCTGAAGTATTTCTACATGAATTCGTTCAACCTATATTAATAATGTGTATATATTTCACTAGTGCTATAATGGTATATTACATTGATTGTACTTCTTTACTTTAAATTAGTTGAAATAGAAAAGGATACTGATACATATTGAAGGATAGATTAATACGAAATATTTGATTTTCTGATGAAATAAAAAATTGCTATTATATTGCTACATTAAAAATTCATCGTGACTGGTTATCACCAGCGTGTGATCATGACGGTCACGCCATTGACTACTTATTATAGCGATCAACATCGAGTTTTAAATGAAAGACGTGATATGCGAAAATCAGTATTTTGGTGACTGAGTTACGAACTTTCAATAGGAGCTGCTAAAACAAATTTCTCCTGAATTGAGATTCTGAAAGTCACTCGACATTTGAAACTTATTTAAAATAATACAGCCAGCCGAACATCCATAATAACGCGTCTATATTTCCACCACAATATTCAGATCAATTTTTTGGTAATACCAATTTTATTGCTATAAATACGTTGGTAGTCATTTAAATTTAAAGTATGTGAGATGAATTCAATAAGGGAATAGTATTAAAAAACTCGTTAGCAGACTGAAAAGTGCTAATTCTCATATGACAACTCTCACAACATATCGCATCTTACTAATTTGTTTTAGCAGAATCCCCTCTACTGTATGCTGAAGGCCAGTGTTGCTTCTTCACGTATATAGTATTGGAAAAAGTCATAATTCAAACAGCTTCAGTTTTAGAAAATCGGATATCTATATATTCATTGAATTGATAAATGAAAACTCACTGAATTATAAGTATATGTATAACGAGGCAGGTATGGCCCAACGAATGCTGAGCTGGTTGGCATCGTTGTTTTGAATGTGTTTGATGGATTGACGCTGACAATAAATGATTTACATCGTGCCGGAGAGAACTGAGAAGAATTTCTCTTAGTTTGCTAATGGATGCTTTTGCATTTTTTTAACTGAAATCCTTTTATAAGATGTTAGAAAATAATGCATACCTCACAACATAAAATCAAAACAGTACTCAAAATGCTAATAGAAAAAAAAACAATAAAAACAACACAACACTAAGTAACAATGTCCTGGGTATGTCGTGCTTTACGACACAATGTGCGACACCTTCAAGTTCAGAGCAAGGTGCTCGTTACGACACACTATCTACAGCGACAGCACAACGCATTCTAAAAAAAATGTATGATTTCACTAATCAGCAAATTTTGTTATTTTACTTTTTGCTAAAGCAAATATGACACTTTTTCCGATTTTATTGTATTGGATAGTTTGATTTCTGAAAATTCAGACAATTCATATCTTAGGATCTGTTTGGTTTCAAGCCGTTCCTGTTTTGTACTAGATCATGTCCCGATAGCCCTACTTTAATTTAATGATCGAGATCGGAATGCTCTCGACTAAATAATAATTAAGAAATATTTTATAAAATATTTACATGAACATAGATCATTTTTCTATATTTAATTAAGTTCTCTATATGAGACGCTGTGCACAAAAGAAAAGAGTGAATCGATAGTTCCCATACAGAACGCGCAAATGCATTAGTGACCCTTTTTGTGACGTCACGCTTTCGTCGTTGAACTTGTAGCATTTTAAGTTGCGACACACTTGTGGTGCATTTTAACTTGGTTAGCATACATTAAAAATGAGTGGAACTACATGCAATGCTGATAGGATACGCTAGCATTTTTCTACATAATTAAGGTTACTTGTGTATTGGTTGAAAGTAGCTGGTCTGACGACGAATTTTGCACAACTATAGTTAAAATGTGTCTCGTACTATCTGTTGAGTATTCATTCACCAATTTTGTTTTAGCGCACACGCCTCAATATAAATAATTCCGCTGAACTTACGAAACTTATAAATTTTTATTCTAATTTTTTTCTAGATATTCTCAATTATTTATTAGTCAGGACATGTCGATCTCGATTCATGATCGAGAGAGAGAGAGCTACCCAAACGTGGACTAATGAAGATCAAAACTGGAAAAAAATTGAAAACTATGCTGCGACGTAGATTCAGTTTATTTGTTTTCAGAATGTCTTGCACACGATGTACAAGAATGTGTTATGCTGTTTTGGACAAAATTCGTCGCAAATCACGACACATGTTTGCTTGGTGTGATGGATAGGATAAGAAACACGAGAACAATCATTCTGTTAAAAACAATTTGATCGAAGTTCTCGCAGACAAGTATTTCTCAATAGAAATGATTGTGCAGGATGAGTTTTACTTACTTCATACCTAATATGCCACAGGGTGTGAATAGAAGCGAAAATGTGAGAATATGTATGATTATTGTGAAAAGAAATTACAGGCCGGCTCTAGGAAAGAGGAATTCATATTTTAATTAATTTTTCATATGAGAAAAATAAAAATTTATTTTGAATTTTATTAGACCGAATTTTATTTAGGATTAAATTCAAAATAAATTAAATCTAAAGGTGCACATCTAATCAACAGAGATCTTTCGGAATTTCTACATTGTACTAATACTTGACTAAGTCCAGTATAAAGTCATATTTTATTTCGAAATCCGCACCAGAAGTTCGTGATTTGCACACACCAAAGAATGCAGCTGACCATGAAGTCGTTAATGGGCAGCTGGAGAGCAATCAGTGACAAAGTTAATATGTATGCATTATAAACCATAACTCGTAGAAAATCAAAATAGTATGTATTGTCCATTGCATATCTTCAGGCGTTGCAATATTGGTAATAGCAAAATTGATACCTGTTTAACAAGGTAGGTAAATCAATATGGATTTTTTCCATATTTATTCTGATCGGTTCCCTTCTTTATTTCCCCCGTTACTCCAATAGAATTGGATAGATGCTGTTATTTCTGTATTCATGTCATGTTGTTTTCTCTCTATACTTGAAGTGGTAAAAATAGGGAGAATTCTCAACGGTGAAAATTACAACATAAAATGAAGAAATATCATAAGAACAAATGAAATGGATCATTCAATCAAGAAAATCAAATAAACACGAACTTTGTTATTTTCGAAACCACTAAAATTCTCCTATTGTGAGCCCTCGTCTTTTTCAGCATCTCCGAAAAAAGCACTAACTTAGTCGCATAGATTAGAAAAGTATTCAGATGAAATTTTAAGCAAAAATTCGATTGCTGCATTTGGATATGAATATATCTTAATGGTTTAGTTCACGATTCAGATAAATCTATTGAGTGATTGAAAAGATACAAAACAATATTTGCCAAGAATTGAAACAAGGATTCAATAAAAACAAATAGCTAAAGCGCATTATTCGAACAGAAAAATGACAAACACGCCGCATACGCATGCCAATCTTCCTTGTATGCAAATTTTTGTTCAATATTCATAAAGTAATTAAGTTTTGTTATTTTTTTCTGAGCTGTTTATTTCGTTGAGTTCTTCAGGTGTATCAACACCTACACTCTAGCGGTGGCGGATCTACCAGTTAGGCTACCCGGCGATCGCCACCCCCTTAAGAAATTTTTTTCGATTTTCCCCAGCAGAAATGCAACAGAAAATAGTCGTTCCGCCTCAGCTAGACTTGAAAAATTGTCTTTTGGCCAAGAGCGCCACCCCCTAACAGATTTTCTGGATCCGCCACTACACTCTAGTACTACATAGAAATAGTGCGACTGTCAAATTCGATAATACAAATAACGAAAATTCTCTGTCAAAATTGATAGTAATGAAGTAGTATCCAAAATCAAAATTTTACTTTATTTTGAATTGACTTTAGTGATTCTTTGTTATTTTGCTACACCATTACAAGATTAAAAAAAATAGCTTTTCTGATAAATTCATCAATCTGGTACTTTCACTAAAGTTCTTTCACGCGAAAGATGTTTTGCTTATGTGATCCTACCGATTGATGCAAATATTTCATCATTAATCTATTCAATTAGACCTCAAAAATGATCCTCCAAAGTAGCTAAGCAACTTCATTTCTATTGGCTTATCTTTTGAAAACATTAAATTTTAGACTGTTAACAATCATGAAAATTCTTTCTCAAGATGAAACAACAGCGCTTGCTGAATACATATGGTATTACTTGAAAAGTTACTATTGTTAATTGAAAATAGAGGTATATGATATGATAGGATGAAAGCTAAATGAGAAAAATTATTAGGAAACCAGTTTGTTTTTGCAATGTACCGAGCAAGCTACAATGTTCTTTTTTTTATTGTTACGATGATTACCTGGGTGAGAGATGACAAAACACAGAAACAAAGAAAATGCCTACATGAGTTCTCGATTTCAACGCAGAAAGAAAAATCTCCTCAATATGTACAGCCGTCAAACACAAGAACAAGAAAGTCGCGCAACAGAACACTCAAATAAATGAGACCAAAAGGACGCGACATGGTGATAATCGAGTTATATAACCGTTTTTACTGAAAAAACGAGATTACGATCAGATATTTAAGTCAAATTTATTTTCAAGACACGTGCATACAAGTGAACAACATATAAGCTTTATTGTAGTTTTTCATCGAAATTCTTTTATCAAATTGAAAGTATAATTTACGAAAGACATCAATGTCGATTAATAACATTGTTCAGCGGTAACAGTCGAGCTCGTGAAGCATGATGAAATGAATAGAAATCAAGGTTCAATTTTAACATTCACATCTATTAATTATTATTTAAATATGCAAAAATGCTGCAGCGTATGTCAAATTCCATATTTAGAGACAGCACAAAAACAAATTTTAACTGTTTTATCAGGAATTTTTCAAACGGGTATGAATGCAATTATGCGCCTAACTGGAAGTGGAAAACCATCTTTATTAGACTTATTAGCCGATCGAAAAGATCGAGAAGGTTTTCAAGGCGAAATAAATTCTTTTAAATGATCAATTGCAAACTAAAAATTTAAAATATCAAGTCGGTTACGTCGTTCAAGATGATATTGTTAGTGGAAATTTAACTGTTAAAGAAAATTTAATGTTTTCAGCTAACGTCCGATTGTCGACAAATTTGTACAAGTGAAAAAAACAAAATTGTCGATGAAGTTATTGCACAATTAGGATTAGAGAAATGTGCAGATACAATTGTAGGGACTGAGTTCAGAAGGGGTGTATCAGGAGGAGAGCGAAAGCGAACAAATATTGGCATGGAATTAGTTCTTTCATCTAGAGTTCTCTTCCTAGATGAACCAACTACTGGTAAACTTTGTTTGATAAATAATTCTTCTTCTACTCATGTTTCTATTCAATAGGGCTTGATTCAACGATGGCTCGTAGTGTGATGGAATGTCTTCACCAATTGTCTCATAACGGACGTAAGATAGTTGTTACTTTGAAAATATTTATCTTTTGATTCGATATCCATACAAAGGTACAATTAATTTTTCGATTCAGCAACCTCGACATTCAATATTTTAATTATTCGATACTCTGTTTTTGATTTCTGCTGGCCGCTGTATTTCTCATGGACTAGCTGATAATGTTTTACAATTTTTCTCGTCGGTAGGTTTTCGTTGTGAAGAATATGACAATCCAGCTGATTTTACTCTTGATGTATTTACAAGGTGATCGATTATCACCATCAACTGACAATGAAAATAATCAAATTGAATGTCATTTCAATGAAGAATATATGAAAACAGATATTTACAAGTCAATTCAAAATCAAATATCCAAAAAGAACTTTGTATCCAGTGGAAATAATAATGTTCGATTATAGGAGAAATCCTGTTTAAACGATATGTTTTATTTATCTCAACGAACTGTTCGAAATTCTTTTCGAGATTCTTCATTAGCTCTACTTCAAACGTGTATATCGATGTTTTTGAATGTTTTCATTGGGTTAATTTTTCTGAATATGAAACCAACAATAGAAACAGGCGCTGGAAATCGTAGCGGAGCTATATTTTTCATAGTTACAAATCAAGTTTTTTCAAATCTTTCGGCACTTGAATTATTTATAAAAGATCGAATTTTATTCGTTCATGAAAATGCCAGCGGATATTATCACGTATTAACTTACTTTATATCAAAAATAGTTTGTGATATGTTGCCATTGCGAACCATCCAGACTATAGCATTTTCAATAGTGGCTTATTTTATGATGAATTTAGAAAGAACAACTGAAAAGTTTTTAATTTTCTTCGTTTTTGTTTCGTTTATATCAGTTTGTGCATCGTCTTTATGCTTTCTTGTTTCGGCTACTGTAAAAAATTTCGGTAAGATGTTTTTAAGTGATTTCATTTAATTTATAGGTGCTGCTAATTTAGCTGCAGCTGTTTTGTGTAATAACGCTTGTCTTCGGTGGATTTCTTGCCGAAATTTCAACTATCCTTGGTTTTCTTCGATGAATTCAATATCTCAGCATAATTCGTTATGGATCAAGTGCACTTTTGATTAACGCATTTATCCGCTTAAGACTGTGTCTACCGAATAATACAGAGAAGTGCGGAAAAGATGGTGCCGAGATTTTAACGGAATTCAAAATTGACCATGGAACTAATTGGGATTTGTGGGTAAATTTGGTTGCATTAATGTCGATCACAATCCGTTTTTGACTTTAACTTATCTTTAATTACGTCGTATGAAAAAAACTAAATAGAATAAATAAGTATAAATTAAAATGTCATATGTACGTTTTTATTTATATATTGTCAATCAATTCGCTTCAAAACTAGTGTACAAATTATTTAATGATCGCTCTTTTGTACCTACTTCATTTCATCGATTATTCAGTGACTTTTATTCGCAAAAGATACTATGAATATATGCTGACAGTAATAAAGTTATTCGTTTAAACTTTCTTTACTCCATATATTGAGATTCATAAGTAAATGCGTATTGAATATTTATGGTATGGAAATGAAGATGAATGTACAGGTGAAGGTAGGAATACAATACAGGATATTGTAGAATAATTGTTGACATCAAAACCGGGAAACAAAATACTAGTAACCATTTGAGATGTCTTACCACTTTTCAACAGATTGGCAGTAGTTAACGATCGATAGGATATAATCTTTCATGTCAGAGTCGTATGTTTCACAATATCTTTTGATGTCATCTTATTCAAAAGCAGATTAATTTGAATTTACTGAGTTCTTCTTGTTGAATGAGATGTTTGATTTATATATGCGGTACCCTTGTAGTAATCATGTGATAGACGATTTATGACCAGCCGGTAATGCGAAAGAAACCAATCAGACTGCATCATGTACAAGTTGCTTTTGAAAGACAACAAATGGAGGAAGTTCGAGAAAAGAAAGTCATATATTACTGGCATTCCTTACATTAAGCAATGACTAAGCAAACCAGTCGCAGTTTATCGATGCAAGATAATGTTCAATATTTCTCCGGGGAGAACGGAACAGAAGAATGAAGTTAGCTCTGCTTAGCTGAAATATAAATAGCTATTCCATATCAAATGGACTAATCGATCTCGCCTGAGAAGACCATAAGAAATAAAATGCTTTAAGATAGATTGTGTCAGTCTTTCGATTAGAGCCATCTTTTCAAACATTCGACGTACAGTTATTGGGAAACACTGTTGTAAAAATTTGTTAAAAGCTTTCAACCATTTGAAAAAAATCACTTGCGAATCTCTAACAAAATAAAATGTTTTTTTTCGAGTTGCAGATCTCACAGAAGGAAGTCAAGTTGATAAATAAACGATTTTGTGATTAAATATGAACTTAATTGATTAAAATAGTCAAATTTGTCATGACTGTGTTTGTTGAGAAAGCTACTTCCTAGACTGAAAGGATATGGTCTAGAAACCGTAATTCACCTGTGCCTGTCTGCCCGTCCGTCTGTCTATCTGTAACAATGGCACAAACGACTACAAATGACCATTTTGATGACACGAACGGCACTGTTACGGGACAAACCATAGGCGGATGCATGACATGGTCACGTGAAACAGTCCGCTCTGGAGATGTGATCAGTGGAGGGGGCGAGCTGATCCCGCTGCGGAACTTTGAGCTAACTATCACGAAATTTCTGAGCCGTGTATTTTTGTGCCTAGGTAAGACTCAACCTCTCCTCCGCCTTAAGAGTCTTTGAGCCCCATTCCGTCCGTGTTTCGTCTTCACTTTTAGTGCTTTTACTTGAAACCTCTAATTTTCGTCTAATTCTTACTTCAGTTTCACTTATTCCCACCCGCTTTGCAGGTCTGTTTGAAAATATCATCACCAGCTGCTGGGACAAACAACCGATTTTCTGTCCTTTTCATGCATTTCGTCTCCTCAACAGTGCCAGTCTAGGGCCCAGTGAATCGACTTTCGATGTCAATGAACGTTACTTGTTGTATTAAGGAAAATACACTTCCAACATCAATGACTCTAGTAGTCATATGTGAATAAAAGAGACATGAATAACTAGCTTTTGAAAACTTTTCATGGTGGATCAACTAGGTGAAGACTTTAACTATTGATTGGGGCGAGCTCATTTTCTTCTCAAAACAGTACATGTAGAAATCTTAGTAAAATCTTCTAGTACAATAAAAAAAAGAATACTAAAAGCAAAGAAGAAAAAAATGGCGAGCTTCACTGGGAACCCTAATCCACTCTCTCCCGACGACTCTCCGGAAGTCCCTGTCGTTAATCCCCACGAGATTTGTCAGGGGCTCCCTGGAGATTCTTCTAGGGAGAGTTGACTAGGGAACATATTCATAATGATCTCAACCGGGAATTTAAATCTACAATATTCCTGAAGGACAGGTGCTGGCTGTTTCGCCTCAAGTCAAGCATTGCAAAAAGAAGATAAATGTATGTTAATGAGGTCTTAATAGTTTGTAAGTTCATTGCCATGATCGCACATATACACCCTCAAATCCACTCTTACCCTACATAAATTTTAATTTTCTAGCTTTCATTTCATAAAAACAATCATATAGGTAATGCTTGAATTCGAATGAGTTTTCAAGTTTTAACTATATAATATTTTATAAAAGCACCTGAGGCGACTCATAGCGCATTAACAGACAATATGCAAGAGATACGAGAGATGTAGAAGATACTTCCACGTGAGTGTGAGAGAATACACCCTATTCCGCAATGTTGAACATTCCGGAACCAATTCCATCTAATTCCGGCAATTTCGTTTATCACTTCCAACAAAATTCCGAAATTCCCAGAATCACTTCCGACTCAATTCCGGAATATTCAACATTGCGGAATAGGATGACTGCTCGGGTGTGATGATGAGCTGACAAATTGCATCTCACGTATACTTTTATAGGACATCATACAATTGAAACTTGAAACTTTAGTCGAACTGAAGTTTCAAGTTTCAGATTTGCATTACTTCAAAAGATAACAGTATGCACATGGGTGAAAGTAAATTGCATGACACATGTTTTTCATAGAATGCATTAATGCTTTTAAACGCCGGCAAGAATACCATAGAGACATGAATTTCCAACTGTGGGTAGGAAGAAAAAGTTGAAGTACAAGATTGCTGCTATAAAAGAAAAACTTTCGAAAGCAAAAGTAAAACAAATATGACATATCCAGTGAAAATTCTTTAGAGAAAGGTTTGTAAAAGACAATTCAATTCTAATTAAAGTTTCAATGGTAAGTGAAAGTCGATATGTTCAAAATTTATCATAATTATTGACAGTAACTTGACAAGATCGCTTAGAAAATATAAGTTTTGTTGAAATGGAGTCTCGTTTTTTATTTCTTTTCAGTGCATAGAAATGATTGTTTTTTGTCTATTATCAGATAGTATAGCAAAACAATTTTACTAGGCGACATTCGTCTTAGAAGAAAAAGAAACTGTGAGTATATAAATATTAAGAATATGTCAAATCTAATCAGAATAAGTACTAACATCAAATAAAAATATTTGTTAGAAAAAGAAAGCAAAGAAAACCTGTTTTTAACTGATATTTTCAAAGTTTCTTATTGAATAAAATCATCAAAGGCTGAATCTATAATCATAGGATTCGGCTTGAAACTAATAAGCTGTAAAAAAAACTAAACTTTCATTTAAACTAGCAGATGGATTTTTCCCTATGTACATATTAATTAAACGTAGAGGTGATAGAACTCAAGTTAAAAATTCATTTTTGGAAGAAATAAACTTCCAAGCTACACTTTCTTTGTCAAGAAAAATACTCGCAATCTCTTTAATTGCTATTTAAATCCTTTTCTTCTGTGTGCTTTCAAAGAAAGAGAAAAAAAAACAATTCACCTAAACTTTTGAGTTCGAGATAGAACATAAAACACGTTGGACAAATTTATATTAATAAGTAATAGAAAATATTTAAGTTAATTTTTTCCGAAAAAATCAGATTCTCAATTAGTTAATAAAAAGATATAGAAGGCTACAATATGAATAATCATTCTTTTTTCATTTTGTACAAAATAGTTTTATTTGAATTCATAGACGCAAATAATAAACGATGAAAAACAATTAAAACTATCTCTAACAAAAATTATCAACATAGTTGAAGAATGTATACAGAAATTCAAGTCCTATGATCAACAAACACGTATACAAGCAGAAACGTCCATTGCAGATGATAATCTGCTAGAAAACTCTCAATTGAATAACAATATCTATACATTTACATTGAATGACGAGACAAACGAACTTTTACAAGCTTTAACATCGAATATTGAAACCATTCTTAATGAAGATTTCGAAAAATTATCACAGATATGTTTGAATTATCTATTAGATGTTCTTCATACATATCATTACGATCGCGAACGGCGACAATTTCTTCCACCCTTAAACGTAGGTGCATTACATTCATTTGTTCTTGAAATAAAGGGTTTATTAGCTTCATCCGAAGCATTTCCAGCAGCATTCAATGGTAATCTAGAAATAGTGAAAAAGTTTATTGAAGAATATCCAACATTTAAGGATAAACCAGGATTATGGGAAACAACGTTATTATATTCAGCTGCAAGAAATAATCATTTTGAAATTGTTAAATATCTGATTGAAGAAGCGCATTGTTCTGTCAATGCACAAAATCAACGTGAAGTTGAGTTTGCATTGAATACTTCTTCAACAAATTATACTCCACGGCCTACAGCAGCTTCGACAGCTCTTCATGCGGCTTGTTTTTACAATCATTTGAATATTGTACGATATTTGGTTCAGCACGGTGCTGATTACTTTATTCAAAATCAAGCCCATGAAACGCCTATTTATAATGGAGAACGATATAACGATATAAAAAAATTTTTTCAAGATTATCTTATCGTGGGCTATTCTATTGCAGCCTCAGCAATTCTACCTGATCGAACTATCATGAATAATGATTACCGTCCAATACGAGATTCAATATGGGAATACAAACCATTTCAAGATCTAAAATGGTATAGATTTACAGCGGCTGAAGCAACTATATTACACAATGCTCTATTACCATCCGACGAACTTCAGCAGCAAGTTTATTTGACAGTAACCAACGGTTTATACAGTGTATCGATTCTTGAATTTGTACGATCTGGAAAACACGAGCAAGATCCACAAAAAAATATGGCGTGGATTAGATGCCGGGGGTCTAGTATTTTAAATTTTGATTGTAGTTCAATCTGGCATATTATGTTATTTCAACATCAAAAAGTAAACAAGGACACAGATAACACACCATCATTAAAAATACAAGAGTTTCCAGTTATGCGTAATAGTCGTTTTAAACTTCAATTAAATACTTGGTATAGTTGTGATGACAAAACAACTTCATCCATAGATAATGCAATGAATTATCGAAGAAAAATTATTACAATTGATATACCTTATATTGGTGATAAGCTGACATTTAATTTACAAACATTTGAATTTTCAAATGACGACAAGACAATTCTGGGATATATTCGATGGATTCCAAAACTTATATCAAATACTGAATACAAGAATAAAAAACTTGTACATGTTGATAATTACCAACCGATGGCAAGTATACAGCCGATTCCTTTAACTACGCAACGTAGGGAACAAGTTTTACAAGTGAAAAATACTGACCAACAGCATACCAACGGGATTGAAAATCACGATGATGAAGACGAGACTGGCTTACAAATTGCGACAGTATACGGAACAGAAAATGACGATGAGGCTGATGATGATGATTTTGAAAATACGAATGAAAAAAATGACGTAAGTTAAAAGCATCATTCAAAATTTTTGTCACTACAATATTTTGTTGCAATACAAACGTAAGATTTCTTTTAAATTAATGAGAACTAGATCCACGGTATAGAATTTAAAGAGTAGACTTACTTGTAGAAGGCTCAGAGTACGACAGGGAAAAAACATGTCTTTTAAGTCAACCATACGTTTAATTAATAATTTGAACATTCAACTAATTTTTTTGGCGATTTATTATTTTTGTGAGAACCGATGGCATAGTTGAAGTCGGTTGATACAACTCGTATCGATTTGAAAATCACATGACATCCAAAACAGCTTTCTTAGATAGTAAACTTCATCAACGTCTGGATTTTACCAAAATCACGCTCTAATTATATTAATTTAGACATCACCAAAGAATAATGGTACTTGGACTATTACTGATCTTGATGATGACACGACGTTTATTAATTCCGAGCCTGGTCTGCCAAATAATGTTACTCCAAATACATTAATTCGCGAAGATTCAAAAATTCCTGAGGATTTTTTTCGTGACGCAAATGATAAAGTCAAACAGCCTGGTTTCACCGAGCGAGCGAATTCTACGTTACAAGCTGACGCATCTGCTGCTATTGCTTTACAATTTGCATCGGAAATACAAGAATTAAAAGATCAAATTGAAAAAGAGAAATTAAAAGTTGAACAAGAAAAGCAATCGCAAGACAAAATGACAAAAGAGAAAGAAAACGAACTGAAACAAATAAATAAATTATTGGGAAAACTTCAACAACAATTAGTTAACAGGGAAGCTCACGAACAAAAATTGAACAATTTAATGCAGCAAATTATCGGTATCGACTATAATAATATCGAATCAATTATTGCAAATATTTTTCTATTTGGCAAAGTTAAAAATATTATCGATCATCTTAAAGATAAACATCCTGTCGATATTTATTTCGTAGGAATACCAAATATTACCGTTACCGATAGCAATGATCTTTATTGTATATCAGTGACAGGAACGAAAGCACATCATGATGAATTTAAATGTATTCTAGAACGAATACAAAAGTTATCAAATGCTACCGAACTAGCGAAAAAATCATATCAACACCAATTGAATTCAAAATTAGGATCGGTTAACTATATAATGACAAAACAAATTCGTTCCTCGGAAGATTGGAAACATTACACTAAGTATTATCAACAATTACTGAAAAATAAAATTGAAGATTTTGTTAAATTATATGATGAGTATATATTACAAAAAGCAAAACTAATGATGAACGATTGTATAAAAGATGTCAATTTTCAATCGCAAAGTCAATTGAAAAAATTAACTGATATGTACATGAAGAAAAAACAGTTCCTACCTGAATTAGAAATATTAAAATGTGAAGCCTTAGATGAATACGTAAAACAACATGTTTTATCTGAAAGAGTAAAATTTGAAAAGAAACCATCGAAGGAATCTCTCGGCACCATGCATGATTTGATTGGTAAAGTCAAAAAAGAATTTAAAACAAATCCAACTTATAGCGGTTGCCATGTAGAACAATTTAAGAAAATCCCAAAAGTATTACAACGAATCATGTTATACTATCGATGTTTTCTTCTACAATTACCCTTATATGAATCAGCGAAAACTTTATTACAAAAAATTAAAGAAAACACAGTCGTTACGATAGCAACGTCTACTGGATCTGGTAAAGTATAGAGAATGCTATCAAGAAAACTACGAACTAAAATAAATTTTCAATCATAAGGGTGCATATTTAGAATCTCTGTAGTACTTTTTCAGTGCATCATTTGTCATGACACACATATTGATAAATGATAACAAAAAAATGCAATGCCAATATCTTCTTTTCTCTCTTCCAAAAGAAATATAGAGCATTTATTTATTACATTTTGTGTCGCCGAAGTAAAAATGTGTTGTGCACGCCCGTGGATCCTAAAATTAATTTCATCCTACTTGGTCTGTTAGTTCGACAAGATTTGTGCTTAATGACGCCCGTCATTGAGTTCTGGTCAGTTTACAGGATTTTTAGAATCTCTTGTAAAAGTTCAAACCAAAAGAAAAACACTCATTCATCAAAGTGTTAAATATTCCAACTGCAAAATTTTGTTCACTTTATTTGAAAATTCAATAACTCAATAAGAACTTACTGTTTAATATTGCTTTTTTTATTTCAGGTAAATCAAGTGTATTACCACCTCTACTGATTGCTGAAGGTTATGATAAAGTTATTGTTACGCAACCTCGTCGGTTACCGTGCACAGCAATTTCCGAACGCGTTAATGAAACTATGATGACAAATAAAAATGAATTGCCAATTGCTGGATGGGTGGTCAGCGGTGATGAGTGCGATGTAAATGCTCGAATTTTATATTTAACAGATGGTCTATTGAAAGAACGTTTATTGCACGATGAAAATTTGATCGCGCAACAAGCAAACAATAAAACCATTGTGTTTTTTCTTGATGAAGTTCATGAAAGATCAGTTAATATTGACCTTTGTTTAGGATTATTTGCACGTCTTCTAACAAATCAACCTGAGATTAAATCTAAAGTAAAAATAATTATTTCATCAGCAACATTAGATACATCTGTGCCAGCACTATACAGTCGAATACCTCAATTGAAATTCGATGAATTCAAAATGCCGACATTGGGAACGTTACATCCTGTAACCAAAATTCCACGGCCCAATCAAAATATATTAGATTTAGTACAAGAATTATGTAAAAAAAAACAACGTCATGATCAAATATTATGTTTCGTCAGTAGTGTATCAGAAGTAAAACAATGTTGTAATCTTTTAGAAGAAATCAGTCATGGAACACTTATTGCTTATCCTTTAATTCAATCACAATCAGCAGCTGATCAACAGAATAGTATCGAACAAGGAAGTATTTTCTTTTCAACAACTGTTGCTGAAACATCGCTTACATTTCCATCATTGAAATATGTTGTTGATACAGGCATGATTAATATTCCTGTTTATAATTCTGACAAAAAAGAAACAACTTTAATGGAAATTCGAGCTGCTGAATCAACAATTAAACAACGTTTAGGTCGACTAGGACGAACAAAGCCAGGGGAATATTATTCATTATATGACTTTCAAGTTGAAGATAAAAAATATCCGACGCCACAAATATGTCAATCAGATTTAATTAATATTGAATTTTCATTAAGAAAATCTTTAGTAAAAAATGGACTTCACTTTATGAAAAAGTTTCTCCCGAATTCTCCAGATTCAAAAGCAATCAATGCAGCCATAGAAGAATTAAAGCGCTTAAGTAAGTTTTATCTTACGATAAAGATGCTCTTATTTATGTTCACTAAAATTGGATGTTACGATGACGAGGAAAATTTTAAAACAGTGAAAAGAGAGCAGTTCATGAAAAAATATATTCTTGAGCTATTCTTGAAAGTCACTTTTTCATACTTTGGAATTTGACAACTCACGGAACTGATTAGAACGATGAAAATAAAGCACACAAGAATGACTCTTCAAATAGTAACTCTCTTTTGAATCATTACAATGGGAAAAAAAATTTTCAGTATTAATCTAAGTATTTTACTGGTTCCTTTTGTCTTTAGATATTGTAAATTCGAATGATAAATTTACTTCAGTTGGTGTTGCAATTTGTAAATTACCTGATTTTGGGTCATTAGCTATGTCAAAAGCTGTTCTATCTGCATTAAATCAACACAATTGTGGACGAGATCTTATTGTTCTTTCATCAATTTTAAGTGTTTTAAATACATCATCAGTATTAAAGGCAATACCAAGTTCTATGAAAAGAAGTGAAGGTGATTTTATGTCTTTATTAAATGTTATGAATGAAATTCTCCTAGTAAGAAAAAGTGTACATGCTCAACAATTTAGATTATCTAAAGTATGCCAAGCTAAGAATTTAACACCAATCCTGCATATATTAAAACAAGCATTGCGGCGATATGTTAATTTAGAGAAGTCATTTAATCTTTCCGCTGAATATCGTGAAAAAGCACAAGTATCCAGTGATGATTGGGAATCGATTGCAAAATCGTTATTAAACGGATATGGAGAAAATGTCTTTGTGTCAATGAAAGAATTACAAGGAAGAACTCATATATTTACACGATATTCTCCTCCTAAACACGACGAAGCTGTTTTAGATCTACAATCGACTCTTACACGAGCAATCTCGTCGGCACCCGTTTCACTTGTTCTTGCACGTGACATTCGTTTTTCATCTTCTATTCGACATACAGCTGTTTTATCATTTGTTGGCGAAATTCAGTCACAATGGATTGAGTATCGTCTTAGTAGGAATATAACATTAAACACAGCTGAAGAAACGAAATTAAATCAAGATAATATATTGGGAACAACAAAACAAGCATTTCCTAATATTCAAATACAATTAAATAATCATATTCTCACTTTAGAAGGTTCAGCAGGTTCTGTTCTCGACGCTGAACTCAATATTTTACAACAATTGGTTGTAGAAATGAAATTTACATTGGCAAATATGTACCCAACTAGCGCAACAGCTGATCATGCTCGTATGAAAAGAAATCTCGAAGGTGTTTCGAAAATGCCTTCTATATTTAGGCCAATGAAATGGCGTTGGGAAGCTCAACATCAAGTTAAAATAACAGTCAATAATAACGTAGGAAATCATGAATGTGAGATAACAATTGAAGGGCGAGATTCACAAAATCAATTAGTACAAAAAGAATTTCAATCGTTCTTAGGATGGTTAAAACGTTGTGCTGTTATTAGACACCCCAACGCAGGTATAATTAGAATTCTATCGTATCTCTAAAGCGTGTACTGCCTATTTTATATCTCATGAAAATTAGCTTAGACATTTCCCTCTTCATCATAATGGTTACAAAAACGATACCTGTAAAATTCATAGAATTCAAAAGTAATTATTATTATCATAGCTGATACGTTTATATGGCTTTTTTAAAAGGATTACAGTTTCTAAACTAAAATTTGATGCGAAGCGCCACAGTTTACCAATAGAAATAATTCACTCATTACACAGGTCCTATGGAGCAGGCCTATTTATGAATGCTGAGTTTTCATAAAGGACAATGGTCACCATCAGTGGTTAGTATCATCTTTAATAATTCAAGCCATCATATCATATTTCTTATTTTGATACCTTTGAAATTGTCATATGAAACCTATTATTTTGTTTCTGTTTTGACAAGAATGTACAACAAGTGACTTGTTTACTAAAACACTGTACCATTTCATGCGAAAAAGATTTCCCATGTTTGACCTTCTTTTCTGAAACTATATATCGTTCGAAAATTCGTCCAACATAATAATTATTATCTCTACTTTTGTTCTCAAGTAGCCATTCAAAATTTAGTTAAAATCTTCGATTGTATAATCATGTATCTTGTTTTAAGGCGTTCCACCACGAATTATTAAACCAGCCATGCGTAAATCATGTCTAGATATGGAAGAAAAAATTTCACATATCACTGATAGTAAACGAACATCAATTGAATTATGGAAAGGTTTGAAAGGTTCAAAAGCAACGCGCGAAACTCGAATGGAAGTGGTTGCATGGATAGCCGTATGTAAATTTGATTGTCGACTTGAAGGTGGTTTTGTTCGTGATTGGATTGTTGGAAATTACACTGCTCGGCCAAGTGGATACCCATCGACATGGGTGACTTATCAAACTAATGCAACTGGTACAATACTTCCTTATCTGGACAAGGATTTAATCCCATCAGATCTTGATTGTCATTTGCCATCACATAAATCTTTTGATATTGATAAATTCTTGGATAACTTACATAGATATCAAATTGAATATACGGTGTATCGAGAAGATTGGCGTTATATAATACTATTAGATGAAAATGCTAAAACTGGTCCATTTACCATGGATTTAATTGAACCTCATGTTGCTATAACACAAGATCTAATCGATTTTGATGTTAGCAATTTATCATTAGAAAAAGATTACACAAAAGAATTAGGAATGAGAGTTGATATTACATATAAACCATATTCTATTGAATTGGAAACTATTGTCGATAATATCAAAAATAAACGCTTTCAAGTATTACGTCCAGTTGATAACTATGTGCAAGTTCGTATTGATAAAATGAAAAGCCGAGGTTGGACACAACTTGGACAACCGATGCATGTCATTCCTAATCCTCCACCGAAATATCAAGTTGTTCTTGTTCCATTACCAGAATCAACGGACTTATATCAAACATTAGTTCAACAAATGAAATCCTATATTAACAATCAAGTAAAAGTACTGTCTATTGAGCAAATAAAAAATCCCTTATTAGAAGAAGCTTATTTAGCAATGAAAGAATTAATTGCTAAACAATGCAAGGGAAAAATTCCAAATGAACGCGAACTATTCCATGGAACCAAAGGTGAAGCTATCGATGGAATATTAAATGATGGATTTGATGATCGATATTGGGGAGGAAATTTTTCAAAATGCAAATGGGGTAAAATATAGAAAGACGAGTCTTTAACTGCATTCTATTTTATTTACTTTTTTTCTGTTTTATCAGGTCATGGTGCATATTTTGCTGACAATCCAAGTGTTTCACATAGATATACTGAAGCCAATACAAATGATCAAACACGTATCATGTATTACAATAAAGTTGTTCTGGGAAATGAATCGATACTTCAAGAACAAAATAGTGAATTAATGTCGGCACCCAGAGGTTATCATTCAACGCATGGACACTTTCCAGGTCAACCAAATGACGACGAATATATTGTATATCGATATGGACAAGCATTACCCTATTTGAGAATAACTTATAAAGTTTAAATTTTCTGTTGTCACTAAAAAATGACTTGAACTCTATTAGAATTATAGTTTTATGTTAAACGTGAAATTTCTTTTTAATACTTTTGTATCTCGTTTCATCAATCTAGTCCGAATGAACGACATACTACAAATATCAATCTATTTTGGAATAATACAAGGAGATAAGCTTATTTGACAATTCTTCTAAATAGATCAGAATATGGACGCGTATGAATGAACGGTTGAGAAACTAACTTTCATCGAGCTCCACATCAAATATTATTGAAGTACCTTGATGGCCAAAGTCATATACAGAATGTGGTCGTTTTTTTCAATAGCTACGATGTAGATATACTGTGCTTTTTCTTATTTGCTTTCTTTGACAACAGAGATGGCCGTTTCGAAATGACCAAAGTTCCAAATAGAATGGAACGGGACGAAAAAGTTGTTCAATAAAACGTCATGTTCATTAAAAGGACGTTTCCATCTTTGAACCCATTTAGAGGAATTTCTTATTCAATATTCTCAGATTCCCTGTACTTTTTATTCTTTTTAAAAACAATTTTGAGAGTTGACAATATTATGCCCATTTTTGTTACTTTGTGTGATGGTTTCGTATCGTTATTTTTATTATTCTCTTCGGCCATTTTAACGCCATTTCTCCGTTACAAAACCTGCCTGGGAACATATCTTATGAATGCTCTATCGTATGCTGTCATTTCTGGTCACTAACACATGCATTTCAATCAAACCAATTTAGTACCGCCATTGATCTCGGGATAATGTAGCTCAAATTTTTGACCAAACCGAACTTCTAATAAAAAACAAGCATCGTCAGATGAGTGTGACTATGGATATGAACGTGTGTCTATATGCTCAGATTATATCAACTGATATTCGCACAGCAACAACGATGTCCTCCTAAAGAGTACATTGGTTTTATATGAAAATTACTCTCACTCTATTCATTTTTATACTATAATCAGTTATCATAATGCGTTCGCAATACAATACAAAGAAAGCTCTGATTATCAACGGTAAAATAATTTGAAGTCACGCTATCGTAAAAAAAACTCATTAATTGCTATTTTCCGACGACGACAAAAGAAAAAGTCATTCAATGAAATATGCATAGCATAATACCAGTGGTTGACTTCAAATATGAAGCCTTTCAATTGTTCTCATTCACTAAGTTATCTTATTCGAGAAATCTTTATTGTTTCTAAATATCATCGATATATTTTATCCATTTCATGAACAAAAAAAATACAAAAAAAATAAGAATAGCATCCCTGGTGACTTTGTTCTGTGATGAAGACACTGAAAGCAGGTAAAACATAACATTCTTATTCTTGAATTTTGGAAAGTTAAAGAAATTCTGAACGAGTATACACGTCTCTTTCTAGTGATAATTTTGAAAAATAAACGAATTTTTGTAATTTATGTAAGAACAGTGAATCTCTTTTTTTTGGAGAAAAACAAAATTTTTGTAGACTGATCTTGCTGAAAATATAATCATATGTGCAGCTTGTGTCACGTAAAGTCTGCCTTTCAGTTTTCAACTCATTGATAAAAGCGACATCAAATTTATGATGAAATATACTATTTTCATTTTAAAGAAGAGTCCATTATGTATTTAATGATAATTGCTCATACCATCTTTTTTACGAGACTATGTTCTCTGAAGACCCTTTTTGTTCTGTAAATTTGTATATACTAATAAAATAAGTCAGTAGTGTAAATTGATTTCAGTAGAATTATCGAGCTATGTATGAATGAAAAATAATAAATCTTGTCTAACTATCTTAATATATCTACAATTGAACAATATAATGATTATGTTTTCTTTTAGCAATTCTACGATTTGGACAAGCAAATGCCGATTGTCACTAGCACCAACCACTGAAGAAATCTCTGAAGATCTGAATTTGCCCGCATCACATGATTTTAAATCAAATTCTCATGATCATCCACCGATAGTGGAAGAGCTACAAATTGAGCAGAATGTCAATGAAACTGAAGCTACAGAATGTGTTTGGAAGTTGAAGGTAACATAAATTAATTTTCTTTTCCTCTAAGCGTTGCTAAAACACTCCTTCATTGTGGATCGACATTCCTATGAACTGGCACATGAGATAATCTCAAAGATAGTTATGACGATATTGTCAAGATTAATAGTAGAAAGCTTTCGCAAATTCGCAAATCTGTTAAAAATCCAATGTCTGGAGAAAAGTATACGAGTCTTACTCGTTCATATAGGCTTTAATTAGAAGAGAGATGCACTATTTTTCTGGTATTTAAATGTATGACTCTTTTCATAGGTCTACAAAAATAGTTTTAATCAAACTCTTCCAGTAGACGATCTCAGCAACTTGCAAAAGAGCCGCCAAATTAAATGCGATGCGAATATGACAGTCGAAGAGCAGCTGAAATCAGCAGAAGACGCGAATAAAAAACCACCGTCTTTAAAAGAGAAGCTCGCAAACAATCACGAATGGGATGTTCTTGGTATATTGAACCTATCTTCAATGAATCTGATCGACAGTGATATGCCATTGATCATACAAGCCGCTTTTAGCGAGAATAAGACAAAATGTATTGGACTCATATTGCGCGATAACAACATGACATCGGACGGCGTGAAAACTCTCGTCGATGCACTACTCGTGGCGCGAACGAAGTTGAAATATCTTAGTTTCTCGAACAACTCAAAGATAGGAGACGTGGGGATCGAACATTTAGTTTATTTATTTAAGAAAAAGCGATCGATGAGTTTTCTTGCTTTACCCAATATTGGTATGACAGATCGCGGCCTCCGACTATTAGCTGATTTACTTTGTGAAGTTGACGTTGATTCACGTTGTCCGCCCATCGAAAAGCTGTACATCTCGTTCAATAAATTGATTACTGATGAATCAATGGTAGCTGTCATCCAAATACTTGAACGAAACCGAACATTAAAAGTATTTTCTATGGAACACTGCAGTTTTTCTGACAAAGTTCGACGAATTTTACGAGAAATTAGTGCAACTAACAAGAAAATAAAGCTCAGTCTTTCAGATTAAGACAGTTTCTTCAGTGTCTATGTGTGTGTGGTTGTGCGTATGCACCAACATCCACATACTCGGCGTAATACGGTCTGCTCTGAACTGAAAATAAACCGTTTTAATGACATTGGGTGTGTGGGTGTGGGTGTTGGTGTGGATCGGACTGTAGTGAAGATCGTCACACCCATATCCAAACACCCACCAATACTCACGGTCACAGACACAGCCGCACCCACCCAAATCCACACCCTCATGAACACTCACGTCCACACATTCACATAATCAAACATCACCCTCAGCAAAGCTGGATTTTAAAATATTTATGCAACATTCAATGTGTCGTGTAACTACACCTTGTGATTTGCAAGACGAAGAAAAAAAACATGCTATTTTATCTTGTGATAAGTAATCATATAAGTCACTGAAAGAAGTAGAGGAGTCGCTTTCATTTCTTGTGTACCGTCAAAAAGAGGTAAGTGAAGATAGCTCGAATTTGAACTTATCAAATCAGAGATTCAACGAGAGAAGAAAAACTCTCTAGTAATTCGAGGTTATATACACTTTACTGATGCTTTTGTGTGGATTTCAGAGTTTTTCGAAAGATCTCGAATTTTGCAAGAAATTCTCTTCAAATATCAAGAGAACCAATAGAACGAGATCTTAAAAGTATAATTACAACGAGAAACGAACCTTAAAAGTTTTGAACGTCGCAGTGACGAGGTAGACATAATTGACTATTTCAGAAGGAATAGCTTACTTGTGTCGAATAATCGGAGTTTTAGGAGATTAGGTCGCCTATTATAAGTGCATGTCGTTTTCTACGATATATTGTATCCCTACATGATAATTAAAACGTTTTAGCTTGAAGAACATCAATTCTATGCATATTTGTATAAAGAATTTGATTGATAAATACGGATGGGAGGTAAAAAATGAAAGGGGGCACCGTAACTTAGAAACTGTAATAGCTCTCTACGAATCTGACAAGTTTTTCAGTCCGCCAATGACTAAAGAACGGGGGGCGTATAAGAGTCATTTTTGGGCTATCCTAACTTTACCTTCATCCATAATTTACCTGATGCAACATTTTGCAAGAAATCGTGTGATAACAAAATAAAGTGATTTCTGAAGGATTCTGACCTTGCTTTGGTCTGAATTTTTTAGATCCATTTTTGCAGCAGAAATAAATACTCATACAAGGAATGGTGACACCTGTAAAATTTTTCATAATAAGACATTTCCAACTGAAACCTATGCCAATCCACTATCTATTGCGTAGTCCGTCTCTGATAAAAATGACGTGGGCGCATAAGACGTTAAATCGGTCCATTAGTATTTTTCATGGCAAACCCCATTGAACTTTATAAATTATTCGACGAAAACCAAATGCCTCAAAACGTGTTTGAAACATATGTGAGTCGACTCAGCTTTTTATGCTGATGTCGAATATGATATTGGTTTTAGCTTAGGCTGTCATTTGGCAGCAAAAAAGTGGCTAAATACTAGTCAAAAATGTACAAAATCGTACTACGACGAGAATGTGCTTCGGTATTTTACTAGTGGCCATATTTTTTCGACTTTGAAAAATATATTATTTTGTAGCTTTTGAAAAGGGCTACACTGAAAAAAAAAATAAGCACTCTACGAAACTTAAAAGGGTTCAGAGATTTGCAACGAATTCGAAACCATTTTTCTTTATCATACGGAACCTTCGAGGTTCTTCAAGAGTTTCGTAAAGTCTCACAAAACCCTTAAAGATATCGGAGACTCCGACACAGGTTTCGTGAGACTATACGGAACTTTGAAGGTTCCGTACGACATCGCAAAAGGGTTTCGAATTCGTTGCAAATCTCGGAACCTTTTTAAGTTTCGTAGAGTACTTATTTTCTTTCAGTGTATCGAACCAGTATGATCAGAATTTTGGTATTTTCAATTTTTAAATTTTTAAATTAAAATTTTTGTTAAAAGATACGAGAGAATGATAAATATAGCAAATATACTAATAGTACTTCTGGATGCATTGGATCTTTTTCTCATGGAGCTAAATAATCAATCAACGATTTATATATAGAATTGAAGCCCTATTCAAGAGCTATCAAATTCATAATTTAAGTACCATTTTGTCATATATTTATTATGAAATGGAATCTGCTGTACACGGATCAATTATTCAATTAATGATCAAAATAAGTCATTTTGTTTATATATTTTAGCATTCGAAATTCGACCAAAACCTCATAAATTTAGCACCAACATGTTCGTGTCAACTTGCTCTTTCCGTTGATATAAAATTCAACTGGGTTTGCCGTGAAAAATACCAATGAGCCGATTTGACGTCTTATGCGTCCCGTCCTTTTCAGCAGTGACCGAAATATAGAGAAGCGTCATTTTACGTATCTCAAGTCCTGCATGTGAGTGCCACGTAGATTGAAGTCCCGCATGCGTACCTTAGCCTAAGTGTAACGGGCTTTTCATTGCGCTTGAGGTAAATTAAACATTTTCTGGAGTTCTGAGAGCTTCTTGTGAGTGTCAGACTCTAACTAGGTATTACTAATCAGTTTTTTCTATGCTTCTGAGAGCCTATTCGTATGAAAGAGGAAAAAGAAGGAAAGGAGGACCGCTGCAAGGTCTGATATAATATGTATTCATGTGGAAGTGGAGGTTTAAATGTTCACAGTGCTGGTAGTGTATATACTTTTGGATCTAGTCTGCAAAGATGAACCCAGGAACAACGTATTTGACCACAATTTTAAATGGCTCCTATTGGAGCCATTCTTATTCTTATTCTTATTATTCGACTCAAAGAATAGCATTCGATAATTTTGATAATATAATTTTCAGATTACTGTCGACATCGAGTCTTGAGTTATTTAACATTCTTACGAATAGTTGTTAAAATAACAAAGAAATTGATAAATCTTTACTTAATGTTTTCAAATAATGTAGCCTTTTCTTTTTTTTAGCTTTTCATACATATCTATTAACATTTCTTATCGAATAAACATATTTGAAATTACCTGTAGAATGTTGCAAAACTAAATGGTCTATCAGAAAACATCTCGATAGGATATGGGGACGTGGGTGTGGGTCTGAGTTAGAGTGTATGTATTCTTATAGGCTACTCACGCTCTCATCATCAAAATACTGTACTTTTATTTTATATTTATATGATACTATTGCATATTATGAGTTTCATGATAAGTGTGACAATAATGTTTTGGGCGTCATAAAAGAATGCTTCCCCGCTGAAGACTCAAATCCACGTCTCCATTCTAGCTAGGTGCTATAAAACTGTAACAACAATAAATCAAAGTTTATAGATTACGTGATTATATCCGCATATATATGATGGAATCTTAAAAAATTCTTGTTGTTTGAAAACTATACACAACAACTTGGCTATGTGACCAGAACTGATTTATATCGCTCATGTGAAAAATTTTGTCCTCATTCAAGTTTATTAAATGCAACCGATGTCAACTATGATTTCATCTATCAAAGTCTAAAATTTAGAAATAACAGATGTCGCTTAGGATCATGTTTGTTATGGTTTCTTGTGTTTTATGATTTTTACTTTCTACATAACCATCCTTTGACGTTTATAAATGTACGTTAAAATATTTTTTTCCTGCATACCTTTGAAATAAGTATAAATTATTCGTTGAATCTATAAAGTATAGTATGTAGGCTTCGTTTATTTCTTTCTCTGAAAAACATGCAAACAGACATTCATATTTTGCCAATCATGCTGTTGTGTTTTGAATACTTTCTCCACTGTTTTATTTTTAGTTTGGTGAGACTGCTGATTTTTCGTTTTCTTCCTTTCTATAACTTACGTTTCGAACGGTTTATACTTATTTGATGCAGATTTCTTTCTATAGGCACAAAAATATTTAACATAAAAAAACGATGGGTGTCGAAACATCGCAACATCGAATTATAAATATTAAAAAATCACCATCTAATACATCGGTAGATACAGCATTGCCAATTCCGAAATCTCCATCGGATAATGAAATAGAATATCTCGAAACATTTACATTAGCTTGGTTAGATTCACATATTGATGACGATGAACATAATATAATATTAGAAAAACGCTTACGTCAATATATTACACATCTTGTTACATTCGACAATCAAAAATTATGTGAACAATGGTTGAAAAATCGTTCTACCGACGAAAAAATTTTTCTTATCGTAACTGGTGAGACAGGAAAAACGATTTTACCTAATATTCATCATTTAAGATCGGTCATTGCTATTTACATATTTTGTTGGAAACCAGAATTGCATATTAGTTGGGCTAAAGCGTACTCTAAAATACGTAATATTATTTCCCAACCAGAAGAACTTTTAGAACAAATATTAAGAGATAAAATTTATTTTGAAAATATTGAAGATTCAGGAGGAATTAAAACATTATCAAATCAAGATCAACATGAAATTTTAAATATTGAAACGGCTTCTTTTCTATGGTATCAACTTTTTCTTGAACTACTTGTATCATCATCTTATTTACAATCACCTGCTTCATCCACTGAGCTCCTTCAAATAATTCTTCGATATCACGCAAACAATGAAAATTTCTTAAATTTAATCAAAGAATTCGAAAAAACCTATGATAAACAGGACGCCATACAATGGCTGATAAGTAATACTTCATTAGAACGTTTTTTAACTAAAGCTTTACGTGAACAGAATATTTCTATGCTTTTTTATCTTCGTTTCTTTCTTGTGGATATTCATACTCAATTGATAACTCACCAATTAGAATCTGCTCGTGCATATCGAAAACAATTTATGTCCTTAACAAATATCGCACAAATTCAAAATAATCCAAATGGCTATTTAGTATTTAATGGATTTCTTTTCAGTTCAATACAACCACCTAACTGTTCGTTAGATGATATTGATGATATTCAATACCAACTTGTTCTCATTGAAATCTATGTTGAATATCGCGATGGAATGCCTCCATTTGCTTGTGTTCAACAAATGGTTAATGTGAATAGTGATAATAATAATAATGATTCAACAATTATTTTTATGTGTGGTTCGATATTTAAAATTATTTCGTTTGAAGAAAATCATAATTCAACTTGGAATCTGCAACTATCATTGATTGATGATAAAAATTTAAGTGTATTAAATGATCAGAAAGAAACATTACGGCAAACAAAAGATTTATCTATTATTGCTAATTTACTAGAGCAAGCAAACCAACGGAATAAGGCTAACATCTTTAGTGAACATCTTTCGCGATTATTGCCATCTAATAAAAGTTTGACTCTTCCCACAAACAGACCAACGAATACAAAAGCTAAGGTTCAGCCACGTACGTACATAGATAATCTGAACTTACCACTACTAATAATAAAAAACTATTGTGAGGGGAGATAAATGCGTGCCAAGGCTATCAATAGCAATATTAGTGACTAGATCACACACTTTCATACCCACACCGAACGTCCTAGTTAAAAAGTCAGCATGCAAGTTTTACATGCCTTTTTCCGTGACATGACAACATCCTAAATCTTATACTTGTGTATCGCTAAAACTGGTGTACTCGTGAAGAAATGTATTGTATTGTCACGTGATATAAAATATTCTTTTGAATTTTTACACAAGATTTATTATGCCTAAAGACACGATGCATCCTGATAAGAAACTCGTCTGATTCAGAAAGTACATATTCGACTATCACCAGGTGATCAATAAACTATAATGTGCAGTTACATATTAGTTGACATTTACGATGGAAAATAAAAATAGTAGGAGCCTTAGTTTTTATTCCGTGATGTAACTCATGTTGAAAATGACTCACGTGTTCTTTCGAAAAATCTTATCAACGACCAAATATTAGAACGATCGATTTCTACATGAAAATTTGAATAGACTAAGTTAGTGATCGACAGAATTTGATTTATACTGTTCATTCTCTTATGATTTTAAAAATCGTTTTAGTTAGCTTGAAAAATGTTCAGTTCATAGTTACCGATCTATCAAAGCATCTCAATAAGTTCGCATCCGCTATGTTAAATACTTTACAATCGATGACCAATGATTCTCTATTAATTTATGACAATGGTTCAGACTTTGACTCCGACGTAACGTCTGATAAAAGAATTTTACTATTCTCAACTGCTCAATATGCCTCATTAACGACAGAAAGCTTTAAACAAAAAGCACAAATATTTATATTGGAAGAAGATACAAATAAAGTTGATCTAAAACAGCGATTCGACAATAGTGAAGATTTAATATTTGAATTGGCTGATCAACTCTACCGTTATTATATGTTAGAAGCAAAAGAAGATTCTAAACAAGGCGATACTTATTCAGCTAAAGAAAAAGAAGATTTAGCCAATCGAATTCATAGTGAATTGAAAAAAGCTTTTCAAAATATTTCAACAAATATTGTTGATGATAAACCAGCAGTAAACTCAAAAACAACATTTATACAATTAAAACCACTCGGTGATACTGATTCCATCATGAAAACTATGCGAAGGCAATATAAAAATATTGTTTCAGATGATTTCATATTTCATGACGCAGAAGAATGCTTTGGCCATATATGTACAGCTGAATATAGTAATATTGTATTTCTTATAATCAATATTCAGCATTATGAAGAATCATCCATAACCGGCTTTGAGTTTCTTGAGAATATCAAACACATTTATCGTTATAATCCTTCATCAATTGTAAACGATAGAATTATTTGTAACCCGAAAAATCTACGTTTTCGATTTACCCATGATCTCATTGAACATTACAACAATTTGGGAAACGAGTTTAATCAGAGAAACAATGCAGAGAAGGCGAAAGGAATGTTTTTAAAAGCACAACAATTGTGTGCTATTCTTATTGAACATTAAACAAATCAGAAATAGAATTTGTTTTCGTTTGTTTTTATTATTTTTAACATTTTAATCAAGTTTTAGATGTCAACCATAACTGATATTGTATTTAATAATACAATATATTCTCCATGTGACGATTGGGGTCTTCTACTACACCAAATAAATGGGCCATCTAGTCTAATAGAAGTTCAAAATGCAGAATTAATCAAATTTATGAGAAATTTCAATGACTTAACTGGGTGTCAAAATCATATTCAAGAGAATAATGATAAACATATTACACTTTTTGTAGACGATGTAAATATGCAAGCATGGCTATTAAATGGCTCTGTTGATGTAAATGTAGATGATATTAATATCTTTTGTCGAAATATCTATGATAAAGAATATTTCAAACGATGGAAAAGACGTCAGGAACGTAGAATTCGAAATATTATTACGTATGATGAGCTCAATCGAGAATTATTATTATTTGGGATGAAATTGATTAAAGAATTATGTGTCTATTTTCAAGATGATCATGGAATACTAAATTTATTAGAAGCAGATTATGAAAGAATTCGTTTAGCGTTGATAAATTCATTATCACATTGAACTCCGTAAAAAAAGATCATAAAAGAACTCGCATTGAAGCCAATTAATCGATTTTCTTTTCATATCTAGATAATTTTCACTTATTTAGTAAATATAAATATTAGATTGACGAAGATTTTTTCAGCAATAATAAGATCTTTAAATCTATTCCAAAATGTACGTGCGAAAGTGCACGCAAATCAATTCGAAAGCAAATGAACTTATTTCTTCACAAGGCGAAAATTTCAATCTGTTAGTCTCAACTCAGAATTTTAACATTAATCATTATAGTTTATGTGATTTGATAAAAATGATTAAAAGGGTGCAGTTTTATTTGTACTGATGTGTTTCATGATGTTTATTAAAATATTCAAGCATTTTTCATGATTCTATTTTGATAAAAAGTATAAGAGGAAAAATTCAAACGAAATATGGAATAAACAACAATAGAAATGAGAGAAATGCCTTGAAAATTATGATAAACAGTTTTCCAAAGGCTTCTCTTTTTTCTTATTAATGTGTGGATAAAAGTTTATGCTTTATGAGCACCGATCTTAATGATTTGATTTGAATTGATATGTGATTTTTCAAGAGAATTATTTAAGCAAGTAATACTAACATGTTAATTGACTTGCAATTCTCCAAATTGTTGCTGACGTGCTCCATTCTCTATAGGACGTTAGAAAGAAACTCTAGAATATGCTGGGGACATTACCGTGCATTTTGAACACCTATATACGAAACTGACTCTCGTATCATCCCAGGTGAATGCATCCGATACCGAATCCGATCGGATCTTATAAAATCCGACGAGCCGACAAAGTTCCATGGGATTCCGAGTTGAGGAACTACTAACGGATCCCTACTGTTGGAATCTGGTGAACATCCGACCAAATCCGACAGCAGAATTCGATAGGAATTTCAGGAGTCGGATTCCAACGAGGTTCCTAAAGAAACCTATCGGACTTTGACTGGCTCCTTCTAGAATCGATCGGATTCCAACACTAGGGATTCGTAAGTGGTTCCGCAACCCGGATTTGCTTAGAATCCTGCAGGAACCGATCAAAATCCGATCGAATTCGGTTGGATCCAAGTGTTGAATTATTCGTCCTGGGAACCATTGATTTTGATTCCGACTATTCTTAAGTGTTTAATCCATTCAACTATCTCCGCTATCTTTTTAAACTAGAAATTATATTTCATAATTTCTCTTTATACCAACTTCGAATCGAAGATATGCTGATGTAAATTCCCGTTTGACACAACCCTGCCCGAAAACTTTAACTAATGAAATTTATTTCTACTCCAAAAACTTTTCTCTGTGCAAACGATAGAGTTCATCGAGTTTTATTGGATAGAATGAGAACGGAGTTGGGATCGTCTTTTAGGCAAATCACGACTTAGAAAATTTTCTTTCAATTAGTATTTAAGCAGAAAAACACAAGACACATTCAGATTTTGAATACTGTTGTTTAAGATGCATCAAGTGAAATTTCATCCTACATAAATTTAAACTGCCATTGTCATTTTTCCAACTTGTGCCGCCGCCCATTTGTATGTGAATCTCTTGCGAATTGCTTGTAGATACTTCCATATGTTGGGTGTGTTCGTTTCGAAAATTTTTGTCCTTTTTATTGCCATGACGATTGTGCCTATGTTATGTTGAAAATATACTGCATGACAAGAACGGATATTAGACTGCCATCAACGTAATGCGTAAATTAAAATGCATACTTTTATAGTTCTTTGCCGATCATTATTAGTGCATATACATAAGTAGTTGTAATGAAATAAGGCCTCTTCATCAGTTGGCTTCAAGTTTTTACCCTTGCCATATTTTTCGATCAGATGCTTGATGATAAATCCGGACTCTGCAACTACACGCTCGTCATTCTTGATAACGGGACTCTTGTCAAGAGGGTGCATCGTTTTCAATTCGGGCGATGCAAGTATGTCAGGCCCTCGGTCGATTATTTCAATCTTGTAGAGCAGCTCAAGTTCTTCGAGTATGAACAAAATTCGATCGGCACGACCAATAGTGCCGAATTTGAAACTTGAATTCAGTTGAAAATAGAAAATTTCAACTTTCAACTCTTTGCGATATAACTGTGAATCACAATTCTTCAGAATGCTATTGGTTTAAAAGTTGAAAATTGAATTCAAGTTTCAAGTTCGACATATATGTGCGCGACTGTCACTCAGCCAGTACACTATAATTGATGGTTCACTTGATTCAGTATATGTCTAAGCTTCGGCCATTGATGTAGGTGTTTTTCTTCAAATGAAGACGTTTATGTGTTCTCCAGGTAGTTGTGTAATGTTTGCAACGACAAGGTAATAAAAAGAAGAAGAAAAATGCATAGTTATTATCGATGATGAATGTCTTTTGTGACCTTCATTCTCTTGCTGTTCTGTTTATCATTTCTGATCTCCATACATTGACAGGACACATTTCGTTTTGGAGATATTGTAGACTTACTCTTTGACGTTGTAGAAAGATTAGTGCATTCAAAAGCTGTGGTACAATGCCATTCAATGGCTTCTAAACTGCATGCGATGTGTCTCGACTATCTTTGTGTTCAAGATGACTGTTTATCTGGAATACAAGTGTATGATAGGTATTTGTATTGTTGTGATTGAAGAAAGTAGTTTAAAAAAAGACAGCAGTTTTATGTGTCTGCGGATATTAAGCATATATTATGAACATTGAAGTACAGATACAATGCGTTTCGGAATTTGAGTATGGCGGTTCTAGTCATAAGATGATTTATTGTGTTGTGTTCGAATCTTGATAATGACTTTTGAGGATGTTTTCTAAATGAACTATATTTTGAACGTCCGGTTGATATTCACTATAATACGTGCCATGGGTAACATATATTTTTAGTCGTCGAATCGTATCTATGCCATGAATGAATGTTTTATCACAAACAACAGTCAACAATTTCACCACTCATGCAATGGATGCATTCATAGATACAATCATAGAGTTTACTCTTTGAAAAAAAGATGTCATACTGAATATTTTTCTGGTACCATTTTCAGAGCCATTTTTAAGTTCTAGCTAAAAATCTAGAAGCTTTAGTCGTTTCAGACTTTTTGAGTAGAATCTAGAAAAAAGGTTCTGAAAATGATATCCAAAGTGGCTCAGTGTGGAGCCATTTTTTCAGAGAGTAGTGATGTTTCAAACTGTAGGAGAAGAAAAAACGAATCAAATTAAAGTATATCGTTATAAAAGAATTACCTAATTGCCAATTATTTTACTTTACAAATAGTTTGTTGTGTTGCTGAGTATTAAGAACAGTTTTTTTCGATCAAATGCTAAATTAAAGTTTGTATTGCACGAAAATTATCTACTGGAAGATGACGATCATCAGTAATTTCTTCAAAAGCTATTTTTTTTTTACTTATATTCTTTTATCTTTCTGCGTAAAATCATTTACTTTTATATGTATGGTGCATCACATTATCAGGCGGATCGTGTTCTAGCTGTTGAATTGTTCGGATAATCCTATATTCTCATTGTGCACGAATTGTTAACGATTTTGGTAGAAGTTGTGGTGTAATTGTTTGCTAATGTTATTTAGCAGGATGTTTACGAAGTTCATGAAGAAATTGAATCGCTCCCCTTGATTATTAAAATTCATGCTACATCAGTTCGCTTCATATCTAGCATTCTTCAATATGCTTTTGTTAAGATTTTTTCAAAGAAACATTTTCATTCATAAGTAATTCAACACTGTCATCGGGGAAAAAGATAGATCGTTGGTTCACTATTAACGTTCGAAACTCATCTGTGGCTTTCTTTTTCACGATTCTCATACGCACGTAACTTCAAAACATTATAATATCTCTCAATAAAAAAAAACGTTCCTCTTTCTCTTCTGCATCTGATTGCCAATTTTTATTTTTCGCTTTCAATATTATTTATAGTTTTCCAACTTTCATCGTGCTTCCAGAATTTACTGCAGAACCCTGAAGAGTACCTCAATATTTTAATCAATAAATTACAAGAAACGCATCGTCAACAGTAAATTTGCATTTCATTTAACAAAGTCGATTACTGAAAAGTAAGAGCTGAGAACAGCAGATTGAATTTATCTTTTCGTTACGAAGTAGACTGATCTGTTTATTTATTTATTTTCAAGGCACACAAGTGTTTTTTTGCTTTATTAATATAAGTCTACATCAGATTACAGACCACCGAAGCAACGTTTGCACTACCAGGCGTAATGGGTACGTATTTTTTTACTTCTTCCAAGAACTTTAGATACGTTACAATTGGTAATATCTTTGAATTCGATTCAGTTAGTTCCGCTTTCAGTGAATCATACATTGCGTTAGAGTTCGTCCGACACATTGTATATAGTCCTGATAATGTCGATCCATCCATCCCTGCACATATTGGCAACATTGCCTGAAGCTGCTTAATTTGAAAAAAGTACTTAACATCGTCTTCGGACCAAAGAGTGAGTGTGTGAGATAAAGTTCGAGGAGGTAGAGGAGCCCTTTTGATTGGCAAGAAAAAAGATCTAGTCTAATATATAGAATGAAATATTTTCACTTACGTAACGACTGTAGCAGGCTTTATGTCGACACTGTGTGGAGCTGGCCCGTGGTTGCCAACCGGTGTAGACATGGTTGGGATTGACTTGCCTCGATGTCGACTGATTTCTTGAATGATCTTGCTGTATGCTTCGTCAAAGTTGCTAACCTTGTGAAAATCAATGTACATTTTGTTCGTGGTAAGGAGACCAAGCCATCCATCCGCATGATATGGACCTTTAACAATAAGTGGAATGACGCGACGTTGTTTTTGATACGCATAGTGTGCTTCCATTTCGCAGTAACCACTTTTTTTGTAGGAATCCGACATGCAAATGAAAACAAACTAAAAAGATTGACGCTCTTGAAATCACTGGTTTTGTTACTTACATCAGTATTTTCAATGGCATGAGCCATAGCCCGAGTTGGAGAACCGTACATATTATCACGATCCAACCAAATGCGAAAGTTGTCCTCTTCGAGACGTTTGCCAATCTGGTAGACTAGTTCTTTGTCCTGATGTGAATAGCTCTAAAAGGAAAATACAAAATACATTTTTGAAATGCCACTGAAGAAACCATTCTTATCTAATTCCGAAGTCGCATATTTCTCAAATCAATTTTCTGGTAAATGGAATCGAGCTGATTTCAGTGTCTTTGCTTCTGAAAAGAGAGTGCCAAAGATACTGTTTTGTGATGTAGGCTCCTTGGAGGAACTGTAATCGACTATTCGGATGATGCCACTACCGATAAATAGGCAGCAAGATGCTTGTTATCTCTCATACAGTTCAACATTCTGACGTCATTTTTGTTCACCCTCGAATTGTGTAATTATATACTTTCAGAAGTACTATTCACCAGCAGGTTTTCCATGTCCAGATGGTTTTTAGCAGATATTTTATTTGATTATGAATCCTACGTATTTGGCTGAGTCCCATTTTGAAAAATACCACCCAAGTCAATTGTCTCCTATTAAACTGATTTAGATTCGTTTTCTCAACAACTATATAACCCCTTAATATCTTCCACTTTATTAATATTTGAACATAATTATATACTTACTATCATAATATCGTATTCATGCTGATTATTTGTCGAAGGAGCATCCCCGTTATTTTTGTTGCGCGAAGTATTTTCGTCACTTTCATTCTGCTTTTTCTTTTCTTGCGTATCTGTTTCAATCGGATCTTTGTTTGCTAGTTTCCATAAAACACTTTCGGCAACGCGCTGTAGACCTACTTCTTCGGAATGCGATAGAATTTCAATGTGAGCTATAAATTTGGCATTGCTTCGAATCGCATTCTCTGCTTGTTTGTTGAAGGTCATTACGAGAAGTAGTTCTAAAGATCGCTGTTTGACGACCGTCGAATCGAACTTGGATTCAGTAGCACAACGGATCAACAGTGGAAGGCCAGATCCAGATTTAGCAAATTCATCTCGGATTTGTTCGTGTTGAACCAGACCTTTTCAAAAGCAAACAACTTAAAAAGTTATAAATGACGATTAAACGCTTTTAGACACGTACTTTTCAGACAGAGTAGAAGATTTTCAAGACGGCGACGTTGTTGTATGACATCAATTGAGTAGTTCAGGTGTCTTATGAATACAGTCGTAATTTTTTCAGGTTCTGCGAGGCTTTTTAATTCATCTTCAGTCATAATTATCGCCAATGTACGATAGGCATTGAGTTGTGTTACATCACTTTTTGCTGTTGTCAACTTTAACATGCATTTGGCCACATTCGGCTTAGTTTTTATTAGTGGTAGAAGATCAGATTCTAGCGTAATAAAGAAAAAATAGGATGTCGTATTGTCGATTAGCCCATTAGTATCGCTGTCATTAATTTTTTCCTGCAAAAAATCATCTTGTAAAATAGCAAGAAGTGAATCTATCATCAACGCATGATCGTCAGCAAACTCATGTCTTGTATCATTATCGATTGCCAAAAATTGAAGCATCTTAAGGAAATGATGCAACACATTTATATGTGTCGGTTTTCGTGGTGGTACAAATTCATGTAGGAGTTGAGCATACTTGGGTAGCATACGAGAAGCAATACTTTTCATTAAATAAGTTACTGTGTCAAGATTATTGTACTGATAAACATTCGTCACACAGTCAATCAGTAACAGTGTCTGATTCTCTGTGAGATTGTCTTCATTTGAGTGTAAAGAACGGAAAGTGTTAATGAACGTGGAAGAACAAACGCAGTCGATGATTACGTCAAGTCTTGTAACAGTGTCATTGCCATTTTTGCAGTTCTCTAACGTATGCAAGAGGACATGGAGCGAATAATCAAGTGGAGTTTTTGTTGAATCCAAACTATCAGAAAGGTTGCAGAATGCGAAGAGCGTGTAAGTGGAAACTGTTCCGGCGAGGAACACCACGAGCGCATCAGTTAGCATTTGTCTGGTATCGTTATTCGCCTTTAAGGATGATGCGGCGCGTTGTTGAAAGAAATCAGAAAGTTCTTTCAGTACAGGTTCCACAGTTTCATTCCTTTCTTGCTTAAGAAAATCGATAAAACTGTCACGTAAGACGTTGATGATTAGCGGATGATTACTATAACTGGTGGGAGGATCCATTGGTGTGAGCACTCGAATGACACTGGTCAACATTTCAATAAATGTTTGTTGATTATTTGCATCTTTGACCACTGTTAGATCGTGCATAATGCCATTCAAGCACGCATTCAATTGGTCGTTTGACAATGTCGTACCTTTCTCACGTAAAAGTTCCACGGATGCACTCATGACTTCGATCTTTCTAAGTGAAAGATGTTCCGGAAAATTGATTTGTAACGTTAATGGTGTTAGTGAAAGTATTTAAATTCTTAAAATAGAATAATGTTAATGTTGCTACGTAAGAAAATTGTGAATAGTCGTGTATTTCATCATGCATGATGAAGAATGAAAAAATTAGCATCGTTTTTTCGAAGATTTTCTTCACAATTATGTCATGTTACATTGTAAAATGCATAATGTTACGAGAAGTTAGTCTCATGTAGGGGTAGGCTATTGACATACGAAAGATGAAATGGTAGTGAAAATTCTGAGAGTTATAATGAAATGAAAAAATCCTTGATCTAATTGAGAACACAAGCACGGAAAGAAAAATATTTTGTATGAGCGAGAATGCTGGATCGGAAACTTTTTTGTAATATAATTGAGAGCATGGAAGTTCAAAGAAAAATTTTTTTTCACATGTTCGGGAATGCGAGGTCGCAAAAGTTTGTTTATAAGAGTTTAAAGAAGAAGAAAGAAAAATTTTTCTCACACAACACCAAAAGCAATATTTATTCAATCTCAACTCGCATATGCATCCATTAAGCTTACAACAAGCCTGAGAGCCCGTAATTTTCAAGCCACACGTCACAACTGGTTTCACACTCATTTATAATAAACTATTATTACACCGTCTGTACATTTTGTAAATTTCTTTGCCGGATGTTTGCAATTAATGTGTCTACCTCTTTAACATTATCAAATGTAGCTTCTTCAATCCAATATTCGCGTCTCTTATTTTTTGCGCTGTTACTTCGGCTTAGGCCATTATTTACATTCAAAAAATTCATCTGATAACTAAATTTTATACTGTCCAACTTGTATCTCTTCCGAGGGGGCGAAAATGCGACTCCCGTACTTTGAAGTAGAGTTGGATTACCATGTAAAATGCAAATGTATTACAAATGAAGAAGACATGAAGTAAGATGAGATCGTACTTCAGGCCTACTTCACCTGCAATCTCACTCTACTCCAGAGCACAGGAATTTTGCTTTCCCCTTGGTCTCGTTCTTCTTTCTTTTACCTGTTTACATCAATCTAGTGATAAAGGACCGATAGCAAAAACGAGGATATTCATATTTTGTCTCTACTGTGTGTAGAACATAGAAGAATGACGAGAAGAAAAATGGTAAAATAAAATTAATCGTACTACAGCAAACTCGAATGTACAAACGCATCTTTTTATTTATTTGCTGCTAAATAATTATATCCACTGAGTTTCAAATTTATTTAAAAGCCTAACTAATAAATAATTGATCATTAAAGTATTTTACTATTCAATTATTCTCTTTTATTCCTAAATCATCCTATTAACTAATTTTACAATCTTCTCACATACTAATCATGTCATCCATTTTAGTGATCACTGAGATAGTACCCCACTATTTTTACTCTCTTTATATTTATATAACTATAAATTAAAATGAATTCTTATATTTCTCTGTGATATTTTGTCCCGATCATGCAAACAAAGGAAAACACCATCTTGAAATTGTAGCAAAAAGTAACTAGTGAAAAAAAACGTGTAAATTTGTTTATGATAAACATGAGTTAAGAATGAACACATATTTTTCTGAAAGAATTTATACTTTTAAATCGATCCAACTAATGATAATTTTCATTTATTTTAAAATATAAATCGGCACTCCTAAACGAGTCCATCGCTAGAATCTGTGAAAAACTTACAATTTTGTTTCTGTGGGTGAGTCTCTATATTATAAATTACTTAATTATTCCACTCGCCGAATATACTGAAGAAAAATCCGTTAATGATTACTGCCTTCTGATCTTAAATCATGTGTATACAACATTGATTCTGAAATTTTCAAAAATACATTATATACACTTCCAAGTGGCTTCTCTCGATTTGATATACTACCTTGGTATAATCACACGCGAAATGAGAGCACGACTAATATTAAGCATACAGTTTCTCGATTCTATAGTTGCTAGCCATCAAAAAACTCCTGTTACTTCACATACAATAACAACGGTTTCTATATAAACAAATACAACTGCGCTGTTGTTTGTTTGCTCAATAAATGAAGAGAAAAGCAGCCTTGAATTTTTTTTGAAACACTGTTGTTGATGTGTACGAATCACTTCAAATAACAAACGACGAAAATTACAGAGTTCGATGCGATTACTTCGATGAAATAAATGCGACAAAAAAGACAGATAAAGTCGCTATATGAAACCGACGGGCCATCTTCAAAACATCGTGCGTAAAAGTGTAAGCTAAAGACATGCAGTGTGAAGCAATTTTCAGGTATGCGCTATATGACGAGAGAGAAATGCTTGTACCGAAATTATAAACAGTAAAAACAAAAACATGCATGTACTTTATTTTTGCATGCACAGGAATGGTCATAATGTATTTACAGATTATTTATCCTCTGTACTCAAATGCGTTTTTCTATTGTTATAAAAAATATTAAATGTGAACGAATGAACTTTCGTGCTCAGAAATATCATCACAGTATAACATTCACCTTCAGTTCCGAAAAAAACAAGAAACAAATACATGAAATATTGCCACAGAGGTAAAATTAAAAATAAAACTCCTGACAATATGTTGCCAACGCCATGTATTTTATTTATATTTTAATAATATGTTCATTCAAGATTTGAATATGAGGAATCAACATAGCATTTTAAAAAGCAAAAAATGTCTTCCTGACTTCATTTAATTTTTGAAAACATTTCTTTGATCAAAGAAAAAGAACCACAACTGATCACTATTACAATTGAATACTTGAAGTTAACATACTATATTCGGTCGTTTACATCTTATTATACCTCCAAATTCTTTGATCTATTATCTTATCAGTGAACCATTAATTGGTCTCTCAGAAGTAGCATACAGGTTACAAATAGAGGTGCAGAATTGGTTGTAACAAGAAAAAATTTCAGCAACCATAGAAATAACCTGAAAAGTTTCCATAGATCCAATCATTTCAAAAATATATTTCTAGAAAACTATTTCTGAAACAATTGTTGCAAGCAGAATATTGTTTTCAAACACTTCGCTTGCATATATTCACATAAGTGGATAGATTCTGCAGTAAGGGTAGGATTTAAGTGTTGGTGAGTTTGAGTCTATTTATGAGCTTGACTTCGGGTGAGCTTGAGTGTGAGAGTGGCATTATGAATTGGAGGTAAGAATTGTACGTAGATGTTCATTTCATGTGTCTAGCGGCGAATCCATGTAAACAAATAGGGTTAAAATCAGATTAAAATCGGTTATAAACAATGCAACAGTGTTTCCCAATACTACAGCTTACAACACATTTCAGTTGATTTTTATCTGCTTTTAATCAATCACAAATCAACTAACAGCTGATTCAAAGTAACTGTGATGGCTCGATATCAATATCAAGCACATAATAATATCCCATCAATTACTTTCAGTAACGCTGATTTACAATGAGCAAGACTAGAATTGTCTATATTTTTCAGAAAGCGTTTTCAAGAATTTATCAGTATTCTCTAAATTACATTTCTCAGAATTTTTGTTTTCGCAAAAAATATACTTCTACTTCCTTATTTTCTGCTAAACGAACTGGTGATACTCGTCTCCGAGAAAAAGGCAGAAATCATCGAAAACAATCGCTATCAAAACGAAAAACAAATCTGACCATATTCCATTTGAATTAATGGAATAAAACAAAAATGATTTGGTTTGAAAATAAAATTTATCCTTAATATTCCTTTTGAAGCGAAAGGAAGAAATAACGAAAAAAAAACTCAACTTTATATTAAAAGGAAACTATCGTATTATAGCCCAGGAATGTGGAGGTTTTGTGTAATATATTCTTGTTATGGAAAGTACTGTAAAGAGTGTTACTGTTTTTTCTTTGAAAGGGGTTTGATGTTTCTGGTTATCGTGTATTTCATCAGATTTTCGATGCGATTTTCGAGATAATTGAATCGTTGTTCTAAATTCAAACCAGATCATATATGTTGAAATCGCGTTTTTCATGTGCATAAAGAAATCAAGCTCAGTATCAAAAGTTTTGTCTTGTTCTTACATATATCGAGTCTAAATAGGTTGTTACATCATTTTTTCGAATAACAAAGGTGATAGTTACTGATGTAGAATTACCTGTGCATGCCATTCATTACCAAGTACTGAAGTAATAATCTATCTGTCTAAATTTTCCAGATATCATATTTTTTAAATTTAAACAGTAATTTATTTTACATTGTTGAAACTAGTAATCTTTAAATTACTATGATGGCTTCAACTTTAACTTTTATAACGCAACATAATCATAAAAAGTTATTACAAATGATTTTTTTTCAAACGTTTTCTTAGTAATTACGAAAAATCAATAGAGAATTGGCTTTTGATCGTGGAAGTTCTCAAAAAATGTGTTTTTCAGCGTAGGACCAGTTTTGCTTGATTTTCGTAAGCTATTCTGTGGACAAAATTGAATGGCTTCTAATTGGGTTTTCAATTTAGCTATTTTAACCTGCATAAAACTCAATTCGTTATAATGCATTCAAAAGCAAAATTGATTCTAATATATTATTAGTAGTAGGAGTTTATTTTATGCTAACTAAATCTCAATGGTTATATCGATTCGAGAACCGAACCAATTTTCGTGAATTTTAATCGAGAAAAAACAATAAAATACTGATGATAATCGATTATTACTCAAAATCGATTAATAAAAATCATAGACAATCGATTACAGTCGCTTTAATCGATTTTACGCGATTAAAGTAAAAAAATCGATTAAAATTTTCAATTTAATCAGAAAAAAATCATAATTGCTCGATTTTCATCAATTATTTGTGGTGCGAATCGATTATAATCAAAAATATGTTGACTTTTTGCATAAATGCTTTTACATGGGAAATTTGTGGCTGCATGTGTCTACAAGGTTTATTTGGGAATGACGGATTGTTTCTGTTAAAATATAAATAAAGTTTAAAATAAAATACAAAATGAATCATCAAAAGTTCAAAAATTCTCTTGTAACAATTTTGTACCTACATTGTTGAAATTTATCTTTAAATTTCGAGCTTTTTCTGAAAAATAATATTTGCTCTTCTTTTCATACAACTCTCCAATTCATGAGTAGTTTGCGGATGTGGGTCAGGGTGGCCAGATCAAAAATTGAAAAATCAGAAAATATTTTTTCACAACCAGACAACAAGCAGAAATGAATCAGAAAATGGCAGTTTTGACTGGAACTTTATTTTCAAAGATATTTCAATAAAACGAAAGATAAAATAGTGAATATATCGTTTAGGTAATACGAAGTCATCAGTAGAAGATACTTAATGTTGAGCTTCTTTTTAAATTTAAAACTCGCTCATAAAAACAAGCAAAACTAAATTAAATACATTCTGCGTAGATTAAGAAGTTCAACGAGGAAAAAACGTTAAAACCCATCATCTCGGTATTGTTATTCATATTTCGTCTCTTTTAGAACTTGCTCTAGGAAGCGTAGATGTCCATGGCGGCGCGGCAGCGGTTGTATTTTTTTTCTTTTTCCTGAAGAAATCTATAATATTTGAAAGTATAAATCAATTGTGATCTAGATCAGAGTGATTTGTTTTCTCAATCAGTACATCTACATTACTATTTTATCGTCTAACAGAAACCGAAGCACTAGCATCATTAGGTTATATGATGACTTTCTGCGGAAGCATACTACTAAACGTTCAAAAATAGATATTTTATGTCATGATAATTGATATACATATCAGTAGTTAATTTTTTTAATAGCATGAATATTTTTGTAGTGTTTCTTTTTTCACTGATAAATGCTGACTTATTTCTTACAATGAAAGTCTGTTTGATTTACATATTTCGCAAACACAATAGAGAAATATTTTTCTTATATCTGCAGGCTACGAAAACGACACTAAGAATGTTTGAAATGATATTCCTTTGTTCATGTTAAATCAATACGGATTGTATCTAGATATATGATCGTTGATAAATTCCAATTATTGCGCTTGTGCATCGGTTAATATTAAACATTTACTTTAAGTTTTAACGTTGTTCAAATCCTATCATTGTAATGAATTTTTCATTTGTAAAAATGCATTTGTCCGTATCCGCACCCTACTAAAAATTCTGACACTGGCTTTATATTAAAAATACCATATCTCTAATGAATTCATGGTTGTTACGAATTTTTTTAAAAATTAACATTCAACGTAATAGTTTATATCAATGGCGGAGCCACGGCAGGGTGAGAGGGTGCTCAGCCCACCTAGACATTTTTGAGCTCCCTCCCCTCATGGGAGATTTTAGAAAATACATTTTTTTATGTTAATATATAATACTATTTACAATTTCACGTTTTAACTAGTGTTGCTAGATATCCAACTCAAAAACCTCCCAAAAATCTACAAAAAATCCAGAAAACTTTGCAAACTTTCCAAAGAATTCAAAAAGACTTTCAAAATTTTGAAAAATCATCCAGAAAATCTTTAAAACCTCTTAAAAAATCCAAAAATGCTTTCAAATCCTCAAAAAGTTCATTGAAAGTTTTTATATCCACGAAAAGGCCAGATGAATTTTCAAAATCCAGAAGATCTGGCAATATTGTACCTGAAGCACGATTTTATAAGGCACCCTTCCCGAAATTTGGATGTTCGCGACAACCCTACCGAGCTGAGCCACCTTAGCCCAAAATTCTGGCTTCGTCACTGGTTTATATCAATTGTATGATGCATAAGCATTTTTTTTATTAAATGGCAGAAAACCTTCTCTAAAGCATACTATTCATAAGGTCGCGGCGGCGGCGGCGCGGCAGTTGCACATTTTCAACCGTGATGGGCATCTATGCTAGGAAGGGTGTGGAGTGTGGGTCTCGATGGACACTTATTTTTACCCACACCCACGAATATTTATTTTTCTCAAGAAGGACAGCTAAATTTGTAAATAGTCATACACATCGAGAGATAGCCTTTTATGTGCATCTGTATTACGATTGTGCCCCTTCGTAACAGTATACATTGAAATAAAATTATTTACGAATAGTTGTACTGTTGTTTACTTTCTCGGTATTTGGGGTATATATTCATTCAGGTCAACCACGTACAACCATAAATGATCGTAGACTAGGCAATTACAGTGGAAAACGGCAGCTGTTCTCGGCTACTATTAACTACAATCTTAAACAGCACTATAATGTATTATACGACCATCCTAAACCGATAACGTAAATACTCGCCGTTTACAATTACCCTAAAAACATGAAAACTGTAAATGATGCTCGGATAATATCATTTTTCATCGTTACTTCAGTTGTTAAAAATGCATTGTACGTTCCATCATGCTTCGCCATAAACGGTCGTAACCGCTGACAGTCTGCTCTCAATAAATATAAACCTATGCTTTCATGTCCATCTTCGAATTCGCTGGATAAAAATTTGCGAACAAAAAAATGCAGATAGTCTAACTATTCCTTGCTACAGTACTTGCAGGGTGTGGGTGTAGGTCTCGATGGGCACTTATTCTTACTCACACCCCACGCCCACTCCCTTAGATTGTTAGATAGCTTTAAAAGAAAAATCGTATCCTAACAAATTTTCCTAAGGAAAATATTCACTTTATTTGTAGTCAACATTTTGATAAAACCTTCTGCTTTATCTTTTCAAAACTGCGGCAATCTTGATTTTCTCTTTTTGATTGCTTGTGCAAATATTGTCTCCAAGAATATATACTCGATTTAGCTATGAAAATGCCCAACTTTAGCTTTGTGTATTTAGTATTTTGAAGGAAATGAAATACTGCGCCACTTTTTAATTATTCTATTAGTATTATGGAAATATGTTTTAGATTATGTGTCTTAATTGTCACAATAACAGCAGTGTTTATATTTTTCTTAAGCAGTGACTCCTAGCAATCGATGCGTAGGCAAAAAAATATATGCCGAGAGAAATATTCATCATGCACCTGTTCTAATTCTCAGTATATTCAACGATACTGCTTAAAAACAGATGGCTATTTTCATCGTATTGTTGAAGTATAAAACAACAAGTTGTATCGTACGAGTTTTTAATCAAGTTATCAGTTAAATTTATTTTTAACGATCATAAAAATTGGGTAAGGTTGATTTTTGCTTATTAAATATTCGTGTTTTCTATTTAAAAGTGAACTGTAAACAAAGTTTTTACACAAGTGAAAAAGTTTTAACTATAACTGACTTTTCATAAATTGTAAAGCGTTCTCCGTTATAAATACTCCTAAAATATGATGATCTTAAAACTTTCTCTTCGCTATTTATTTTCTCAACACTTGTCATAAAAGTAATACTTTCAATTTTGAATGTTGCTCTTCGCAGTTTTTTTTTGATAACTTAATAAAAGACTACGTATACCATGTGTATCTATAACAACCAGCTTTCTATTTTTTAAGAAATCCCTGCTACTCAATATTTACGAAGCATTCCTTCTGTTACGGTCAAAATTTCTGAAAACAATGTTTCTACTAAAAGTTTCTGACTCATTGACATTATTTTGAACAAAATGTATTCCGATAAATATGTTTCACTGTTGGCAAGATGATCTGTCGCTAATTAACTATGCTAGAAGCAAGTTGTTTTTGACCTCTTTATTTTAGTTAAAATCTATATATATATAGAAATGAAGTGCTGATGATAGTTTAAACAAGGATACTACTCACGCATTTCAGTCACATATTATAAAATCGTGAGCCATTTGTAAATAATTTTGAAAAATTTTTATGTTCCAATAATTTTATTATTCGATCAATAGTGAGATATTGTATTCATAATCGTGTAAAAATTGAAGTGATACATTTTTAATTGTAAAACTATCATCGACACGTAACTTATTATACGTTTCGCGCTTGTATAAGAAAAAGCTTATATTACTCAATTAGAGAAGTAGTGACTGTCTAAGAAGTCTTGAAAAGCTCTCCTCTAGAACTAATAAAGACTTAAAGTTTATGATTCTAATGGATGCTTCATATTATAAATGAGTATCTCAGTATTTCATCTATAACTTTTTTGTTTAAGGCCAAAGAATATATTGAACACATACCATAAAAGTATAAACAGATATAAGTGTAATACTTCGGAATTTCAGTCTTCATTACTTTCTTACTCAAACCACAACGAAAAACATATTTTAGGAGCATGGTCATTCTCCAATATTATCCTTCCTTTCGACTATCACACATTTGGGTTAAGTTCATTTTTAGTGGCAAAATCTGATTTCATTAGAATTCAACGAAAAAATGAGCTTTTGATATCTTCTATTAGGAAAAACTAGCGGAGTTATTTTGATGTCAAATAAAAATATGAAGGACTGAACATTGATATGCCGTTTTCTAGGTTAGGGAATAACGAAGATCGAAACTTCACAATATTTCTTCTGCATTCCTTTATTTTTACTTAAAATCATCGTAACATGACATTTTGTTAAATTGTAAATTGAAAATATTAGCAACATCAAAAGGAAGCGCATTAATATCTCCTGTCTTCAATGCAACCGCTGTTACAGATGGAGAATGAAAATCTCTATGCAATCTATATGCTCAGTAGAATTGTAACAGGCTATTAGAAGTCATGTAGCCGTCAGATATCAGAGACAAAAGCAATTCAATGGAAATTAGATCTGAAATTTTTACGCACAATATAGACTCATAAACGTTTTCTTGTGTGAGTTGTTTTTGATCATATTTCAACATCAAAGGATCTCTGTTAGCGAGAAACTCGACCGAACTGACACCGAGATTTTCAATTTCTAAAACATTCTGTCTTATAAATAACAAAGAGAAAATTTCACGTTATCTTATTTGCCATTCTCTCATTACGCGTAAATATCCTTTAATATATGAAAAACGAGATCGAGAGTTTGTAGTTTTTACTAATCGAAAGTCAGCACATGCATAGATAGCCGAAAGGGTCGCTTTGAAACCGGAAGCTAGACGCTAATCTCATCTTTGATCGTTAAGACGTAGTTTTGCTGTGCCAACATTAATATGCAATTACTTAGATGTGACAATTTCGAAAATTAATGTGAGCATGGATTCACGACTACGTTAAGTTTTATATTCGTATTTATTCCATAAAGAAAATTCAAAAACTCACGCAAGCCAATCCATCCTCATTACTTCATCAAGATAAACTCTATTATATCTGGTTAATTAGATCTTGTCGCTGAAGCAGATTTCTATAAAAAGAAACTTTTTAGAAAACTAATGCACTATATATTGGTTTTGAAAAATTTGTAGTTGCATAGAATTTTGCAGATACTATAGGGTTTATCTTGGATTGCCATACATCAACATGTATTTATCCTGGATTTGGAAAACCTGGTCTACATGATCAAATATTCATGTTTCAAGATTTTGAGCGATGATCTAGTTTCCAAAAGCTAATCAAAGCAATCCTATCGTTCTCCATACAAAATCTGTCTTTTTACTGACAATATTTAGTTTCTCTTATTTAGGTTTTTGAGACCCTCACTATTCAAATTTAAATACAACATTAATAAGAAAGATTAGATATGCTATTTTCAATTCTATTTAGAAAATGAAATTGTGCATTGTCTTAGTACTTTTCTATGGTTATATTTGTCATGGGAGTGAGATTTGGTATCAAGCGGAAATGTCTTCTTATCTTGTACCACCATTTCAGAACGTATATACAACGCTACAAAGAAACATTCTCGATAAATTATTAACTGTTGATTCGAACTCATTAATAACAAATGATGCTGCCCTTAATTCTTTCGCATCGAATCTTCATTGCGAATTAGAAAAGTTACTTGAACATCTTGATGCTTCTGTAGTTGCCAGTAACAATATCCGTATTAAAGTTGACCGTAAACTATCCACTATTCTCAGCGAAATTTCGGCTAAGGAAAGTGAAATAGCTCGTGTTGATGGTCAAGTTAAAGATATGAATGCAAAAATTCAAGCAAAACAGTCTCAAATAAATGCAGCTGAGCAAACTGTGAGACAAGCTGAAGGTTCAGTAGCAGACGCTGAAAATGCGTTACGTCGTGCTGAAAAAGAAGTTGAAGATGCTCAATTATGCGGCGGATTATTTGGAAGAAAAAAACGATTTCTAGGTGACCTATGGAATTCAATTCAAACCTCAGTTTTAAAACCAATAGAATCGGCAGTTAACACAGCAGCTGGTGCGATAGAATCAGCAGTTAATACAGCAGGCGGTGCAATAATTGATAATATAGTGAAACCTGTGTGCGGTGTCATTAATTTTCAACAACTTGATAATACAAGAAGAAATGTTGAGAATAAAAAAAATGAATTGGCTTTCTTTAGAAATCAAGTTCAAACACTTAAGAATGATTTAAATTCAATTCAAAGCGATTTAGTCACATTTAATACACAGTTATATAATTTTAATTATCAATTAAATCAATTAAAAAGTTCATTAATTGCGCTACCAAATGAACAACATATAATATTATCAATCAATCAAAAGTTAACAGCTATTGTTGGTCATATACGGACATCACTCGGAAAATCAACATCACTCGTAGATGCAATAACAGCAGTGGTTGATTTCGAACCAATTGTTAAACCATTAAATGCCATTTATGATGAATTACAACAAAATCAATTTATGGTGTCATTTGACATTGGAAAAATATCAGTGGAGCAAATAAATCAAGCCAAAACCAGTTTTCAAGCACTGATTACCTCAGCACTCAGTTTTCAATTCAGTATGGGAGGTACACGTTGTTCAAAGTAATCAAACGGCGTGCTTTTTAATATCAGAATGAATAATTGTATCCTTCTTGAAATAATAAAAGTGCAAAAAGGTACCATATCTTTAGGATATGGTTAAGCATATCAATCAGTTACAAAAGTTTTCTACCAGTTGCTCATGCAAACGAAAGTCACATATGTGAAAAGACTGAAAACAAATGATTGCTTCACTAAAATATAGACGATGGGTATTGCGTACTTCCAAGGAAAACTTTGAAAAACCTTTTTCTCTGCAATAACTGCTGTTCTCTCGCCTCACTCGAAATAAAATCCATTTTCTGGTAAACGAATAGGAGGTTTCCGGGTTTGTCATTATATGAAACCCTCACAAGCAATCAAGCAAGCTGACGATCCCGAAAACCTATTGAAGGTTTCCGATACTTCGGGAAATCTTTTAACCGCTTTCCACTGCTACAAATCAGCAACCGATTCACATAGGTATCCGACATTGACAAATTCGTTTTTCCTTATGAATAGTATTTTAACAACAGACATCTAAGGATTTTCAAATCCATCGTAGTCACGAAGTCTCCATGAATTTAAAAGCTCAAAATCCTCAATTGAGTCTTACTCAGAAGGTCTTCATCTCCGTCAATGTCATTGTCTTTCAATTAAGACTTCCGATGCCTGTTTGAACCCTATAGTACCACACTCTTGCTATCTATAGAAGTCAGGGTGCTTCCTAAAGCCGGAGTCCTCAAGTCTTAAACTTCCGATGCCGACTTTTGACCTGGGTAGAGATATTTTGGAGCAGTTAAATAAGAATATACATGAAAAGGATTAAAAAGAAGACGCCATTTTTTTCATAAATGGATGTGAATTATCTGCGTTAAGAAAGCTAAATATTTCAAACTAATTATATGGCAACTAGCAGTCACTTAACTTCAGATCATAATTCATTTTACAACAGTTGAAGTAAACAATACTAGACCGTATATGCATGATAGAATATCTCTTTATTAGAGAGGCGGGTGTGGATGTGGTTGAGTTAAGAATACAGTCACATCCACACACCCACACCATTTTCATGTTGTTAATAATGTGAATAGATTTGCAAAACCTGCATCATCTTGATTGATGTTACGTACATAGATTATCAATATCATAATTATTTCTTTTGAAGCACCTGTATCATTTTGAATATCTTTTGCGTCCAATAATAAACCCAAAATATTGTCAATATATAATTTTATATAAGTACCATTTTTGATTTGACTGATTAATTTCAATAAAATTTTTTTGACATTTTCTTCATTTTTAAGATAAACAAGACAATCTCGATTAGCAGTAATAAATAAACATAAGCATGAATTTTAATATTGTCCTTGTGACGAATTCAATTGTAATATCTTTAGTATTATTCAAATCATTTTCATCTAACCGAAACATTTTCTTATCAGTACTACTATCATCAAGTTCCATAAGATTTTGAAGGATACTTGAATTAGACAACCAAGGTAACAACATCTGAAGTCTTGGTGCATACTCTTTTTTCAATGAAAAATTTTCTAGTTGTCCTTTCGAAAATTTATAATCGCTCTCGGTAGTTCGCTGCATTCGAATTAGATTGGTTATTAAATATTTGATTGAATTTAAGCTTAGAGGAGCCTCATCAACTTTTTCTTTCGTTGCTGATGGTGGTATTTCTTTTAATATTATTTTATATTTGGATAACCAAAAATCTCGACAAGCGTCAAATAATAACAATTCATTATGTTTATTGACGGATGCTGAATCGAGTTGACCGATAGCTTTTAAATAATCACGAGTACCTTCGAATGAATTGATAAATTCAATGAGCGTACCAAACAATCGTCGATTATTTTCAGCAAATTTTTTTAATGATAATTCCTCGTTTTTAAAATAAATCAATAGTTCCTTGTTGACTTCATGGGCTCCAATTAAAAAGTCAGTAAGCGAACTCACAGTTTCTAAATTGTTTTACATTATCTTCCAACCATTAGGTTGGATCTATTTAAAAAATGATTCATTTAATGGAACTATTTCTCGACATAATTCATCTTGTATAGTTATGAGTAGTTCACGGCTTTTGCTATCATCCTCATCTTCTTCTTCTTCATTATCTTGGTACGCAGCATAAGCAATTAATCGACCATCAACTAATGAAATAATACGATGAGTTAAATGCGTCAAATTATCTGGCAGCGGTGACCAATTAGGTTGTCATAATTCATAAAGAATATGGTCACTAGTGGTAGGAGAAAATCGTTTGGCATAGTCATCGAATAATGACTTCAATTGATCAGAAGGTATTTCATCATCCTCATCACCAATTAAGTTCAATTCTTTCATTTTCTATTAAGTAAGGGTAGCGTAGACAAAAATATTTCTAAAAATGCAAAACGAATCAATCCAACATCTCGAAAAGCTTCCTATGGTTTATTGATGTTACGCTAGATTCGACTGTTTCATAGTGAGAATTCTCTCGAAAGGAATTTATTATCAAAAAAAATCAGACGATGGATGTGTGAAGAAAAGTGAAGTATAGCAAAACATATATGGATTTTCAGGGAAAAAACTATTTAAATATGCGCCTATTAATAAATTACAATTTTTATTTCTAAGAAAAAAAATCTTATGGACAGGTATAATGTATCGAATACCTTATTGAAGGAAAACGAGACCATTTGATTAAAGCATTTAGAGTAATGAAGGAGCTGAAGAATATCGATAAATTTCGAATTGTGCCAAAACGTAACACTTCAATGTGTAGTAAACGTCATTTTAACTAGATGCAAACAAAATGTAAAAAAAATAACAGTTACAACAATTTAAACCTTGCAGGCTGTAATCAGTAATGAAGACAACAAGTAAAACATCATTTCATTACGGATATTTTTTGTTACTTCAATAATGCGTAGTTGTTTTCTTGCTGTGCTTTCGAATTGTGTTTTTGCTTCAACATCCTTCTCCCCGTGCCACAGAACACAAAGGATAATTTAGTTGGAAATATGAGTCATTAGCACACGTGCTGCGTGCTCAAGGACTAAGAAGAAGCCTATGCATGGTCGCTTTCATCATTCGTTACATGTTTTTATTTGATAGGGATCGCCGAATAGGGTATAGATCACTAAGACAATGCGATGCATATTAATTGAATCATAATATTCTTCTATCGAAATAATGATCAAAATATTTGAAAAAAAAAATTTTTGGTAATAAAAAAAAGCAGACAGCGCATGTTATTCAAAAGTCATCCATGACTTTTATTCGTACAGATGTTGAATGTTACACCGAATTTATGTCCGGAACATTTTTACACATCTTCAAGTCCTCTATAGACACTGTGGTGAAATATGTTAATTAAGGACTATTCATAGTTCATTAATACTAACTCATGTCTGGATTAATTTGCATATCTTAAAAATACGTGATTTTGCTACAAGTTTTTGTATTGCAATACTTCGTGCTCTGTATTTTAAGTAAAATACTTGTTCAACAAACATCAGCAGTAGAGAAAAAAGTTCCAGTTTTCCCAAAAATATTTTGTGTGCAACAAATGATATATTCGCAATCAAATGAAAGTCATCCGATTTTTACACATTGTACATAAACTGCTGTTCATTAGCAAAGTTTCATCGCTAAAAATACAATCTTTGGGAACTGCCGAAGCACACAGTGAATAGTACAGCTCTGGTTGTCGTCCCGCAACAATCTCAGCAGAAGTACGGCCTTCCAGTAAGAAAGATTGTGTATTTTTTTACATCCCATTTGGTACTGTATGCAATTTAAAATTCATTGAAATTTGATTAGATGATTGAGAATAAGGTTCATAATTGGCTTGTCTATTTTTTGGATTAGCTCTTAAATTGTTCAACAACAACGATTGATTCAAGAATTCAATCAATAAACGGTCTATGTTCAGCAGATACGAACTTACTACGCAAATTCTTTTTTGCCGCTGTCATCACTTAAGTTACGTTTGATTAAAAATAAGAAATTGGATCATTTTATTCGTGATTTGAAGTACATATTTCTTTCTTTCCATACAATTTGATTCATTCTTCTATGAGTGCTGTGTGTTTTTCAAAGTATTAAATCGAATTATGATTCCTTTCGCTCTCTCAGCTCTGTTCTTTCCAAGTTCAACAGGTACTAAGTGACCAACAGGTAATGACACCTTCGTATTTACAAAAAAAGATGAACTAATTTGTATCAATTTCGATGACAAAATCTCTCCACTTGTTCTATCTACCTCAAATCAAGAACAACGGGTACGTCAATGCCAATGAAAGACGAAGAATTGTCGAGCGCAACCGTGAATAACAACGATGCAGTCCAATCACTCAATCATACATGTCCGCTTTCGTCTTGTCATTGCATGATGTCAGTAAACACATCATCTTTTGTTATTCACTCGTCAATAATACTTTTTCTATGCAAATGACTGAAACACTTCTTGTGTAGATAGCTTTATTAGCGAAAGAATGTGAACAAACAAATTGAATGACAAATAAAGTTAGTCCTATTTTGTCGACGGTACGAACCATGATTTGCACCACAACTTCTGCAAGGTTGGCAGTATTTCTTTTGACAACCTTGTGAAACTTGTGCACTTACGGGCTTCTTTGCGGCTTTGCAAACTGTAACAGCATTTGAGCTTGATGCTTGCTCCGTGCGTTGGATACTTTCATCCGGATAATTGAAAGACGAAGCATTGCTGATGATTTGAGACATTAGTCGATTAGTTACACTTGCCGTATATAAATAGTTTTTAATTTTTCTACAAGGACTACAATACTTATATAGTAACTACTAGATGTGTATCACAGATTGCCTAATCCACCACAATATATTGTTTTTCAGTTAAAAACAGTGTTGATTTCATTCTTTAGTGAAGACTGACATAGATAGAAGAAAAATTTAATACTTGAATTTGTTAGAGAAGTTTTATGCGTATTGTAGATCGAATCAGTATTATATCGTGTAGGGCTGTTTTCGATTAAAAATGAATCAAATTTTACTGTTGAAACTTCAGCGAAAAGATGTGAAAAATAATTCGCAAAATGATTTATTCGAAAGTATTACCTGGTGCTTTTTTATTTTCTATGAATTTCAAATAAAACACGATTACCTATTCCAAATGATAGCTGAAATATTTTCTTAAAAAGTAGACCTTAAACTTAAACTAGAAGTATTTAGAGAATGAACTCTATCATAACGATTCAAATTGATGTTTTTCTCTACTGCTTTTTAAATAGCACTAAAAATAAAAGCATTTGTTCTCGACATTTTGATAAAAGACAATAGTTTGATCAAATTAGGGCAAAACTAGATGCTAACTCCTTCGCTCTTATGAGTGTGCATGGTGAATCTTCTCTTCAACTTGAATCAAACTCATGATACATTTTATCAGTATGAAATTCAATTTTTGTAATAGTAAGTGTAAAATAATATTTCGTTTTTTTACATTCAATCATTACAACATGTATTACGCATTTGAATATCGTCTATTTGCGACATCTGTAATCTCATGCTTAAACAAACCTGACTATAACTTGAAACCAATAGGAAAAAATCAAAACAATAATTGCTATTATAATGCCTGCTCAGTACATGTAATCATCATCATCATCACACCTTCTCACTAACTCAATGAGCTTATATTCTCAAATTTTATTGTCGATCATTCTAAAATGCAATATCATTATTTTAGTTTTTAATTAGCTTAAATTGTAAACTTCCTAGTTATAGATTACTAATCAGACTGATTTTACTCGATAAAATACTTTTCTTATAGATTACATTGGAGGTCAATAATGTGTTGTTTTGCATACAATTCGCTACTTAGTAATCGCTATTGAGAACGTATTAGGCGAAGGTCAAACTTTGACGTTCGGACAACATAAATTACCGCTCTCATATTTATTTATCCTTATTCGAGTTCACTTTTTCTTTCTTTTTTTTAAATACATATTGACCCACCAAGAACCAAAAATTACGATATCATATCATTTGTCCCTAAAAATGATATCAATTTTCTTCTCTTCTTAAACATTAGTTTCGTTTTTTCTTCTTCTTCATTTCTCTCATCATATAAACTAACAACTGCTATTCGAATGTCTGAAGTTTCATTCTTTTGTTTTTATCATCAAATAGACAGAAGCAAAAAATTGTTCCGAAAAAAATTCTACACTCTCAATAGAAAGCATTATAGCTCATTAATTTACAAAACATATTATCGTTATATTTTCATACTTCTAATCTATATGAACTAAGCGGAGGAAATATTTTATTTTTCAGATCTTCAATAATGAAGAAAATCTTTCATCGAAGTATGAAAATATTTTCAAACTGATGAAAGAAATTCATTAATTGCTTTTAGATCATTTAATGCTTCGAAAAAGAAAATAAACAGGTAAATAAAATTTTTTTTCAAAGTGAGACTAAATCGGAAGAATCGCGACTTGTAAAAAAGGAGAAAAAAAGCGAAAAAAAAGTCATTCCTTTTTCCTTTTGACTTTTCGGTCTCTTATATGCATACACAAAAGAATGTGTGATGTTGCAAACTGAACGCATATAAATTTGATTTGCATGTCCACTTGAATAATAGGCATTGTATGTTTGTTTGCATCGTGACAAACAGAAAAAGAAAGACGAGAAGCGAATAAATACGAAGAGAAAAAATACTCAAATGGCTGAACCGTATAAACCATATGTGCAGCAATGGCTGCAAAATGGATTAAAACCAAGAAGGAATCTTTTTTTGCAGCAAATCGATGCACGCTTATTAGTTGAGCAAGCACAACAAAATGTTCGTTATAAAGTAGAAGAACAGAATGTAAGATTTTTTTTATCAACATCCTTGTTTGCTATTAAAAAGTCAAATGTTCTTTAATTTATCTTTTTCTCAAAAATAATAATACATAATCCGTATGTAATTTAGCGAGGTATGGGCAACTGCATAGATTTTGGTCGTCCAAGATCGTCAAAATTGCAGCTAAACCAAGCGCCTGATTTACCATTGAATATCATTTCACGACAACAATCGATCGTTTCACCTTCATCAATAAATTGTACAATTAATCAACAAAATACGAATGCTATTGGTACGCCATCATCGTCGGGCGTTTCAAGTGCATCATCAGCAGCAACGTTAATAAATGCATTAAAATCACATAATGATACTACTACTACTACTACTAATAATAATAATATTAACAGTCGTTTTCCATATGTAGCATTATTTGATTATGATGCAAGAACTAATGATGATTTAACAATAAGAAAAAGTGATTTACTGGAAATAATTTACAAAAAAAATGCTGCATGGTGGAAAGCTAAAAATGAAAATGGACAAGAAGGTTGGATACCATCAAATTATGTTGCAAAACGTGATAGTTTAGAATCAGAACCGTAAGTGTTGAATATTTAACAGTGATTTCAATTTCTTGTTTGTATCTTAATAGATGGTATTTTAAATCAATACGCCGAATTGATGCTGAAAAACAGCTTATGTCAGATGTGAACGAACATGGAAGTTTTCTTGTATGTAAACCTAGAATTAATTTAGGAACAGAAAATTTTCATTTAAAAATATCAATTAACATTCATTGAATAGACCGAACACATTGATATGACTTTGTTTGTGTAAAAGTACATTTCTACTATTCAAGAAAAGGAAGTAAAAACACAATTGTAATGGAATTCTCGATGAAAAGTCTTGATCTCAAGTTTGATCAAATGACCGATACTTTTAGATCTATTTAAATTTTAATATTATTCTAAGGAGGATATAATAAGAGCTATTGATTTATCTCTAATATTTTTTTCATTACGAATATCAACCACTATATCGTCTTTTTGTATTTAGATACGGGATAGTGAAACGAAAAAGACTGATTTTTCATTATCAAGTAAGTTGCTCAATAAACGACATATTTTTATTTGCGCAATTTTCTATTTAATAGTTCGAGATACTGATTCTGTAAAACATTATCGAATACGTCAAAGTGAAGATGGTCGATTTTATATAGCACGCCGAACAACATTCACTACTTTACCTGAACTTGTGATTCATTATTCCAAAGTGTCAGATGGATTATGCGTAAATTTAAGACGCCCCTGTGTACATGTAAGAATATGAAATATATGAGCAAAAAGATTTCCTTATGAATAGTGAGATTGCGTCTCGAATTTGAGTCTCGCGTAGATTTTGGTAACAGTTTTTTGTCTCTTCTATACATTCATTTTTTTTTATAGATTGTTAAACCTGAACCTGATGGTTTATCACATAATCTTGTTGATAAATGGGAGATATCGCGACGTGATATAAAATTAATTCGACGGCTTGGCCATGGACAATTTGGTGATGTTTGGGAAGGTGTATGGAATGAAAATGTAGCTGTAGCTGTTAAAACACTGAAGCCAGGTTGGAATATTTTTGTCTAGGAAAAAAAATTATTTTTCTAACGAAATTAAAACGTCATTAGGTTCCATGAATCCAGTTGATTTTTTGGCAGAAGCTTCTATAATGAAACGATTACGTCATACAAATCTTATTCAATTATTTGCCGTGTGTACCATCGAAGAACCAATTTATATCGTCACAGAACTTATGAAAAATGGAAGTCTTTTAGATTACTTACAAAGTAAATGGTCAAATGTATAGATTTGGTTTATTAATTTTTATTGTTTAGGTTCTCGTGGTCGACAACTTAAAATGTCGGCATTGATTTATATGGCAACGCAAATTGCTCGAGGAATGGCTTATTTAGAACAACAAAATTATATTCATCGAGGTAAAGCAATGTTAAATGATTTGAGCTTTTCTTTTCTTGTAGCAAACAATTCAATTTTAGATCTTGCTGCTCGAAATGTTCTTGTTGGTGAAAGTAATACTGTCAAAATAGCTGACTTTGGTTTAGCAAGAATAATTAAGGTTTGCACAGCAAAAAGAAGAAAGCTTTCTATAATTAAATTGATGCTTGTTAAAAAAGAGCACAACTTAGAACTTTTTAGAATAGAATATTTCTCAGTTGAGATACATTTCAATATGCTGAATGTTTAAGGTTTCTTTATTTTTTCATTTTCTTAGGATGAGACTGAGGTAAATATTGAATGTCAATGGATAGTTGCCTTGCTCAAACATCATTCGATTTGCGAGAGAATCTTTTTATGTGTCAATTCGCTTTTAACTCGAGACTTTAATATCTTGATAAGAATTGGTGCTCTCTAGTGAAGGTTTGAAAAAATTGATTTTTATGTTCGGAGTAGAAGTAAAAATGAAGTGTCCCGACAGAAATTACCTTAGGCGACCAACTCTTCAGAATTTCAAGAGCTCTTTATGGCTGACGAGACGTACAGACTCGAATTGACACATGGGATAGCGCTCGATTGTTGACAGTAGATGCTTGAAAACATGTATGTTGCTTAACTTGTGATTTGAACTATGCTGCTTCAAGTTGTATTCTAACGTAAAAAATTGAAATTAACGTGCTGAACTGTTCTGAAACAGAAAATACAATTTGCTTCATCAATGTTTTCGTTTTTTAAATACACTTCGTTTGAACAAGCTTTGCTCGTCAGACAATCATGATGCACCTTGCAATTTCAATAGCTTCCTTTTTCTAAATAAACTAACATTGGTGATCGGATTTATTCCAACAGTATTAAAGTTTTTTCGTCGCCATCAGTCAATACAGTCACGCATGTTGTAACTGTTACATGCTTGCATCCCTAAATATGAGTGATTTATTTTAATTAAACTTCATTTTATTTAAAATAAAATATTCTAGGAATACGCTGGAGGTATGTATGAAGCAAAAGAAGGCACGAAATTTCCCATAAAATGGACTGCACCTGAAGCTGCACTTTACAATCGATTTACAGTCAAAAGCGATGTAATTATATACAAAAAAAAAGAATTAAAATTTCTTTCTTTGTTTTATATTAAAGATTTGGTCATATGGTATTCTATTAACAGAACTAGTAACATTTGGTCGTACTCCATATCCTGGTATGACCAATGCCGAAGTATTACGACAGGTCGATCAAGGCTATCGGTTACCTCAACCAACGAATTGTCCTGCATCTTTGTATGCAATCATGCGTGAATGTTGGCATGCGCAACCTGAAAATCGACCATCATTTAGTACATTACAATATCGCCTTGAAAATGAATACACCGGCGAAAATCCTGAATTCAGCAATTAGGAAGCATTTTTTTCTTCAAATCTCTGCTAATTGGTGTGATATATATATACATATACATAGATTTTTATTTTCATCTGATACTTAACTCTTATGATTGTATTAAGGTGCTAGAAACGATGCTAGCAAACATCTCAAAAGTTTTCTCTTTCTCTCGTTTTTTTTAAAGTTTGTATTCTTACATAGTTTATTTGTTTCTAGAATTCTGAATAATTGTTTAAAAACAATGTGAGCGATATATGTGCCTTAATATTCTATGTAGAAAAATATTTACTTAATAAAAATCGCTTTTTTTTCTTTCTTTCAGAACAATGGATACGAAAGATTCAAATAAACGTAGTTTTAGTCTTTTTGGAAATTATAATTTACATCAACCGACAATAGATGTGCCCGGTAAGCGTTCAGAAATGAGTAAATATTTAATAACTATTATCTATTTAATCAGTTCATTCAACGCCCGGTACAAATACTTTATCACCTTATTTAAATTTCGATCCCACCGTGTTGAATTCGGTACGAAAATTTGATATTAGTAAATAATGATCGTTATGGAAAATATGTTTAGGGTAAATCTCAATTTATTTTGCCTGAAGGACAAAAAGAAAGACGTGGCAGACTTGAATTAATGTTTTTCACTATTGGTGGTTCAGTTATTGCTGGTTCGTGATATACATGAATAAATCATATCTAGTTATGAATCTCTTGTAGGAAGTGTAGTTGGTAGTGCATCTGGATTATATCGTGGATTACGTGGAACTCGAGAATTAACTGGTAGTGTAAGAACTTCATCGTAAGTTGAATAAATAATGTTAATGTTCGATAAAGTTTTTCTCATATGAATTTTTTAGAATTATTAATTATGTTTCTCGTCAAGGTGCTACTACTGCTTCTGCGATGGGCACAATTGGTAAGATATTTTAATTTAATATTTGATCTATAGCATAGCTGTTCTGCATTTAGCATTAATCTACAGTTTATTTGGTACCGGTATAAGTTGGGTACGTGATGCCGATGATGAATTAAATACGGTTGTTAGCGGTGGTCTTACTGGTCTTCTTTATCGATCAACAGCGGGTTGGAAAGGTGCTTTAAGAGGCAGTCTTTTTGGTTTAGGATTGTCATCTTTATATGTGTTCGTTACTTCCAAAGAACGTCTTCAGCCATATATATAGAACTCCTATTTCCGTCTCCTTTTCTTTATTTTTGTTATCAATAATTGTTTCCTATTACAAAATTAAAACTAATATTTAAACAGTGTCCTTGTGGTCATATTTTTATGTGAGATTTCTGTGTTTTGTTTTGTAGAAAAAAACAATGTCGGTTCCCGAAAAAATGCGTGCTGTCTTGTTGAAAGGTTTTGGTGATCGTGGTATGAATCAAAGCGTTTTGATTTGATTAAAGTTGATTAAATATCTTTTTAATTAATAGACAATTTGTATATTGGTGAAACTGATGTACCTAAAATAAAAGTAGATAATATCGTGATAGTTAATAGTCAATTTCATATAAGGAAAACATTTTCGTTTAGGATGATGAAGTCTTAGTGAAAGTGCATGCATTTGGTGTGAATCGAGCTGATACTATGCAACGTAAGGGTCAATATCCACCACCTCCAGGTGTTACCGATATTATTGGACTAGAAGCTTCAGGAGAGATTGTTCTTGTGGGTGACAAAGCCAAAGAACAATGGAATAATGGTGATAAAGTATGAATTGATATATGTGAAGTTTTCGATACTAGCGTGATTTTCTCCGCTCAGGTTATGGTACTAGTAGCTGGGGGAGGTTATGCTGAATATGTTACAGCACATATGGGCTGTGTTATGAAGATTCCTGAAGGAATTTCAATGATTGATGCAGCAGGTTAATGCTTGATAGTGTTTGTTTTCTAATGAGAAAGTTAGCTTTTGTAGGCATTCCGGAAACATTTCTGACTGCTTATCAAGGTTTAAGATTGATTGGTAATATAAAAAAAGGTGATATTGCACTTATTCATGCCGGTGCAAGGTAAATAAATTCTATTATGTTTCAATTCATCAATTGAACATATTTTAGTGGAGTTGGCACAGCAGCTATTCAATTAGCCAAATTTTTTGGTGCAAAAGTAGCAACAACGGTTGGATCGAATGAAAAAATTGCTTATTGTAAAAAAATTGGTGCTGATACAGCCATCAATTATAAGCATGGACCTTGGTAATTGATCATGACATTTTGTTGTTCGTTGATTTTATTTTAAAACATGTAGGGTCAAAACATTGCAAGAATTCACTCGAGAATGGAATAAACCTGGTTTGATAACATTTTGAAATCGAGTAGCAGTAGCAAAAAAAAGGCTTCGTTTTTCTCTCTCTTAGGTTTTGATATTGTTTATGAAAGTATTGGCAAAGATTATGTTGAAGCTAATCAAGAAGTTCTTGGTGTTGATTCTCGTTGGATTGTTTACAGTTGTCAAAGTGGAACTGAAGCGGATAAATTGTCATTGAGTACATTAATGAGAAAACGTATTACACTTTCGGGTACAGTTTTAAGAGCACGATCTGCTGATTATAAAACAAATTTAGTTAAATGTTTTCAAAACGAAGCAACAAATGGCTTTCTTAATGGTAAATTGAAAGTTATCACTGATAAAACATGGCCGATGGAGCAGATAGCTGATGCTCATAAATATATGGAGGATAATTTGACCATGGGAAAATTAGTCGTTACTATTATTCAAGATGAACAATAATTTTTTTTAATTTTCAGAGCAATGCGATTACGTCAAAGTTTCGAGTTAATAGAAATGCTATCAAAAATACTTCTTCCAATAAAATGATTGACTTTTTTTCTATAAAAGTGGTGTACTGTTTACTGGCAAGTTTTACTAATGCTGAATGACATTTATAGAGATACTATTTCGGAGAAGACATCTTATTACATTAATTTTCGGTAGTACTTTTAATTAACGTAAAAGATACATAAAGCTTGAGGGCGTGGGTGTCAGTAATCACAATCAGCTATGTTTTATTCTTACGTTTTTTGTTTAGAAGAACTCTATGATCATGTCTACGTGATTGATAAGAACTGGTTTATTTCTTCATGAATCTTATATTCTATGATTGCATTTGTGACAAGTATTTGAGCGTTTCATGAAATCAAAACGAATAATGGATTATAAATATATTTTAGTTTATTCTAGTGAGTATCTCTTGTTATGATGATCCAACAAACGATCAACTGTCTCGACAGTTGTTCCTGACAATCAGATGCATGTCAAGGCATGCAGTTTTTATCTTTTAAATGTTAGGTTGATCTGGTTTAAATTTTCTAATTTTTACAACAACAGCTGCATTCGCTGTTGTATCATTTCTGCTTTATGCGATGAGTGAAGTTATTACAAAGAAAATTCGGGTTACCGGAACTTCGCCAATAGGACTTTCGCAAAATGGACTTTCGCCATTGGCGAGCGGCCAGTGAACTTTCGCCAATATCCCTCATGTACTTTCGGCAATTGGCGAATATCCAGTGAACTTTCGCCAATATACCCCCTGTACTTTCGACAATTGGCGAACTTCCAGTGAACTTTCGTCAATATGTCCCATGGAAATTCGCCAATTGGCGAAAGTTCAGTGGACTTTCGTCAGTATGCCTCATGGAAATTCGCCAATTATTGGCGAAAGTCTTATTGGCGAAGTTCCGGAACCCCGAAAAAGATGATCATAAATGCTTGGAAACAATGTAATTTATACACGATGTTTGGTCCATAAATTTCAAGTGAATAATTCTGTATTACGTCAAATGCCATTTCAATGGTTTGATTTTTGCTTGAAGTAGTTTTATTATTTGCTACCACTACCACTGATAATAATGCTTTAGCTATAAGACGAAGAACATAGAAGAAAGTAAATTTGATATTGAACGTTGTTGATGAAAGAACCGGTATGCTGGAATAATGTCGAAAGGAAAAATGTCGAAAATAGAAAAAGTGAAGAAAAAATATCGAAAGGAAAAATGTCGAAACGTACATATTAAAGCGGAAAAATGTCGAAAGTGAAAAATAAAAAAATAATGATGTCTCCAGTATATGGCGATTCTAATCCCATTTAGTTCATTGTTTTTT